TGGTTCACATCAAATAGATAAATAAATAAGCTAAAAAAGATAAAGAATGACTTAACAAAGTTGGAAGTTGCTATGTTATAATAATTGAAGCAACTATATTTTATGGGAGCTGATAGGTAACTTGTTACGCAAAAACTACAAGTAAAACTTAAGAATGGCCGCATCTGGTAGTCAAATTATTTCACTTATTTGTCCCGCGTGCTTTGGTGATTTTTTTTTTAAATCCTAGCCTGCTTCAAAGATATTTCCATAAGTTAAAAAATAGCCTTTAAATTCACATTTTCTTTTTAATTTGGGTTGAGTATTATAAGATTGTGTCTAAAAAGATACCGCATAATAAAATTTGCACTCTCCTTCAATAGTATGGTCAGTTAGGGGACAGTGATGGTGGAATGGTCCCCAGGAAGAACTATTAGCCTCTTCTTCTTTGCTTTCACAACACATTAGACACCCATGAATTATAGCCTCCATTATATTTTTTCTTGTTTGTCTCTGTCTCTCCTACTCAGCTGAGATTCTTGAGAGTAGAGAGTGTATCTTACTCATCTGTATAGCCTCAGAATTTAGCATGTTAGTGACCCAATAAAAACTGAGGATTTCCCTGGTGGTCCAGTGGTTCAGAATCCACCTGCCCATGCAGGGGACATGGGTTTGATCCCCAGTCCCGGAGGACCCCACATGCTGAGGGGTGACTAAGCCCGTGAACCGCAACTCCCGAACCCGTGAGCCTAGGGCCGGCGCTCTGCAACCAGAGGAGGCCCCACGGTGAGAGGCCTATACACGCAACAAAGACCCAGTGCAGCCAAAAACACTTGGAGAAGTAAATACAAAGTTTGTAAACGGAATTGAATACATGAAAGAAGAGGTTGAAACACTGAAGAAGCGGGAATAATGGCAGATGCACATATAAGCATAGAGGGAGAATAGAAGATTATGTGGAATCAGAAACGCGTGAAACGCCTTCACTGGGGAAGCATTTATCACTGATGTGGCCTAAACGAGCCAGGACTGAGGCGCACAGCCGTGGCCTCATCTCTCAGCACACATGGAGGGAGCTCTCAGGAGGATGTGCATGGGACTCGTCCGTCAGAGGCGCGGTTTCAGTCCCAGCACCTCCTCCCACGCCAGTCCCATCAGCATTGCCCTCTCTACGCGCACCTCCCGGTCCTGCTGGATGAACACTGCTGGCCCACGGCCAGCTCTCAGGAGGATGTGCACGGGACTCGTCCGTCAGAGGCACGGTTTCGGTCCCAGCACCTCCTCCCACGCCAGTCCCATCAGCATTGCCCTCTCTACGCGCACCTCCCGGCCCTGCTGGATGAACACTGCCAGCCCACGGAAGGTGTTATGTGGGCTCAGCCTTTGCAAAAACCCGTCTGTAACTCGACCTCAGACCCCTGTTACCCCGTATCCACCCTTGTTAAATGTGGAGCCCCCACTTTTTTTTACCGTCCTCCATGACCTGTAATTTGGGGTAATTTTTCTTTTTCGATGTCCTCTTAGTAGATTTCTTTTTTTTTTTTTCCAGACCAGAAATTCTTCACAGTTTCTGATCTACCGAGAGTCTCTCTTTTTTATACTCATTATGCATTTATTTTTCTCATCTTTTTCACAGCCTCTAAGGATGTGGAGTGGGAGGGAAGGATGTATTTATCTTATAACAGAAATCTTCCATGTAAGATTGAGATAGCCTGGTCCAGTGGCTAAGAAGACCCCATACTCCCAGTGCAAGGGCCTGGGTTCGATCCCTGGCCAGGAAACTAGATCCCACAGGCACAACTGAGAGGTTGCTTGCCACAACTAAAGATCCTGCATGCCACAACCGAGACCCAGTGTAGCCTAATAAACAAATAAATGTATTTTTTAAAAAGATTGAGACAGCAAATAACAGAAATCAAGCAGCAAAGAAACCATTTTCCACTTCTTATGCAAGACTCTCCACCTCCTGTTATATTTGAGAAGGAATGGGCATGCTACTCTTCATACGGTCTTTACTGAACACTGGGGTAAGCCACAGCAGCAGAGTGAGGCTCCATTATCCTTCTGAAGCAAAACCTTGAGTGTCTGGGTGGAATTCTTCATGTCATCATGGGATGCAGTGGTGAAAACTGGGCTTATTTGCACCAATGTCTCAGGAACAAGGAGAAAGAGAAAATGCACTTTATTTTCATTGATTTTTAAAAAAGACTACTTATGGAAGAGCCCAAGTGGTTTGTTTTCCTTCCAGGATTTATCAAAGATAAATAGGTTCAGAGCCAAGCCTATTCTTTTGACTTGGAAAAGGCACAAAAGAAGTCATACTCAGACCTTAACGGCATGACTACTGAGTTTCCTAGTGAGCAACTGTAAAGCAGATAGTACTGTGAAGATTTTCTTTTTTGGGTCTCGAATATTTATCCAAAGTTTGTGAAATTTCAAATTCCCCCCTTGACCTTGAATAACCACTTTGGCACAGTACCCAAACTGTAGAAGATCCCTTGTGGAAGAAAATGCTCAATAGTTGACTCAAAAATGTATAGACACTGCAAGTTTTGACTGTAACTTTGTCCAGTTTTATGCTTCTTCTCTATGAAGAAGAATCATCTGATTGCTCCTTCTACTTCTATTGGAAGTGGTGGGATGACTGCTCTATGGTTTATGAGGCAAGGCAGATGAGTTTTTATACGATGTCAAGTTCTCATATACCAGCATTCATGTAGTTTACAGAAAAAAAATGTTTCTCTTAATAGAATGTCACCATGATGGGGTAATTTTCACAATAATTTTAACTTCCCCTTTGTTTCGTGGAATGTTCTAGGCTGATAGACACGTCGCTCTTTCCCAGAAGGCTTCTGCAGCTGCAGGATTGTCAACTGTCCATTTACTGTGAAACTTGGAAAGACTGACTAACTCCTTTGAGATGCAGCTGCAGCCCTTTTAATAATGAAAAATTATTTCACTCCATTTGAAAACCATTGTCACAAATGGTGTATCATTTTACACATGCCTAAATTTTTATCCATTTTTTCCCTTCTCATTTTGTGTTTTCTCAGTATCTTTTAGTTTTCCTGTTATTTATTTATTTATTTATTAACCCATGTACTAATAGTCTTTATTAGTACTTTATTTTTATTGTAAGCTGTCCCAACTCCTTTAATCAAGATGTGAAGTGTTAGTCACTCAGTTGTGTCTGACTCTTTGCGACTCCCTAGACTATAGTTTTCCAAGTTCCTCAGTCCGTGCAGAGAATTCTCCAGGCAAGAATACTGGAGTGGAGTGCCACTCCCTTCTCCAGGGGATCTTCCCAAATCAGGGATGGAATTTGGGTCTCCTATAGGCAATTCTTTACTGTCTGAGCCACCAGGAAGTCCAATCAAGATGAGGTGATATGAACAATGAATAATAATTGCAAATATTGTATTCCGTAATGTAATCATTTTCTTTTACTTTGAAAATTTTAAAAAGTCTTTTTTGATATGGAACATTTTTAAAGTCTCTGTTCAATTTGTTACAGTATCGATTCCATTTTTCCTGTTCTGGTTTTTTGGCTTCAAGGCATGTGGAATCTTAGCTCCCTGACTAGGGATCAAACCCACACCCGCTGCACTGGGAAGCCAAGTCTTCACCATGGGACCTCCAGGGAAGTCTCTGATCATTTTCTTCTAAAATCCTTGTACGTTTAAGCTAAGAGGCACGTTCATTGTATGGGGTGACTAAAATCTAACACATAAGCCATGTAATGCTTTCTGCATCTGATTCCCACAAAAATCCCGAGAGGAAACCCTTGAGAAGGAAGCTCATCAGCAGCCCCTTGAAGGAGTTCAGAACGAGCGTTCCCAACACGCACCATCTCTGTGGGTCATCCTGAGCCGAAGGCAGCTGAGACCCTGCGGCCTCAAGAAACATCGGCCCCTCCACCAGTTACCTAGGAAAATGGAAAAGGGGGTCTTTCCAGGAGGAGGACAATTGCCAGGGACCCCTTTTATCTGAGTGGCCCACCTCCAATCACTCAGCACCTGCTCTTCTGCTTGTCCTGTGAGTCCCCTCCTCCCCTTGGAAGCCCAGGTCCCTGCCTCATTTCTTAGCTCAGGAGGGTATATATATTCATTCCTCATCTTACCCTTTTGTCTTTGAACCTCTTGTGTATGTAGGATTCCCATATGTGTGAAGATAAATTTGTTTTTCTCCTGTTACTCTCTCACATGTCGATTTGATTATTAGACCAGCTGAGAGAATCTTTGAGGAGCAGATGAAACCTGTTTCTCACCAACAGTACCATCCTGCTCCTTCCAGAACTCATACCCTCCTTCTCTGAATTCTTTGCCAACATCTTTTTGCCCTGCTGGGATTTCTTAAAGGACCCAGGCTCTTCAATTTTCTGAAACACAGAACACCATTTCTCCATAACCCCCCATCTTTTGAATAGTAGATATGCAGCATAGAGTTCCAGAAATTTGCATTCACCTTGACATAACCATCTCTTTGTATTTGTTTTTAAGCATCTCTGCTATTCAAAACCCCTCATCAGAGAAAAGGAAGGAAATGGTCTTTTATGAAGGACTTTCCAACAAGCAAAAACTAGTTGTGACATTGCTGAGACAGCTGGATCTAAATGCCCAGCAGCTGTGGTTTGCATTTTTGCAATAAGTCCAATAGAATCTCGTACTGAATGGTCACAAACCAGGGCCATGATCTCTCTATAAAAAAATTGCTCAGGTGGCAGTTCTGAAAATAACGGGCTCTGGGAAGTCTTCTGATCTCTTCTTCCCAATCCCCCATCTTCCAGTCCTCTAGCCAGTTAAAATAATTATCTTATAGTTTGTTAGTGGTGGCCTTCTCCAAATTGGAAAGGGGTCTAGGTGAGGTGGTAAACTTTTTTTAAATTAAGGTTGTGATAAAAGAAAAAATTAAAGAAAATTTGTTTATCATACTCAGAAACTGAAACAATTCTATAAAAGTAACCTTGTTTATTCACCATTTATACAGAGGAACGGAATCAGGGGAACGGAATCAGGGGAACCTGCAGAGACACTAAGACATTCCTGCAGGCTGGGCTCAGCCACATGCCTCTGCCCACGTCATCACTGCACTGATCCGGCACTCACGCCTCCTCTCCACCCACAGAGAACCACATCAATGCTTACACTGTGGTCTCTACAAATATGACACTGATGCTATAAAAATGAATGTCTGAGTAAACAACCACAGGCTCAAAGGGGAACATGGGGGGTTTGGGGCTTCAAGGCTCTTCCTGTGGGAGGAACTTCTGCCTCCCTGAGGGGTCAAGTTCCTCCTTTAAATCATCCAGCTCCTGCTCCTTGGAGAGCTCCGGGAATACCTGAAAGAAGGGAGGAGATAGAGACAGGAGTGTCATCCTGCTTCTCGTGCTGAGTGAGCGCACAGCGTGTGCACACCTACCCTCGTGTTGGGGTGGGACGACCCCGTGAGACTGACCCTCCCGCCCAGGGCGCTGGGGGGCTGTGCTCCCCCCGGGCAGCCGAGCAGAGAAGGACGTGCATCAGGGCCTCTCGTAGTTTTACATCCAGATGGTCTCATAAGTCAGCACATAATCCAAAGCTCTGGGAGCTCTGTGATGGGCAGGGAAGCCTGGCACGCTGCAGGCCGTGGGGTCGCAAAGAGTTGGACACAACTGAGCGACTGAACTGGACTGATAGTACAAATCAGTTTTTTAAAAATCTTAAATAAGAAAGTTAAGATAAGTATCGTTCATGGTTTAAGCACAGGACTCAGTTAAAAATATACCAATGCATTCACTTGGGTTTGGGGACGAAGGGCTGGTATTCTGTCTGTGAGCTGCACAGTTACTGAGAGGTTCATTTAAGGGAGAAATGCTGCTGAGAAGGCTTTCTGCCCCTCATGGGAGCCAGAAAGAGGGACGAGGTGGAAGGGAGATGTCTTTTGGAAAGGGTTGTGTAAGAAGGTTACAGAGAAAGATGCTTGTGACCTCTTGCTGGAAACCATGCCAGCACGCCCTCAATTGGATTGAAGACCCTTCTCACTGACCAAGGTAGATCGAGAAGGGTGGTGAGAGCCCTGATTGGTGCCCAGCAGACGGCGATGCGTCCCCAGCAGTACCAGGCCAGTGCCAGCCACAGTGCCAATCAGGGGAGAGCTGCGAGGGACCAGTCCAGGTGGTCGGATGCTCAGCTCCGAGGATGGAAGGGAGGATGCGTCACGGACCATGAACGCTACGGGCAGGAGTGGGAACAGCCTCCCAGGACCAGGAGATTCAAACCCCTTCCTCAGGAAAGCTGGCAAAGAAGCAAAGATAATTTCTGAGCCATGACAAGGATAAGAGAATACTGATGGATCTGGGATATTTCAGAGAAGCAGAGTAAATGGGCTCAGGTGGAGAAGCAGGCCCGAACCTGGTGATGGCAGGGGCCATGTGGTCAGTTTTATGGTGTAATGGACACAAGAAGACTGTCTTAGGGACCAGGCAATAGGTCAGCATCTAAGGCAACAAAATAATACACAAGTCCAGATAAAATTTAATTTTAAATACATGTGCATCTACGTTCCACAAAGAAACACTAACATTCTCCTTAAATGCAGATGTTACTGAATTTTGACTAGTACCGTTTTATTGACACACACACAAACAAATACATAGAAACACCCCACAAAGTGAAAGTCACTCCCATTGGCCTCCAAACACGCACATAGGGTTCGCCACCCCCTTGATTTTCTGGTCCCACAACTCACTCTGAGAGTTTAACTTTTAAACTGGACACAGTCTGTCACAGCCCATTTTTTGTCATGCTGATGGATTAACTTATGATTTGGAATGGTCTGCTCTCAGGGACCTTATTTCAAAGCTTATAGCTCTTACTATTCTCTCATCTGAAGGAATCTTGGGCTAAAGATGGAGCATCTTCCACTCGTAGCTTCTAGACCGTCAGAGACAAGAACCTGGGACCAGAGGAGAGGAGAGGGAGGCTGGTGTGCCTGCGGCCGGTGGAAGCCGGCTGAAGCCTTCGCTCTGGGCGGGTGGGCTGAGCGAACGAATGAATGAATGAATGAGTAGGATCCACAGTCGCAGCGAGAGGCTGAGTGCCAGGAGGACCGGGGATGGAGAGCAGCCTGAGACGGTCCGGGTCCTCGTCCCCTGGGATGGAGGTGAGCCGGTCCTGGGACAGATTTGCCAGAATCACTTTCCACCTACTTTTCTTCCTTTTTTAAGAATTTTTTTTTTAATTGGAGTGTAGTTGATTTTGGACTTCCCTGGTGACTCAGAGGTGAAGAATCCGCCTGCCAATGCAGGAGACGTGGGTTTGATCCCCGGGAAGGAAGGTCTTCTGGAGGAGGAAGTGGCAACCCACTCCAGTGTTCTTGCCTGGAGAATCCCATGGACAGAGGAGCCTGGTGGGCTACAGTCCATGGGGTCACGAAAGAGTCAGACAAGACTTAGAGGCTGAACAACAACCGTTAATTAGATTTGCTAGTGGTTTATGCAGGATATTATGGCGAGGCTGTAATATACTTGAGCTTGTGATTGAGATGGAGGGCAGGAACTCCACCTGCACTGGGCTTTGAGAGGCTGTAGCAGGTTAAAAAACCAGCACCCTTGGACTTGTGTATAGGTGAGTTTGCTGTGAAAATACTCCAAGGACTCTACCTAAAATTGCCTGCAAAAGGCAGCATTATTCTTCCAGAGGTCTGCACTGGCAATCAGAGGGCAGGAAGATAAGCCACAAGTCACAGCTTTAGCACATTCAACCTTGAGCAGAGAGACAGACACAGAATATGTGTGGGCGGGGTGGTGAATAGGTAGATTTGTTCATCGATTTTATTGCAGCAGTTCCCCCAATGCTTTTGTGCATAATAATACCACACTTTTCCATTCCGTAGCCCTGATCAACCAACGCTACACATATATGTCTTGCTGAGCCTCTCCTGAAAATGGCAGGACTTGACTGCTCCCGAAGGGTCTTCACTGCAGGAAGTGCAGCTGAATGTTAGCAAGTAAAGAGAATCTGGAACAGGCCTCAGTTTTCTGGGAAACACGCCAGGGATGGGGCTTGAAAAAATGAGTCAGGGCTTTGGCGCAGAGAGCCAGCAGCCCGTCCCGGACGCGGCCCTGAAGTCCCGAACCTAGAGTGACCGGCCCGCTCCCTCTGCTGCGTGGGTCACATTGGCCACGAAGAGAAACCGCGTGGCGGCCGCAACCTTGTCCCTCGACCGGGAGCAGGCTGGCTGCCGCCTGGAGCTCTCGTCCTGATGGTTACGAGCAGGACGATGCTCTGGTCGGTGCCGTTTCCTGGAGACAAAGCTCAGAGGAGAGGTGCAGAGCGCTGTTGAAGGAGGCACGTTGGCCAGCGCCTCGCCGGGGGAAGAACCTGCCTGCAGCTGCTATGAGCTGAGCGGCAGTCCAGACAGAAGCGGACCGAGGAGGCGGGATGGGGGACCCGGGATGACATTTGGAGGGAGGGAGACAGTTCCCAGAGGAAAGGAAGGGGTCCGGGGCCAGGGAGAGGGAGCCGGGGGTCCCCCGCACTGCCCCGAGGGTAGAGAGCCTGTGGAGATACCTGGAAGGGACCGCTCAGGACCGCGATGCAGGGCGGGCGTCCATGAGGGTGACCCCCTCACCACGGGGTCAGCCACAGCCCCGGAAAGTGTGGAAACTTCAGTTTGGCTCCGCCCCTTAGATGTCTCCATTGTGAACGAACACTGCCGGCTTTATTTCCCCAGTTCATATACATGCTGGCGGTCATCCAAAGTGTAGCAATCACTGAAATTCCTTATCATACATCTCGTAGTTTCAGATTTTAATGGCTGATTTTTCTCCTCTAGTGTGGTCGTGAAATTCAGAACAATGTGTCTATGCTACAGGAGCGTGAAAGTTCTATTTACTGCAAGCTCGTGGTAAAGAACTCACCTGCCACTGTAGGAGACAGAAGAGATGCGAGTTCGATCCCTGGGTCGGGAAGATCCCCTGGAGGAGGGCACGCACCCGCTCCAGTGCTCTTGCCTGGAGAATCCCATGGACTGAGGAGCCTGGGGGGGGGCTACAGTCCATGGGGTCACAAAGAGTCGGACACGACCGAAGAACTTAGCACAATCACAATGTATTTGAAATCATACTGTGATAAGGAGAAGCTACATATTTCACATTCTGATTCAATACATGGTATGCAGAGTGAAAACTGGAAAGCATCTTGCATTTCTAAAATTCTTAGAGCCTGAGAGATAAGGACAATAAAAATACTTTTGTAAACAGTCTTGAGGTCAGAAAAGCAGTTTAACCAGAATGGCCCTAAATTATTGCGCAGCTAAATTAAACAGCTGTAACTTCAAAAACAATCCACCTTCTCAGATCTCAAGACTCTTAGTTCTCCACAATTAATTTGTTAGCAAATTTTCACACTTATTTCTGGCTTAAAACCAGTTGCATTATTTTTAAAAACTGATGTTTTAATTCCATATTTTCATCTTTGTAATATCAAACATTAAATATCCCCAAACATCAAAACGGCTCCTTACTTTTCAAAATAATGCCTCCACAGATGGTTGGCATTTATTTCTTAAAGCCTTGTTTGTAATTTTGTGATGAGAAGGAAAAAAGAAAAAAAAAAAACACCAAAACACATAAAACAAAACCAGAAAAAATACAATGAAATTACTTTTGAGAAATTTGGAGCAAGGAATTCAGAAGCACAGCTGATCCACTGGTCTCTTATTTGGAAGAAAATGATCCACGTTTTCCCCCCGGTTTCCACCTCATCTCTAGAACTGGCTGTAACTGTGTGACATCTGTGAACACTCCCGTGAAGACCACTTTCAGAAAAGATTCTGTTGGTCCTGACAAGCACAACACTCACATGGTCAGTCTTCAACTGTTTGGCTTTCCTCTGACACCCGGCCAGGTCCCACCAAGCAGTGGCATTTAGAGGTGGCTGCCTGGCCGTATCATGTGAAAAAGAGCAATATTACAGGGGAAACTCAACATCCGTAGCTTTTCTCTATGATGTCTAAGATGGTATGGCTAATATCAAAATTTCAAGCACTGTCTTTCAACCAGGAGAAAGTAAATGGTTTGATCAGAGAAAAGATTTCCCCAAAGCATCGTTTGGATAATTAGAGTTTTCATTCCTCTGTTCCTCATTTTCATTCAGTTCAGAATATTTTCCAATCTCCTTTGAGACTTACTCTCAGACCCATAAATTGCTTAAAAGTATGTTGCTTGATTTCCAAGCATCTGGTGATCTTCCTGTTGTCTTTGGGTTATTGATTTCTAGTTTAATTCTGTTATGGTCTGAAAATTTGTTTTGAACATCACTCTTGTTAAGACTTGTTTTGTGATCCCAGCCTATGATCTATTTTGGTGAGTATTCTGCATGTGCTTGAAAAGAGGTATATTCTACTTTGAGAGAGCGGAGTGATCCTCAGTGGTCTGGGGTGCAGGCTTCAAACCTGTAGCTGTCTAGCGACAGTGTTTCAATTCCACCTTTTGGGCAAGCTTTCTTCTGAGCTTTTCAAGTCACCCCAGTGGTAAAGAACGCAGCTGCCAATGCAGGAGACACAAGAGACACAGGTTTGATCCTTGAGTCGGGAAGATCTCCTAGAGGAGAAGATGGCAACCACTACAGTATGCTTGCCTGGGATGACCCCACAGACAGAGGAGCCTGGCACGCTGGGTCGGGAAGAGTCGGACACGACTGAGACACTGAACGGTGAACACACACGTCGCCGTTGAGTGGGTGGAGTACCGTATAAATACCTGTTGGATCTAGTTGCTCGATGTTCATTTTCTCTGTTAGTTCTGTCTACTAGCCTATTGGGTGCGTGCTAATAGCTTGTCACGTCTTTGCGACTCTTTGCAAACTTATGACTGTAGCCTGCCAGGCTCCTCTGTCCATGGGGTTCTCGGGCGAGCACTGGGGTGGTTGCCATGCGCTCCTCCAGGGGATCTCCCAGACCCAGAGATGGAGCCCACGTCTCCTGCGCTGCAGACAGGTGCTTTAACACAAGTGACACTTGGGTTTTTAGGGTGGCTTCATCATGTAGGCATGATTGTTGAAACCACTGGTGATTAACCACTGGTGACTGATTCAGCCTCCAGGCTCCCTTCCTCCCCATCTATCAGGGGGTGGTCCTGAAAACTCCAACCCTTTAATCACGGGATTGATTTTCTTGACCACCACTCCCCACCTGAGTCTCAGTCCCAGGTCATCTCGCTAACATAACAAAAGGCACCAATGCAGCTCTCCTCCTTTGGGAATTCCAGAGGTTTTAAAAACTCTGTGCTAAAACGGGGGCAAAGGCCAAGCATCCATTTCTGATTGTAAATAACAGTATCACAAGAGAGTCCCTGGTGGTCCAGTGGTCCAGCTTTCACTGCTAAGGGAGTGGGTTCGAGCCCTGGCTGGGAGGCGCAGTGATGGGAAAAGGGAGGAATCATTAGACACGAGACGCTTAAACTGCAGAAATTTATTCTCTCATGGTTCTGGAGGCTAAAAGCCTACGATCATGAAGCCAGAGAATCTGGTTGCTTCCTGGTCTGCAGGCGGCCACCTGTCACTGTGCCCTCAGGGGACCTTTTCCCTGTGAGCCTGCAGGTCACTGAGGCGTCTCTCTCTTCTTCAGTCTAGTTCAGTCGCTCAGTCATGTCTAACTCTTTGCGGCCCCATGGACTGCAGCACGCCAGGCCTCCCTGTCCATCACCAACTCCCGGAGTTTACTCAAACTGATCTCCATCGAGTCGGTGATGCCATCCAACCATCTCATTCTCTGTCGTCCCCTTCTCCTCCTGCCCCCAATCCCTCCCAGCATCAGGGTCTTTTCAAATGAGCCAGCCCTTCACATCAGGCGGCCAAAGAATTGGAGTTTCAGCCTCAGCATCAGTCCTTCCAACGAACACCCAGGACTGATTTCCTTTAGGATGGACTGGTTGGATCTCTTTGCAGTCCAAGGGACTCTCAAGAGTCTTCTCAATATACAGTCTTGATGTACTCCTTTCCCGATTTGGAACCAGTCTGTTGGTCCATGTCCAGTTCTAACTGTTGCTTCCTGACCTGCATACAAATTTCCCAAGAGGCAAGTCAAGTGGTCTGGTATTTCCATCTCTTTCACAATTTTCCACAGTTTGTTGTGATTCAAAATTGTAAGAAGTGTTTGTTCTTTAAACTTTCCTCGACTTGATCGTTCAAATTCTCACTACAATCATTTTAACAGGTCTCACATCTCCTGTGTCGTCACAACAGATACAACATGACTGTACCACCTGAAATCTGAGAAGCGACAGGAAAGGGAGATGAGTACATGAAGAACAGGTGGAAAGAAATGAACGGAGCAAGACCGCGCTCTCGTGACATCGTTGGATTCCGCTTCCCTTATAGCAACTGTTAGCGTCCTGTCTTACTTTATACTTCTCGTTGTTTAATCATTGTTTAGTCTTGTCCAACCTTGTGATCCTATGTAGCCCACCAGGCTCCTCTGTCCATGGGATTGCCCAGGCAAGAATACTGGAGTGGGTTGCCATGCCCTTCTCCAGGGGATCTTCCCGACCCAGGGGTCAAACCTGTGTCTCCTGCAGCGGCAGGCAAAATCTTTACCATTTAGCCACCTGACTACTTAAAAAGATGAGACAACAGTTAAGATTTTAAAGGTCAGAGAAAGAAAATTAATTTCTGTATCATTCTCAGAAACATAAAAATTCCATAATTAGGTGCATTTAAAAATCTGCTGCTGTATGGAACCATGGTTTCAATTACTGTTTCGGAAGCTGCCTGGTCCGCTGAGCGTCACTGCTCTGACCTTACTCCTGAGTCCCGCTATCCATCATGTTATTGAGAAAAGTGATGACGTGAGTTTCAAAAGCATTTTGAAATCATATCTGAGCCAAGGTATATTAACGCTATAAAATATTGTCTTAAAAATCGTGGGTTTGGGCTTTAAGGCTCTTCCTGCAGGAGCTTCCACCTCACAGAGAGATCAACTTCCTCATCAGAATCATCCCGCTCCTGCTCCTTGCAGAGTTCCAAGAAAACCTGCAACGGAGGAAGAAATAAAGAGATGGGGTGACCACTGCTTCCTGTAGCCCCGAGTGAGTGCAGAGCGTGTGCACACCTTCTATCTTCATATTCCATGAAGAGTAAAGTGTTAGCCCCTCAGTCATGTATGATTCTCTGGGACCCCAAGGAGCCTGCCAGGCTCCTCTGTCCATAGGATGCCCCAGGCAATGCTGGAGCGGGCTGCCATTTCCTTCTCCAGGGGGACTTCCCAGCCCAGGGACTGAACCCGAGTCTCCCACGCTGCAGGTGGCTGCTCTGCCGTCTGAGCCTCCTCGGGAGCTGTGAGATCTGAGGAATGGACCCACCTGCTCCAGGCTGCACTGGGAGAGGCTATACTCCTCCAGGTCGAAGCTCTGTTTAACTGCAGGAGGATGGACATGTGTTAGGACCGCGGATGTCTTTCAGTTATAAATTTGCCAAGTCATGTACCAAGGGCACACACGGACAGATCTTAAAAGGCGAGGTAATAAACGTGGATTAAATATGGGAATGCACATTCACCATATGGTCCTCTCTCTCATCATCTTAGAGCTTCGGCAGAGGGGCCACAAGACTGAAGCCCGGACGCGAGGTTCTGGATCGCCCGTGCAGGTTGAGCTAGAGGCTGGACCACCGCCCGCAGCCGCTCCGCATCCGCCCTCCCTCTCCTCCACCCTGCTCTCTGCTCCAGAGCCCGACTTGGGGGGCTCCTCCTAGGGGGTTCCGCCAGTGGAAAGCCCAGGAGGAGGGGCAGAGGAGAGAGGAGATGGGGCTTTTATCCCTCCTCTTCCTCTCTGACACCAAGCGTGTCCTTTGATTCAAGGTCACTTCTTCCCTCAAGATGGCAGATTCTACCCGACTCGACTCCCAGCGTCCAGTCACTGCCCCCTCTCTCCATCCCTCTGGACCCAAGAATGGGAGCCCTGGTGTCCAGTCCAGCCTCAGGTGACTGCACTCTTCCTGGCACCTCGCCAAACAGCCCCTTTATAAACAAAAAGCTCCCGGAGATATCCTTTTTTTTTTTTTTTAATTTATGGGTTTTTGTTTTGGCCTGCATGTGGCATCTTCCCTGATTGGGAATCAAACCTGTGCACCCCGCACTGGAAGCGTGGAGCCAATCACTGGACGACCAGGGAAGTCTGGAATTATTCTAGTTTTGAATTTACTACCTTTTACCCATGTGGATTGTGACTTAGAGTCCAAACAAGCAAATACATAAGAGAGAAGCACCAGGCGTGGAAAGAAGACCCCGGAGAGTAGAGATTTCTCGTGGACAGTTAGTTACTAGATCCACATCCCCCCTGGCCTCTAGGAGCGCTTGCTGTTGTTGTTTAGTTAGTCGTGTCTGACTCTTTGTGACCCCACGGACAGTAGCCCACCAGGCTCTCCTGTCTGTGAGAAGAACATTGGAGTGGGTGGCCCTCGCCTTCTCAGGGGATCTTCCCGACCCAGTGATCAAACCTGCGTCTCCTGCATTGGCAGGTGGGTTCTTTACCACTGAGCTGCCTGGGAAGCCCCTAGAAGACCTGCTGGACACCAACTGTGCCCCCAACCACACCATCGGCTGTGGAAGCCAAAGCCGCAGGGAGCCTCATTTTACAGAGCTGCACTTTCGCAAACCGCAGTGCGCTGCCCCGCGCCTGTCACGTCTGTGGCGCCACTTCCCCAACGGCATTTCCTCACTTTGTGTCTCATTTCATAATGTACATTATGTCTCACATTTTGCTAATTCTCAAGATATTTCAAATTTTCCATTCTGATTCTGTTTTTCATGCTGATCCGTGATTTTTGATATTATTAAAAAAAAAGATTATTACTCCTTTAAGACTCAGATGGAGGCTCTCATTTTTTAGTGATAAAATATTCTAAATTATGGCAAGTAATTATGGTTTTTAGAAATAATGTTACTGCACACTTAATAAACTATGGTACAGTGTAAACCTCATTTTTTTGGGATGTGGACCATTTTTAAAGTCTTTATTGAATTTGTTACAATATTGTTTCTGTTTTATGTTTTGACTTTTTAGCCTCAAGGCATGTTGGACCTTAGCTCCCCGAGCAGAGATCAAACTTGCACCCTTTGCATTGGAAGGCGAAGTCTTAAACATTGGACTGCCAGGGAAGTCCCCTAAATACCACTTTTATATGCCCTGGGAGACCAAAAAACTCATGGGACTTCCTTTATTGCAGTATTCAATATATAGTGATGGTCTGGAACCCAACCCACAATACCTCTGAGGTCTGCCTGTATCCCCAGAAGTTGCCAAATCACTGGTTGAGAACCACTGGATTAAAGCCTTACTATTTACTTATAGTATGTGAAGTGTCTGACTCTTTGCGACCCCATGGACTGTAGAGTCCCTGTAATTCTCCAGGCCAGAATACTGGAGTGGGTAGCCCTTGCCTTCTCCAGGGGATCTTCCCAACCCAGGGATTAAACCTGGCCTCCCACATTGCAGGTGGATTCTTTACCAGCTGAGCCACAAGAGAAGCCCTTATCGTATAATACAGTATGATATTACACTTATAGTAAAATATCACATTTTTAGGCCCACGTATTAATACTTCTTATGCTGGTTTTATGCAAAACTTGAACATGATCTGTTTGCAGAGGCTCACCTTGCAGCAGGCACTCTCACCTGTCTCTAAACTGAAGAAGGCGTGTGATAAAGGGTGCACATCCTCAACAGGCAACTTGTAGACCACGAGGGAGGCGAACCTGGAGGCGGGGGGAGAGCTGAATTCAGGACCCGAGGCACAGCCGCGAACGGGCGCCGCGTCTCAGAGCGGGCAGCAGGCTCCTCCAGGGCTCGGCTGAGCCCCTAGAACTACCGCAACATTGTGAAGTCAACTGCAATTCAATATATTAAGTACATAAATAGGCCCTTGAGAATGAAAAGAAGAGAAAGAGGAAGAATGTTAATTCCCTTACAAGAATCAGCTTCCAAACCAGGACTTGGTTCTCTTATTTCCCTCCTGCACTATCCCTGGATGTCTCTCTACTTACTCAAGTCCTCATGATTCCCATATAGTTTAAAGAAAAACAAACATGAGCGAGAAGATGAAGCTTTTATATCTCGCCATCACAGAAGAACAGAGCAAAGAGCAAGATGAAACAGAATGAGCCGGCGTCAACCTCTCCTGCCGAGCAGCCCTGGGGAAGGTCCTCAGGACCGCGCAGTGCAGAGCCTCCAGCTGCGCCAGGCTCTTCAGCTTCATCTCCAGCAGGTAATCTCTGCCGAACTTGCTCTTCAGATGCTGGATGGAGCCGACGCACCTGGCGGTGAGAGGAGGGTCAGCCAGCAGGGGAAGCGAGGGGAAACCCACCGCTGGGGGCGCGGGGCCCTGGGACCAGGGCAGCCGGCCAGCCCAGCTCCACGCAGAGACCACGGTGTGGGGGGGATGCCCTCTCTCAGAGCGTGCCCGGGGACCCAGCATGGGCTTGGCCGGCACCCACCTCAGGCTCCCGGACACCATGACGGCCACACGGTCGCACACGGCCTCCGCCTCGGCCATGGAGTGGGTGGTCAGCAGGGCGCCCCTCGCCGCGTTTCTAACGGAGGCCCGGATCAGCTGCCTGAAGTGAGGCCACGGAAAATAAATGTCAGCTAGTGGGGAAGCTCCAGACGGTGTGAAGATGACGTGACGGCGTTTCCACTGGCACTTATGAAACAAATAGTGAATTCAGATTCACCCCTCAAGGACAGGAGGTTCGGAGGGACAACGGGTCCAGAAAGAACCAAGAAAACAGGGCGTCTCATTCGGAGCAGGGCTTGGGCTGAATGGAGGGAGTGATGATAGGTACACGCTGGTCTACAAAGATGCTGTATTTCAATCCGATTTATGAGAAGGCAGTAGGAGGGAAGATGAGACCTTATGTAAAAGTGTGGTAACAATGACATATGCCCAAAAGCACAGAAATGACAGATTTCAGAAAATTCTTAGTGATTAGAGAATATATTGAGTATAATCTATAACAAATTTTTGAATCATTATATTGTACAACTGAAACTAATATTATACATCGATTATACTTCAATAAAAGAATTTTTAAATAAGATAAAATGAATATTTTGCATGTCAAAAAAGAGAAAACATTGGAATTTATTCTTCCTTCCATAAGAATTATGTATTGGGTGATGTTGCAAAAGATTTAAACTTAATAATAGATTGATCTGATTAAATATAAAAGTGAGCCTTGAATACTTACTTGGAAGAGCTAAGATGAAAATGAAATTTTTAGAGTGAGAATTGAGTTCCAATTACCTTTTTCTCCTTAATAAAAACTGGATGTGATATGACATCAGGATTTTTTTCTTCATACTGTTTTTTTTCTGGTAATGTGGCTATCTTTCCCTTTATAAACAATGATTTAATTTTTTTTTCTTTTGTTTTATTGCATCAAGAACATTTTTAGTGGGAAATTTCAGACTTCCAAATGACAACTGCAAAGCAGTTGCTTAGGTGCATTCATACAAGTGAGTCCAAGGGGAAGAAAATCTTTCAGCACACAAAATAATCACCAACTCTCGCCACTGGAGCTGACATAACCAGCAATGTTTTTGAGGGTCAGCTGTTACAGGTGATACATTCGCTCGGGGATGCTCCCCACGCCCCTCACCACATCCGCAGCTGCCCCTCCGGGTCCATCCCCGTCGTCGGCTCGTCCAAAAGCAGCACGGCCGGGCTCCCCAGGACGCTCAGCGCGAAGCTCAGCTGCAACAGAGAGGAGCCGTGTCGGCGCTGGCCTGGGGGCGCTCGGGGCAGGGGGCACCCCCGGTACTGGCCTGGGGGCGCGCGGGGGAGCCCGGCCCCGCCCCGCCCTACCTTTCTCTTCGCCCCTTCGGGTAAGGCCTTGGCGGGGAGCGCCATCTGGTCCTGCAGCTTCAGCGCGTCCGCCAGCCTGTGGGAAGCAAGGGGAGTCAGACCCACAGCAGCCTGCTCAGGGCAAGGGGATGCGCGGGGGAGAACGAGCAAGTCAGAACAGATGCTATGGCAGAGAGTTTAAATGAGGTTCAGAGTGATCCTAAAACTGAAACCACCTAGGGTGTTTTATGAACCCTTCTTGGCAGCCAGACTCATATTTGCAGTGACTTCTGTACTGAGAACAGTGAGTGTATCATCCTATATGATACTGCAAAGGTCCTGCAGTCCCCCACTAGGGCAGACATCCAGAAAAGACGAAGACTCTAAATCTGAAACCATACCTGCACCCCAGTGTTCACTGCGGCTCTATTTACAGTAGCCGGGACATGGAAACGACCTAAATGCCCATCAGTGGTCAACTGGTTTAAGAAGATGTGGTACACATAAGCAATGGAAGATTACTCAGCCACAAAGAAGAATGAAATATTGTCACTTTCAGCAATGTAGATAGAGCTAGAGAATATTATACACCGTGAAGTTAGTGTGAAGTAAGTCAGACAAAGGCAAATAGTATATGATGTCACTTATACATAGAATCTAAAAATATAATACAAATGATTCTATATAGAAAACAGAAATAGGGTCACAGACACAAGGAAAACCTTATGGTTACCAAAGGGGAAAGGGGAGAGGGGTGGGACAAGTTAGGACTTTGGGTTTAACAGACACAAACTACTAAACATAAAATAGATATGCAACAAGGATTTGTTGTATAAAATGGAGCTGTACTCAATACCTTGTAATAGCCTATGATGAAAAAGAATCTGAAAAAAAATATGACTGAATCACTTTGTTGTACACCTGAAACTAACACTGTATTGCAAGTCAACTGTACGTCAATTAAGAAATAGTAACGCATAGCCTTTTTCTCTCCAGGCCTAAAGCGGTGAAAGCACTGAAGTGGGGTCCGGACGCTCAGCGAGCACGGAGCTGTCAGCACCGCTCGCCCCATTCTGTGTGGCGGTGTCTCGGCCCCGGTGAGAGCAGGTGAGCCCCCCCGCGCACCTGGCAATAGCGGCTGCGGCGTCCGCCCCCCGCAGCCCTTTCACGGCGGCCGACACTTCGAGGTGCTCCCTCGCCGTCAGGCTGGGCCACAGCGCGCTCTCCTGGGGACAGTACCCCAGGAACCCCAGGGGCGCCCCTCCGCTGCCCCCCGCGAGCAGCACCTGCGGAGACAAGGGCGTTCTCACATTCCCTCCAGGACCACGGGTGCCGGCGCCAGGGTTATTTCAGTGGTGTCCGTCCACACACGCGGTGCCCGAGTCCAGAAGTGAGTGGGTGGTCACCAGCTCTGGGGAAAGGACAACTGAAAGCGGAAAGGCAGACGCTCCACTCTCACAGGACAGACGATCACAGTTTGGACTGGGTTACCAAGTGCGTGAAAAAATTCAAGGTCGCTTATTTGGTCGTCCAACTGCTGCTGTTTAGTCACTGAGTCGTGTCTGACTCTTTGCGACCCCACGGACTGGAGCCCTCCAGGCTCCTCTGTCCACGGAATTTCCCAGGCAAGAACACTGGAGTGGGTTGCCGTCCTCCTCCAGGGGATCTTCCAGACCCAGGGAGCCAACCCGAGTCTGTCTCCCGCACTGGCTGGCAGCCTCTTTACCACTGAGCCACCTGGTCAGCCTGGCAGTCCAATGCTTGACCTCTTCATTTACTGATCCAAACATCCACAGGAAGAGGTATTTGCTGAAGATCCTGTTTTTCCAAAGTTAAAATCGTTACAGGTATGGGACATTTCACAAGTATATCGTGAAGATTCAATAAGCTAGTTTTTTCCAGCCTTCCTGCCTGGGGACATCCGGCCCGTATGGAGACACTTGTGTTGTCCTGATTGAGAATCTAGTGGCTTGAGGCCAAGGATGCTGCTAAATATCCCTCCATGCACAGGGCAGCCCTCATAATAAGAATGATCTGGGCAGAATGACACTGGGGTCACACTATGGATCAACTAATGCGCCAACATGGAACAAAAAGCTTAAAAAAACCAGGGATGGACTTAGAAGTGTCATGCTGAGTGAAGTAAGACAGAGGAGGAGAAATATCCTGTGACATTATGCGTAGAATCTAAAAAGAAATGATACAAATGAACTTATTTAAAAACAGAAACCTCAGATATGCAGATGACACCACCCTTATGGAAGAAAGTGAAGAACTCAAGAGCCTCTTGATGAAAGTGAAAGAGGAGAGTGAAAAAATTGGCTTAAAGCTCAACATTCAGAAAACTAAGGTCATAGCATCCAGGCCCATCACTTCACAACAAATAGATGGGGAAACAGTGGAAACAGTGAGAGACGATGGAAACAGTGAGAGACTATTTTTTTAAGCTCCAACACAACTGCAGATGGTGACTGCAGCCATGAAATTAAAAGACACTTGCTCCTTGGAAGAAAAGCTATGACCAATCTAGACAACATATTAAAAAGCAGAGACATTACTTTGCCAACAAAAGTCCATCTAGTCAAAGCTATGGTTTTACCAGTAGTCATGTATGGATGTCAGAGTTGGNCGATTCATGGGGTCGCAAAGAATTGGACATGACTGAGTGAATGCACTGAACTGATAAGCAGAAACAGACTCACAGATGCAGAAAAACGCTTACGGTGGCTGGGGGATGGGATGGGGGCAGGGACAGTTAGGGAGGTTGGGATGGACACGTGCACACGGCTGTATTTAAAACGGGGTCCTCCTGAGCAGCACAGGGAACCCTGCTCAGGTTCTGAGGCAGCCTGGACGAGAGGGGAGTTTGGGGGAGCATGGACACAACATGTCTGTGTGTGGCTGAGTCCCTTTGCTGTCCACCTGAAACCATCACAACACTGTTAATGGGCAATGTGAAATAAAAAGGTATTTATTAAGTTCAAAAACAGAGAAGATAAACAACAAAAACAAGCATCCTACCCCCCACCCCCTGCAAACCCCAACATGTTCCCAGGGGCCAAACCTGAGAAATCCTGAACTAAGGTAAATGGAAACCTCTCAGCACTAGTCTGGCACATAGGAATCAATAAACACATGCATTTATTTTTTTTATGAGCCAGATACTGTGCCATACAATAATAATAATAACAGGTATGTGTACCAGTGCTTACATTTTCTGTGTTTCAAATTATTTTGACCTCAGAGAAACCCAACCCGACTGGGGCGTTAGCTGGATAGTCGTGTTTCACACACGAGGAAACAAACAAGCGTCGTCTGTTACACTCGTGCAGGAGGCCGTCCGAGGTAGAGCTGGGAGTGGGAACTGGGGCCTGCCCTTGGACTGCAAGCCCACGACCGTGGGGCTGTCTCGTCTCTGCCCAGGACAGAGGAGGAGAGCCCTCGCTAACCTGGCCTCACAGAGCTTTCAGTCTAGACAGAGAAACGGAGGTGGATCGCCACGCCTGCTGACCGCTTTCAGGGCAGTAACGCTGTTAGCCCCGAGGGTCACTGGGAGAGGCCTCTGGGGACGCGGATTTTAAGTGACGAGACCGAGATGAGCAGACACACGAGGAGCCGAGGGCAGAGCCCCCCAGCCCCCAGGAGAGCACGCCCGAAGGCCTCACAGTGGGAAGACCACCGGAGGCTGGTGGGAGCCAGTGCCATCACCGGAGCCCAGATGCTGCAGGGCCTTTTTCGGCCACTGTGAAGGTTCTAGACGCAGTCCAGCTGCGGGGTTGTAAGCAGGGTAATGGCATGAACGCTTCTGCAATTTTTTAAGGACCACTCTGGCTGCCATGGACTGAAAGGGGAAGGGAAGCCAAGAGCGCCATCAGCTTCTCGTGGTGAGCACGCCCTCTGGCCTTCACCTTCTGACCAGTGTCAATAGCATCTCCCCTTCAAATGTGCATACTGTGGGATTTCCCTGGTGGCCTGGCGGCTGAGACTCTGTGCTCCTAACGCGGGGGCCCAGGTTTAGTCCCTGAACCTGGGATTGAGCCCTATAACTTCAGGTTCAGTCCCTGAATCCCAGTTCAATGCTGCAACTAAGACCCATTGCAGCTAAATAAATGCATATTAAAAAAAAAAAAACGAAAAAGACATAATTGTAATACTTCAATCCTCTGTCCATCACTTTACACAACTTGGCCCCGACATAGTACCCAATTGCATTCATATACTATTGTGGTTTTTTGCTTTGGAATTTGGACAATTTTTTCACGAATTTAAGATTTCTATTTTCTGAATAAATCCTGGATCTTGGCAGTTCAATTAAACAAGTTCTCAGGATACATAACTTAAAAAAAAATAGACTTTTGACCATGAACAAAGCTAATGTTTAGCTTTACTTTTCCAAATGTTTCCCATGAATGTGTCTACTTTTCACTCAGTAAAAGGCATAGTATAGATAACACATAGGCTTCAGTGCCTAACTATTTTTGGAATTAAGGGGAGACATTTTTCATTAATCCTCTTCATTCAATGCATAAATCACATTGATTAATAAGAAAGGACCAGATATATATTTTTAAGATTGGCATCTATGGTCATTGGAAAATATTTCTTCTAGGCAGCATTGATAAGGATATTTCCATGTGTTTACTGACCTGCCCTGAGGTTGGTCTCGTCTCTCCAGTTATCATCTTGATGGTTGTGCTTTTACCTGCTCCGTTGTGTCCCAAGAGCCCTAAAACTTCACCTGAAAGAAACAGGTACATTCAGAATTATACCTGCAAATCATTATAATAAAAGTAACACAAATACTGTTTCATGGTTCACCGTGTGTCAAACTATAGGCATTAGTTCACTTATTCTTCACACGCACACCTGAGTGTTGTCACTAGCTTCATTTTGCAGGCAAGGAAATGGAGATGCAAAGAGAATGAAGAACAAAATGATGAAGGTCTTGCAGCCAATCTGAAGTTGAGCTGGAATCTGAAGTGCATTTTTTTTTTTTTTTGCATTTAACGCCANTCTCCTGCTCAATACCATGAGTCAGACCAGCCCTTCCCCCTAGAAACTGCCATTTTCCGGCAAACTCCCCCAGTCTAATACATTCCTTCAGGGAAGAGACGTCTGTACTGTATCATATGATTCCTGCTTGCTCTTCCTCTGTAAACTGGAATAGAAACATCCACCCAACCAGTAGGTCTGTGAAGATGTGTGTTCACGTACACACACGCATAGGCACACAAACACACACACAGGCACACGGATACATCCAGGCACACAAATATACACACAGACCAAGCAGACACAGCTGGGCACACAAAGACATACACAGCTCAGATGAACTCTCCCCCCTGAACTGCTTGCAGCAAATTTTGCTCCGTTTAGAAAATTTAAAAGTCTCACTTTGGTTTTGTGATGACTAGCTTTATTTGCCAAAACTATGACTCTGAAAAAGGAATGGACAAGTCAGTGTGTGTGTTTCCTTGGTTCTCTCATCTCTGTGGGCACTGCATAGTCACAGAAGTCAAATGATGGGCTCCACGTGTAAGAACTAAAGAACCTCAAGTGTTTTCGGAAAAGTAAGACTGCACGCTGCCCCCTTGCCCGGACAGAGTCAAGGGTCTGATGCGCGATTTCACGACTCTACCTCCTCCGAGTCCGGGGCGGCCACGGCGTCCGCTGTTCTGCTTCTTTCCATCTGGACGTCTTCATCCTCTCCTTCGGGTTTCTCTGGGTTTGGAAAGACAGCACTGCTCCTTGGGGAAATTCTAAAAGCAAAACAGTGCGAATCTAACAGGTTTCCAGCTGAAAAACGTGTACCCAAAATGGTGAATTTTGTATGTACTGCGATCAATCATTTGGACGGATTGAGTAGCTGCGGGGCTTCCCTTGTGGCTCAGCTGGTAGAGAATCCACAGCAGAAGCTCTAAGTTTCTAGTCGACACCGTTCTCCTTTCAAATAGCCTCAATCCCATCAGTGACGCTACTTTCATATCATCCTGGCTTTTTGCCTGAGCATAATACTCATTATTGGTCATGACTTCTTTTTAAATAATAAACTGGTACACACTTCCCTGGAAAAGGATTTTGAGGCAGGGTTGCATGTGAAAGGAACCCAGGAACTGTAACTTCAGCACAGACATTTCAGAATTCTGAAGGCTTTGTTGCAACAGTGGACCAAAATGCTTATAATCAGAGGCATGACCGGTGTGTCAGAATTACTCTTTCCCGACTGCTACCAACCGAATTCCCTCCTGCATCGTCCCAAACCACTGGTTACGGCTGCTGCCTGTCTCTCTCTCAGACTTCTGCCGACAGCCGACGTCCTAAAGCAGAGCTGTCATCCCACCCCTCTCCTGCTCGGCTCACATAAACTGGACTTGAGCTTGATTCCTGTTCTGAGTAAGGCAAGGTTTTCAAAGCACATCTGTCTTCACTTTTCATTGTGTAACTTTCAAAACCCTCCCTAAGCTTCTCTACCCAAGACCCTCCAGTACTGAGCTTCAGTTTAATTTTTCATGATCCTGCAACACATGCCTCCAAGTTTGTTCCAGCTGCCTTTTCAAATCTACAGGAAGGCGGTGTTTATTCCAACTTTCATCCTTTCGCTCAGCTACCCCTCCTTCCTAGATGCCTATACTTATCCAGCTGCTTACATAGACGTGCCCAGGAGTTGGTGACAGACAGGGAAGCCTGGTGTGCTGCAGTCCATGGGGTCACGAAGGTCAGACACAACTGAGCGAGTGAGCAACAACTCTACACAGTCCCTTCAAAACAATTCTACACAGACTTTTTATGCAATTAATTGGACATATTAAAATGTCTTTAAACAGTGAGTATTAAAATAAGACATGAAATATTATTTGAATTTTCTTAACCTGAACACAGGATCCTTTCTCATTGATTTCTTCCTGAATTTCATCTCCAGACATCTTAAGATAAAGAGGAAGATGAAGAAATGAAGATAAGGCTGGGGAGAAAAAGAAAATCACAGTTAGCATCAATGTAAAAGCAACTTCCATATTGGAACTGATTTAAGGAGTTTGACCATGTACAAGGTTGTTAAGGATTTGGTAACATTTTCACAAGATTAAAAGGCAATATATTTAACATTTGGAGAAGCTCTCCCAGTTTGTGTTACTGTATATAAGAGAAATCATGATAGAAATAGTCATAAGCCGGGCTTCCCCGGTGACTCAGTGGTGAAGAATCTGCTGGCCAGTGCGGGGGACACGAATCGATCCCTGATTTGGGAAGATCCCACAGGCTGCAGGGCGATTGAGCCCAGGAGCCACAGCTACTGAGTCCTGCGCCCCGAGCCCGTGCCCCCCCACAGGAGAAGCCGGCGCAGTGAGGGGCCCACGCGGCCCAGCCAGAGCGTGGCCCAGCTCTCTGCAGCCAGAGAGAGCCCATGCAGGCTTCTCTGTTTGTTTTTAAATAAATAAAATCATTAGGGTCAAGACGGCTCTGCCAGCATAGCGACTGGTTCCCACCTTTTTTCACGCAGAAAGAGACATTTCTTGTGGCTACTTTCTTCTTCCCCTTGGCAAAACAATTTTTCTTTCTGCCTGCATATTCCTTCCGCAGACAGCTGGCCACGATGACAGGTTTCTGGAAAAGCAAGGAAGTCCGATGGGGCTTCATTTTCACCGTGAAACGAGCGCGTGTCCCCTCCTCTCTGGGTCCAGATCTCTCCTGCTCAATACCATGAGTCAGACCAGCCCTTCCCCCTAGAAACTGCCATTTTCCGGCAAACTCCCCCAGTCTAACACATTCCTTCAGGGAAGAGACGTCTGTACTGTATCATATGATTCCTGCTTGCTCTTCCTCTGTAAACTGGAATAGAAACATCCACCCAACCAGTAGGTCTGTGAAGATGTGTGTTCACGTACACACACGCATAGGCACACAAACACACACACAGGCACACGGATACATCCAGGCACACAAATATACACACAGACCAAGCAGACACAGCCGGGCACACAAAGACATACACAGCTCAGATGAACTCTCCCCCCTGAACTGCTTGCAGCAAATTTTGCTCCGTTTAGAAAATTTAAAAGTCTCACTTTGGTTTTGTGATGACTAGCTTTATTTGCCAAAACTATGACTCTGAAAAAGGAATGGACAAGTCAGTGTGTGTGTTTCCTTGGTTCTCTCATCTCTGTGGGCACTGCATAGTCACAGAAGTCAAATGATGGGCTCCACGTGTAAGAACTAAAGAACCTCAAGTGTTTTCGGAAAAGTAAGACTGCACGCTGCCCCCTTGCCCGGACAGAGTCAAGGGTCTGATGCGCGATTTCACGACTCTACCTCCTCCGAGTCCGGGGCGGCCACGGCGTCCGCTGTTCTGCTTCTTTCCATCTGGACGTCTTCATCCTCTCCTTCGGGTTTCTCTGGGTTTGGAAAGACAGCACTGCTCCTTGGGGAAATTCTAAAAGCAAAACAGTGCGAATCTAACAGGTTTCCAGCTGAAAAACGTGTACCCAAAATGGTGAATTTTGTATGTACTGCGATCAATCATTTGGACGGATTGAGTAGCTGCGGGGCTTCCCTTGTGGCTCAGCTGGTAGAGAATCCACAGCAGAAGCTCTAAGTTTCTAGTCGACACCGTTCTCCTTTCAAATAGCCTCAATCCCATCAGTGACGCTACTTTCATATCATCCTGGCTTTTTGCCTGAGCATAATACTCATTATTGGTCATGACTTCTTTTTAAATAATAAACTGGTACACACTTCCCTGGAAAAGGATTTTGAGGCAGGGTTGCATGTGAAAGGAACCCAGGAACTGTAACTTGAGCACAGACATTTCAGAATTCTGAAGGCTTTGTTGCAACAGTGGACCAAAATGCTTATAATCAGAGGCATGACTGGTGTGTCAGAATTACTCTTTCCCGACTGCTACCAACCGAATTCCCTCCTGCATCGTCCCAAACCACTGGTTACGGCTGCTGCCTGTCTCTCTCTCAGACTTCTGCCGACAGCCGACGTCCTAAAGCAGAGCTGTCATCCCACCCCTCTCCTGCTCGGCTCGCATAAACTGGACTTGAGCTTGATTCCTGTTCTGAGTAAGGCAAGGTTTTCAAAGCACATCTGTCTTCACTTTTCATTGTGTAACTTTCAAAACCCTCCCTAAGCTTCTCTACCCAAGACCCTCCAGTACTGAGCTTCAGTTTAATTTTTCATGATCCTGCAACACATGCCTCCAAGTTTGTTCCAGCTGCCTTTTCAAATCTACAGGAAGGCGGTGTTTATTCCAACTTTCATCCTTTCGCTCAGCTACCCCTCCTTCCTAGATGCCTATACTTATCCAGCTGCTTACATAGACGTGCCCAGGAGTTGGTGACAGACAGGGAAGCCTGGTGTGCTGCAGTCCATGGGGTCACGAAGGTCAGACACAACTGAGCGAGTGAGCAACAACTCTACACAGTCCCTTCAAAACAATTCTACACAGACTTTTTATGCAATTAATTGGACATATTAAAATGTCTTTAAACAGTGAGTATTAAAATAAGACATGAAATATTATTTGAATTTTCTTAACCTGAACACAGGATCCTTTCTCATTGATTTCTTCCTGAATTTCATCTCCAGACATCTTAAGATAAAGAGGAAGATGAAGAAATGAAGATAAGGCTGGGGAGAAAAAGAAAATCACAGTTAGCATCAATGTAAAAGCAACTTCCATATTGGAACTGATTTAAGGAGTTTGACCATGTACAAGGTTGTTAAGGATTTGGTAACATTTTCACAAGATTAAAAGGCAATATATTTAACATTTGGAGAAGCTCTCCCAGTTTGTGTTACTGTATATAAGAGAAATCATGATAGAAATAGTCATAAGCCGGGCTTCCCCGGTGACTCAGTGGTGAAGAATCTGCTGGCCAGTGCTGGGGACACGGATCGATCCCTGATTTGGGAAGATCCCACGGGCTGCAGGGCGATTGAGCCCAGGAGCCACAGCTACTGAGTCCTGCGCCCCGAGCCCGTGCCCCCCCACAGGAGAAGCCGGGGCAGTGAGGGGCCCACGCGGCCCAGCCAGAGCGTGGCCCAGCTCTCTGCAGCCAGAGAGAGCCCATGCAGGCTTCTCTGTTTGTTTTTAAATAAATAAAATCATTTTAAAAAAAGAAATAGTAATGAGTTGATACTAGCACTACCCACACCATTGGGAGTTCGGGCTTCCCACTCAGTGTCAGATGATGAGTGTCAACTAGTGGTCAGGTGCCGGAAGTGAGGAATTAAAACTGAAGTGTCCGAATTAAAACTGTGCCTTTAACACAGAGCATGCAAAGCTGTCCCCTCAGGCAAGAACATTTAAATGAAAGCGTCTTCTTACGATTAGTACTGTCAGAAATGCCACCTGCTGTTCAGAAGGCCCCAGGTAATCCACAGAGTCAGGAGAAATCTGTGAAAGGAGGACAAAGGGGTATTTAGATGCACCTCGATCTGTGTGTGAATCTCTTCCCACGAAGAATGATGCCCATTAAGTGACTCATCTGCATTCTAGTGAGTCGTCTTCTGCATCAGGTTAAGAGTCAGCTCCTAACCGTGCGTCCTCCTTGCTTCCAAGGTCACTTGGCGACCTACCTGCTAACCTGAGTTTGGCTGTAGCTCAGATACATCTGTGCACGAGTGAGCAGGACTGCCCTGCTGGTGGAAACCTGGGTGCTGCTGGTGGGACCCACTGAAGCCAAGGGCAAGACCAGCCTGGAGACACCCCCCACCCCCCAACTGCCTTTCTCTTCACACCTCTGCCCGGGAACCATCACCTGCTCCCCCTGCTCTGGAGAGCACCTGTGACCGACCCTCAGCCAGAGGACAAAGTTCTTCACCGGGGTTCCATCTGCACATACTCAAAGGTGTGGTTTTCATCAGCACTATTTAAAAGGCCTCCCAACTCTTTTGTGAATGAAGGGCACAGGACCTGTTTTGTTTCTCAAGTTGTATTTCCCAAGACTTCTTTTCTGAGCATCTTTAATCCGATGTAGGAAATGGCAACCCACTCCAGTATCCTTGCCTGGAAAATCCCATGGACAGAGGAGCCTGGTGGGCTGCAGTCCATGGGGTTGCAAAGAATTGGGCACGACTGAGCGACTAACAGACCAGACAGAGTAAACCTCTAACCAGCACAGCCATCCACCATCTAAGACAATTGTTTTCCTATCGGATGACCTGCCAGGATCCTGACGTCATCTTGCTCACATCCAAGGACTGTATCATATCCAAAGTCGACTTCAGGCTCCCTGGTCTCTGCCCTGTCTGCCACTGATTTTATTCCGAGCATCCTTTCTCTATAATTTGGAGTTGGTGACACTCCACCCACCACTCCTCTGTCCACAGACCCCCTCGTCTCTTCCCCTTCCTCATTCCCGAGCTTAGACACCTCGGTCCATTGTCATGACCCCTCTTTACACAGAAACTCTGTCCCTGACCCTTTGCTTCATCAACTCATCTGGCAAAACCCTAACCCTGGTCAAAGCTGACTCTCCACTTCTCCTGAGTTACACAAGAGAAGCAGAGGAGATGACAGAAACTTAACTCTGCTGACTTCACTTGGGAAGTGGGGTGGGGGGTGGTCCTCTAGCACTGTGTCCATTCTGCTGACCTGCCCTCTGAAATAATTTTTCACATCTTTTCTTCCGCCCTCAAGGTCCCAAGACCTCCCTTCACTTCACTCAGATGATAATTTACCCTTTCTCCCTAAGAAAGGAAAATATTTCAGTTTCCATATGCTCTGGGCATGACCTTTTTCCCCTGTGGCATCTTTTAAAAATTGGACAGGGCAAAGGTCAGTATAATCTCTTTACAATGGTGTGTTGGTTTCTGCCGTCCAATGGAGTGAGTCAGCTGTACGGATATGCACACATCCCCTCCCTCTTGATGTGCCCCCTCCTCATTGCACCCCCCGGGTCATCACGGAGCCCTGAGCCGGCCTCCCTGCACTTCGCAGCAGCTTCCTGCTGGCTCTCTGTCCTACACGAGGTGGCGTGTCTGTGTCAATGCCACTCTCAATTCGCCCCACCCTTCTCTCCCCACCACCGCCCCCCCCAGTCCACAAGTCCATCTTCTCCATCTGCATCTGGAATCTTCCAGCTTTAGTGACGGGACCCCCTCCCACTCCCTGCGGCTTGGGCTCTGTATGCCATCTTCTCCCAGATCTTCAAGGACTCGGCTTCCAAGGTACTCCATCCTTCATCTAAAATTTCTGTCACAGCAGCACAGTATCTCCCTCCTTAAACCTGAATCTGCGCTCACTCACGCACCCTTCCATCTCGCTGGTACCCTTTTCAGCAAAGCTCTTAGAACCACCTCACGAGCTCTTCACTCTACATTCTGTACTAAGCTCGCTCCTTCTAAGCTTTTGTGTCCACGCTTCCACTGAAACCTGTCTTGTGAACATCGCCAGGGACTCTAATGTGGTCCAGCCCAGCAGTTTCTTCTCAGTTGTCATCTTTCTAGACCACTCATTAGATGAATCCCTCCATCCTTTGTGAAACATGCTTTGGTGCCATCTGACTCACATCCTTAGTTACTGATACCCTGAGTGTTTGGGGGCGTGGGGGGTGGGTTTCAGAGATGAGATTCTGGTGCACAAATATCCTCCTTTTTTCTTCCTCCCTCACAGGCTTCTTCTTAAAGTGGTTCGTGGAGTCCTCTTCTTCCCAATCTCTGTAGTTCAAAGCGAAATGCTTCGTCTTCTTTTCAGTCTAACAACGCTTACTCTGTAGATATACCAGCTCGTCCTGTGGCTTTAAACACACTCCTAAGCATGTGAATCTCAGGGGTTCAGCTTTAGTTTTGAGCTCACACACTGAACTTCAGGCTCCTGTGTCAAGTGACCACCTGCCGTTTCCCACCGCATGTCTTAGGAACCTTAAACCTCGTGTGTCCGGAATGAACAGAAAAAGGGCGTCTCTGCCACCTCCCAGGAGGTCCTTCGCCCCCATTGTGAGGGCGGCCAAGAGAACGGTAAAACCCTACCCTGCGCCTTTGCCTCTGCCCTGGGTAAAGCGTGGCGGGGCTTCCTCCAGAAGGAGACGGCGACCCTCGCCTGTGGGCAGTGAGTGATCTTCTGAAGGCAGGCATCAAACCTGCCCGGCTGAGGGCTCCACTTACGTTGTATCACATCCAAGGTTTTCTCCAAAGGCAGCACTTTTCATGATCCCAGAACAGACGTGAAATTACTCACCTCAGAAAAAATGAGTAGAACGCCAATTAGCGTGAAGGGTGGTATCAATATGGTGCAGAGAAACAGCCCTAGAAATGCGTGTTCGTTCAGATAATTAGCAACAATGGAGAAGAGGGTGACCTAAAATAAAAAGAGCATAGTTTCATCAAAGTATAACATTCTGAAAGCAATATTGATTTACCACCATGCTTACTACAAAGATTAAAATATATATTCTCAGAATTATTAAAAATAGTTTAAAAATAAAATAATGTGCACCATATGCATACTTACAATTAAGAAGAAAAATGACCAAATGCCACTATTTTTCCTCCCATGGCGAAAAATGAATGAAATCACATATGTCAAGAAAACAAGAGATGAGACATAGCCAATTATACACAGGGTCTGAAAATAGAAATATTACAGTCACCTAAGGTAAATGCTATCTAAAGACAAATTCATATTTAAACTCTTGGACAGCAAGGAGATCAAACCAGTCAATACTAAAGGAAATCAACCCTGAATATTCACTGGAAGGACTGACGCTGAAGCTCTAATACTTGGGCCACCTGATATGAAGAACCGACTCATTGGAAAAGACCCTGATGCTGGGAAAGATTGAGGGCAGGAGGAGAAGGGGACGACAGAGGATGAGATGGTTGGATGGCATGACTGACTCGATGGACATGAATATAAGCAAACTCCTGGAGATGGTGAAGGACAGGGAAGCCTGGCGTGCTGCAGTCCATGGGGTTGCAAAGAGTTGGTCACGACTTAGGGACTGAACAACAATTTAAACTCAACTTTCCAGAACTAAGTTATAACAAACATAATGTGAAGTTCTTTGGTTTAAGATGAATCATGTAATTGCATTTAGTCTAAGAAAGCCATTTGATAACTTTTGCCACTTACCTGAACTGCCAGGTTTTGAATGATAAACTCAAACTCGTCTGGGCTAAAAACGTAATCCATTATTTGCATTAGAAGGAGGATCAAAAGGTACAGGGGAACGTCCACCAGTGCCTGCCCAAACCAGTAAGCGGAAGGGTAGAGGCCTGAAATCCGCAGCTGGAAGTAAACTTTTTTCTGATAAAGAAGCAAAAGAATCATCAAAAGTTTTTGAATAGTTCAGGCTTGAGAAATTGCAAATATGCAGCACAAAAGCATTCATTTCCCCTATGTCTCTTTTATATATTATGCTAATTTAGCGAACGACACTGTGACTTGCCCTGGTCCTATTTCAGGGGCATTGATAATGCTGTATGCCATGCTATCTCCAGGAAGAAGGGGTCTACACAGCATTGCCGAGGTGAGAAGATTCTTGTTCTTTTCTTGTCAAAGCTACTGATGCCTCTGATGCTATGGAGCCTTGCAAGCTGCACAGAGTTTCAAGAGAAGGAGGTGCACAATTTCCTGGAAGATTCCTAAGTTTTATGCTGAATGTAAACAGCACACTTATAATTGGCATCTTGCTTTGTTTCTCAGGGGAGAAATTGCTAGAGAAGGGTAGCTTAAGAGCAGGGTAGGTGGAGATTAACTTGAGTCCACCACCAACACGTCCCGCACTTGCACACGGCTCAGCGGTGCAGAGGGAACCCCGGCGGACGACGCTGAGGACGAGGAAGCGGGAGGGGGGACCTTCTCTGCACAGACGCAGCATGGAGGCACAGGAGGTCTATCGCGGGTGAGTGGCTGTGACACATACACACCAGTGTGTGTAAGGCAGAGAGCTGGCGGGGAGCTCAGCGCGGGGAGCTCAGCGCGGGCTCTGGGATGACCTGGGGGGAGGGGTGGCATGGGGGAGGGGCGGGTTCAGGAAGGAGGGGATACCTGTGTGCACACCTGGCTGAATCACCTTGTTGTAGAGCAGAAGCCAACACAACGTGGTAAAGCGATTATACTCCAGTAAAAAAATATACAAGAGCATATGAGGACTTTTGCTCTTTATTATTATCACTACTTAGGATAGGAAACATTTTTCCCCTCAGGGAGGAAAATCTGAGAAATTTGACTTAATCCCTTCCACTGCATTTTTTCTTACTCCTCGGCTTTCACGAATTTCTCTTTTATGTGGGAGTGTCGCGGACTGACGGCGTGTGTAGGTTTCAGGAGAACGGCAGAGTGATCCAGAGGTCTGTCTGCAAGTGTCTACTCCGTCTCACTCTCCGCCCCTCTGGGTGTCACAGGGGATGGAGCAGGACGTGGATTTGATTAGCTGCTCTTACTTTATAGTCGCCGATGCTGCCCATAGAGATGTACGGAGTGAAGCAGGCCATCCCGGGGATCCAGTAGAAGGCCATGCTCAGGTACCCGTGCTCGTAAGCCGTGTGCTCCTGAAATCATGCCGAACATGTGAGCTGATGGTCATCAGGTATAGATGTCATTTATACTATTTCTAAACCAAATCATTTCCACGAGTGAAGCGGTCTAACTACCCAGAGCACTTCCCAAGGTTTGCAACTTCGCATCTTTAGTCGTGTGTTACAGCGGCTGGGACAATCGAACACACATCCTGATTTATTCATGAAGAAGCAAACTCCATCACATCGCGTGACCTGGCTGCACTCCCACGGTTAACAACGGGGGACATAACCACACCACCTCATCCCCAGCTCTGAGACGACTGCGTTGAGGCTGACGTTTTAATAGACAGAGGTCGTGGGCTGTCAATGGAGGAGCTACTGGGCCACATTCAGAACCTGAGACTAAGTCAGTTCAGCTCAACATGTAGGAGGAATCATTTTTCTTGTTCAACATAATGGAGGAAGCTCAAATGCCTTCAAAGTGCCGGCAGGTATGAATTATTGGGTAGGTAGGTGTCTGGGCTTGGAGAAAAGTGATCAGCCCACACTCCACATTAAAGCATTGAGTTAAAGCGATTCAAAGTCCTGTACAGGTTAAAGAGGGCTTTGGGTTTGGCGTGAAGCCTTGATCTCATCGGTGACTGGCTGCCTCACTGCCTCGCTCATCGTCTGAGGTGGGGACCCTGAGCCTTGAGAGCTGCTCACCTTCTCTCAGCCCCTCCTAAACGGAGGGCCCCCCGCGCTCTTGCAGCAGGTCAGCACTGCCTGAATCTAGACGCGCACGTGGAGATAAAGGGAAGAAAGTGCACCCAGGTCTGCCGCAGCATCTCTTATCTCTGCCTGTGGTCACCCTTGTTGGTTTTCCAGATCTGGGATATCTTTAGTGTGTGTTAGTGGCTCAGGCATGTCTGACTACTTGTGACCCCCTGAACTCCAGCCCATCAGGCTCCTCTGTCCAAGGAACAGGCAAGAATACTGGAGGGGGTTGCCATGTCCTTCCCTAGAGGATCTTCCTAATCCAGGGATCGAACCCACATCTCCTGCATTGCAGCAGGTTCTTTACCCTCTGAGCAACCAGGGACACTCTTTGGGAATGGAAAATTCACAATTAGTCTCAATGGCTGACCCCTCACTCAAAACTTGGTTCATAAACATCATATTCTGCCCGTGTTCGATGACGTGGACCCACAGGCAGGGTGTTGTAGAGCTCAGCCTGGGGGAGCCCACAGAGGCTCTTGATACCAGCTGGGGAGCTGGTCAGGCGCGGACATGCAGGGTGGCCAGTGGGGGCCACTTCAGGATGCTCTGACGGACGGTTAAAGTCACGAGCAGGGGCAGAAGTGAGCTCTGTGCTTTGGATTCCAGGCAAACGGGCTTGCAGAATCGGAGCAGGCCAGGAGTGGGGGCGGGCGGGAATCAACAGGGCTCACTCCGAGAGGAATTATCTACACAGGTACCCAAGCTCAGCTAGGCTGGTAGGTGGCAAACATTTTGTAGTAAAGCCATTTTTTAAAAAGTTACCATATAATTTAATGCCAAAACTAAGACACTGCAGTGATAAAACTGTTATTCAATATAACTCCTTTAAAGTTTCGAAATATTTATTTGAAGACTAATGCATTTTCTTTATTACTGGCAAATTTAAACTATTTAAATTTTAAATTACAGGTAAATTTAAACTATTTTAACATTAAAATGTATTCTAAGAAATGAAAGCAAGTTATATTTACTTATATTATATATTACAAAATGTTCTTAAATAGCTGAATTTTATGAGGTAAACCCTAAATTATATGTTCTAGACCCAGGAGACAAAGTTGCTCCACTACCTGACCAATGGCACATTAAACAATAAAACCCACAGAAAGCAGGATGGTGTGACTGTCTCTCCTGCAGCCCGAGGGGACTTCTGCTCTCCAAGGCTGAGTGGGTCTTCATCTCCAGGAGGGCCCGGGGTCCAAGCTAAACCCGCCCGTGAGCCAGCACACAGGCCCCCTCGGCGGGGCCACCACGTAAGCAGAGGGGACCGGGGCGGCCACAGCTCGAAGGCAGGAGCGCCTCAGCCCCTCACCCTGTCCCCGTCTACTCTCCCAGCACCCGCCGTTACGCAGGAGGAGGAGAAAGGCGCGCGCTCCTCTCCGCCCGAGAGGTTGGACTGCGGAAGGGGAGGAAGGCGCGCCTCACACCGCGACAGCCCACCCGGCCCGCACCCATCAGGCCACCGTTGACTGCAGTGTGTGAGCCGGACAGGAACTTGAGGTCTGGGACCGCACTGGAGCAATTCTTGACAACAGAAAGTGACCAGTGAGCTGCAGAATATGCCCAAGGCGTCATTTAACGGAGGCAAAGAGAGACTCAACACAGACAGGGACGTAAGGGGTGACCTGAAGATGCGGATCTGCACAGCCTCACCCCCCGTGGAGGTCCTGACTCGGGGGCCCGGGCGCGGCCGGCCAGTCGTGTTTTATACAAGCGCGTCTTCCAGTTATAACTCAGCCGGCCCCTGGTCTAGTCAAAGCTGAACCTTCTTTGATGGAAACTTGATGAATTCCCAAGAAAAACAATGCTAACCTCAACAGTGACACTAAGTGCGATTATCGAGTGCCTCCGGTTTTCTGTGTGCCTCGGCACTTGTCTTTATAGTAACTCAGCCCCAAAACCTCCTGCCATCATTGTCTTGTCTCCTTCGTAAGGGAGCTCTGTGATGAGTTTTTGGTTTTTTTCTTTATCATTTTTCTCGTTTATTTTTATCTGAGGCCGTGCCGGGTCTTCGTTGCTGCACAGGCCCCTCTCTGGCTGCGGTGCCCGGGGTTCTCACCGCGGCGGCGCCTCCTGCTCTGGAGCTCGGGCACGTGGGCTCGGTGGCTCCGGATCCAGAGCACAGACCCAGTGGTTGTGGCCCACAGATCTAGTGGCTCTGTGGCCTGTGGGATCTTCCCAGACCAGAGGTCGAACCCACGTTTCCTGCATCAGCAGGTAGATTCTTATCCACTGAGACACCGGGGAAGCCCCATGATAAAGTTTTTATCTGTATTTTTTTGTGGATTGTTGACCCTAGATCTACAAAAGTCCAGTTGTTACAAGGTCACAAAGCCTGGCATTTAAGATGCTGGCTGTTTAACTAGGTCCCTCTACTGAGAGCCACAGATGCTAACACATCTAAGCCCAAAATTCATCATTTTTTCCCAATTAATTGTATTTCTGTTGTTCCATTGGCCCTGTCATCCAATTAAAGTTACAGTACTTTGCAATATCGCTAAATATTGCATATGTATGTATACACATATGTGTGTACATATAAATATATATGCTAATTTAGTTGCATATAAAACAAACATTCAAGAATAAGTTCATAAAAACTACCCTGTTATTTCAGCATTTCAAGTATTTTACTGAAAACGTCTCATGACCCACGAAAAGTGAGATGATACTATACTTACCTCAAAATATGTGCCTCTGTCTGTCTGAATGTGTTCTGAAGAATTAAGCATTCCAAGTAGCCCATTGCTAATGATGTCCATGAGTACAGGAAAGCAATTCAGCCTTTTGGTGTTACAGGCTATTGAAAATCTGGGATCCTAAAGCATAGCAAATATGCATTCTAAGTCCTCAGAAAGCAAATATACAATTTAATGAAAGTGCAGGGTAGAAAAGCTTTCAAATTATGGACAACACAGGAAGGCTAAAGCACTAAGTGTCATGAATACTACCATCACTCATATTATTCAATTAATTCCCAATATACTGCAAGGAGTTCAGTATTTTGATCTCTACCAACTGCGACAGCATTCGCTGCGTGACTATTTATGCCTAAACTAAAACAAAATACATCACATGATTTTTAGCAGCAACATTTGTGGCTCAGCTGGTAAAGAATCTACCTGCAATGTGGGAGACTTCGGTTTGATCCCCGGGTTGGGAGGATCCCCTGGAGAAGGGAAAGGCTACCTGCTCCAGTATTCTGGCCTGGAGAATTTCATGGAGGGTCACAAACAATTGACACGACAGAGTGACTTTCACTTTAAACTTTAAACACTCACTATAGAACTCCATGATGCAACCTCACTTAAATACAACAGTAGGCTTTGTTTCAGGATGTGACACATTCAGTTTACAAATAAAGAATGTGCAGAATGAATGAACCTCTAAAAATCAGAAATTTCCCATCTGCTTGTGTCAGATTGGCCTTTGGCGTCAGCTGATGTGCATTGTTCAAGCTGCACGTTCCTGCCCGTCTTTGACGTGCTGGGCATCAGAGCCCGGCCTACCTTGTCATCTCCTGTCACGGTGATGGCCCCGTTGTATGATGACTCACTGGGGCCATTTCTGGTTCCAAAGGCGTCCACCTCTAAAGCGATGTTTTGGTGCCTCAGTGACTGTATGAAGTCATCAATGCTTGACCCTACCGTGCGGGTAAGATCAAAAGAAGCAAAAATGAAGTGAAACACAGAAAGGAATATTTTTTAAAACACTAAATGATGTCACTCAAAGCATACCATAATAAGGACTCTAAGGATTTCCTTACAAAGCCAGATCCAATGCCGTGGGACTAAAATCCTTTCTGGTGTCAAGGAGACGTCAGACTTGCTTTACCTACAGCTGAAGCATTTACTTATCACTTCTGTTTGTGTGAAATGCTACTTAAAATTAACATTCAAATCCTCGACCATATTAAACTTCCATCTTAGAAATATGGAAAATATTTTTTTTTCTCCAAAGCTCACAACTGCATAGTACTTAAAAAGTGTTATGGAAAGACCTCACACATCAACCAGTAACCACTTTTCTAAATTCCCTTGAGTTGCTTTGTGCAACATGCTATAAGCTTTAAGTAAACTTGCAAAATGTGTTTTTAAAAACAAACTCCCCTACCTTATATTTTTCACTTTCGAATTCATTTCCTATTTGATCTAACCTACACCTTTCTAAAACATACAGAATTCCTTTTCCCCTCGTGGTTCGTATGGTCTAGGGGAGTCTCTCAACACGAATCAACATTGAACCGGTGCGTCCAGCCGCGCGTTCACCTGTTCTGTTGATGACCAGTAAGCGGGTCAGCGGGGCTCGAGGTGGTTGACCCTGGGAGAGGAAGTACATGTTTGGAGATAGTCCCCAAGAATAGCTTTTTTGATGTAACCGGTAGAACAGATGCTCCAAAAGCTGAGGACCAAAGGTAATGCCAAAAAGCAGTAATCTACAAGGAGGAAATGGACAAGAAAACAATTCATCTGTAGCGGCTATTGCAAGCAGGTAACTGTGAAAATAGAAATAAGTTACAAACACTAGTCAAGCATATGAATGTGCCCCCCCGCCCCCACTCTTTTCTTTTTTCTGACATGAGGTGGCGCGTGTGCGTCTGTTCTTGGTCTGTGTGTCTCTAAACCGCCTCCCCCTCCCCCTCCGAACACGTCTTTCCAATTGACAAAGTCAGCTGAGGATGACTCTGAAATCTCTCTCTCCAGCGCCCATTTCTTCATCCTGTTTCAGCCCTGCTTGCCATCTTTTTCTGGAACTCTGCAAGCTGGCATGTCACCAACACCCAGACTTCCTACGGCCTGAACCTTCTCCTCCTCCTGTTCCCAGTTCCTATAAATGACGTTTTCTCATTTGCGCAAGCCTGAGCCTCGGTCTGCGTCTACTTATTTCTCTCCCTTCTGTCCCTTTTCCGAACGGTGACATTTTCTGCTTCCTGTGTCATCATTACTGCTTGCCTCCAAAACCTCTCTCCTACTTTTCAAATTTGGACCCGAGTGAGCCCTTTCCTGACCTCTTTCAAACTGCCCCCGATGTCTCTTCCTTGTCTCCAGTGCCTACTCTTTCCAAATCTTTTTGCACGGTTGTGCAATTAAGTTTCTTGGCATTCTGTTCTAGTTATACCAATTACCCATTCAAAAATAATAAAAGGACCTCATTAGTTCCTTACTTTGTATAAAGCCCAAACTCCTTAGCTCTACTTAACGTGTAATCAGAATTATTCTTTCTCTTTCGTACATCCTGCGCTGCAGGATGGCAACTAACTCAAATTAAGTCCAATTTTCCCTCTCTCCTCACGTATCTCCATGCCGCAAACTGCCTCCTCTGCCTGCTTTTTCATCCTCCTTTCTTTCCTTAGCTATGTGCTCCATTTTCTTCCACCAAATTCAAATTCTCCCTCATGTAAGAGTCTTTTTTGGGGAAGCCCCACGTGGACATCATTTCTCTTGTATCAGTGCTACAGCTGACGATACTGTCTAACTGTGCGCTCTGCTCTTTCTTTTTTGCTTTTTTTTTTAATTGGAGGATAATTGCGTTCCAGTGCTACGTTGGTTTCCACTGTACAACGTGAATCAGCCGTACGCGTCCACACGCCCCCTCCCTCTCAAGCCTCCGTCTCACCCCCCTCCCCACCACCCCGCTCCAGGCTGTCGCAGAGCTCCAGGATGAGCTCCCTGGGTCAGGCGGCAGCTTCCCACTAGCTGTCCACTTTACACTTGTGGTGTGTATACGTCAGTGCTGATCTCAGTTCATCCCGCCATCTCCTTCCTCTGCCGCGTGCATGCCTCTGTTCTCTACATGTCTCTATTCCTCTTCTGCAAACAGGTTCATCAGTGCCATCCGTCTAGATTCCGTGTATATAGATACATTAATATACGGTATTGTTTTTCTCTTTTTGACTTACTTCACTATGCGTAAAGGATCTAAGTTCATCCACCTCACCAGAATGGACTCAGATTCATTCCTTTTTATGGCTGAGTGATACTCCATTGTATGGAGGGACCACAGCTTCTTTATGCATTCATCTGTCGATGCACATCTAGGTTGCATCCCTCTCCTGGCTATTGTTGCGTTATGCTTCTTTAGTGTACTTCTAATCACCCTCCAAAGCCAAATCTCATGTCTGGCTTATTCGATAAGTGTTACGGACATTTAGCAGAGAGTGTTGTGCAGGAGTACTCACAAATATTTTTTAATGAATATATGTCCTGGGTAGAGAGAGGACTCTTGCAAGGAGGTAGTACTTAACAAAGGGCCTGGAGCTCTACAGGTAAGTTCCAGGAAATGACCTGAATTCTGTGCTCAAAAATGGGCACAGAGCTACTCTGGGGAAAGAGGCAAGTCCTTAGAACCTAGGGCCTGACTTCCAAGCTCCTGAAAAACTACTTCAACCCTTTGATCAGAGCAGATTCTGTCAAAATTAAAAGAAAAATCCCAAACTTTATCTGGTTTAATTACATATCCACCAAAACAATTAAAATTGGTTTCTGTGTGAACTTACAGTTGCCGGGGTGGGGGTGGGGGGTTGGAGAAGAGGGAAAGGATGCTTGGTTGTTTGGGATGGACACAGACACAGTGCTCTGTTTAAAACGATAACCAGCAAGGACCTGCTGTCCAGCACAGTGGCTCTGTCGGTGTTATATGGCAGCCTGCACGGGAGGGGAGCTTGGGGGAGAGTGGACACGTGTGTGTAAGGCTGAGTCCCTTCGCTGCCCACCTGAGACCATCACAATATTGTTGGCTGGCTGCATCCCCTGGACAGAGGAGCCTGGCTTCTGTCCACGGGGTCACAAAAGAACTGGACACAACTTAGTGACACAACAAGAGCATGCTCCAGCGTAAAATGACAGTTAAGGAAACACTGCTTTCCGTATAAAAGAGCCCATCTGCAGTTGCTGGAACTGCTTTCGTCTCAGTTCGTCTCTCTTGGGTTTGGTGAGAGCACGCTGCTCCTGTGAATTGGAAGCTCGCAGGTACTCACATGGCCAGCAGGGCTCGCTTTTCGCTCTTTAGCTTCAGGAGGCGGACTTTGGCCACTGCACAGAGCTGCTGCCGCCAGAGGGCCAGGCCGCCGACCGTGCCGTTCGCCTCGCCGAAGGACGGCGCAACTTGTTCCGGCTCGGCGAGGCTGCCTGGGTCATCTGTCCTGTCACTCTGTTCCCAAACTCCAGTTCCTACAAAAGACGAAACCGGTCGTTTGCGAAGAGCCGCTGTGCTGCGGTTCAGTCGCTCAGTCCTGTCCGGCTCTCTGCGGCCCCGTGGACTGCGGCACACCACCTTCCCCTGTCCCTCACTGTCTCCCGGAGTCTGCTCAAACTCAAGTCCATTGAGTCAGTGATGCTAACGTGCATTGTTCAGATTTTCCTAGCATCATCTTTTCAACAATTGCTGTCAGAGAAGAGTCTTGGGCAAAGATGCAAATAATCTAATTCAGGGCACCACTAGAGAAACTGCTAAAGAAACAGGAACACAGCAAAAAAGATAAAAAGATACAATACAGGAAGGGAAAATAACAACATAATAAAAGGAAATCTTACATTTTCTGGAAAAAAAATAGCTCTGTATCTAGAGCTTTAAAGGACTGAATTCACTGGAGAGAACATAATGAACAGAAATCCATATTTAGCCTGGGAGAAATCTATTGCAAGAGATAAACTCTCTTAGAATTTTTGACCAAGGAGAATATGAAAGAATATGAAGAACAGAAGAATATGAAATTGGTTGAGACAATATTTTTAACATAGCCATAGCTGAAAACTAGGTACTTGAAAATTGCTTATTCATGTCTGACTCTTGGTGACCCCAAGGACTGTAGCCCGCCAGGCTCCTCTGTCCCTGGGATTCTCCAGGCAAGAATACTGGAGTGGGCTGCCATTCCCTTCTCCAGTGGATCTTCCCCACCCAGGGACCAAACCTGGGTCCCTGCATTGCAGCTGGATTCTTTACCATCTGAGCCACAAGGGAAGTCTGAAAAGTAGATAAAGTTACCTCTTTCGGAAGAGAAGCCGAGAAACTGATCAAGTCTAGATGTTTTGAATGTATGTTCCCTAAAAGTGAATTATACCACTTAAAAAAGTTATCAAGTATATAAAAAAGGCTTCCCACTTGAGCAATCAAGAAAGAAAAGAAGAGCATGATCAAGACTAAACACAGTAGATGAAGTCAGACCAGAGACAAAAGAATTATCTTAGAGCAACTAGAGAAGAAAGGCAGAAAACCTTCCGAGGAGTAGCAATTAGACTGACGGCAAATCTTTCAACAGCAATAGTGAAATACTGGAGTGGGTTGCCATTTCCTTCTCAAGGGGATCTTCCTGACCCAGGGATTGAACCCCAGTCTCCTGCATGGCAGGCAGATTCTTCACCACTGAGCCACCAGAGAAGCCTAATAGTGAAATAATATCCTCAAATTTGTCAAGAAAATAACTTTCAACTTACAATTCTAATTTTCTTTTATCCATAGCAGTAACATTCAAAAACCACTATATTGCATATTTATGTCTGCCACATAAAGACTTACTCTGTACACCGCTGTATTTCACAGCTTAGTAAAATGTCTGGGACAAAATACAGAATCCAAGAGGTGAGACCAGTATTGAGAGAAGAGGGAAGAAAACAAGAAATAGACTTCTCATCTGCTCTAACTTTTTCCAAGATCATATTGAATCATAGCACCTCGAAAATCATAGAACTTTCATCATTCCAAGTGTGTTTTCAGGACAAAATATAGCACAGAATGAGACATTTCAAGTTAAAAAATTATTTATTACCTGATTCGTCAATAGCTGATTTTCCTTCTAATTTTAAGAACACTTCATTCAATGTTGTCATGGAAACACCATAATTCTCAATGCTCTGGTTGGAACAGCTTTCAAGATCCCTATATAGGTCTAAAAATAGGCATAAAAATGTACCAAATTAATATCAGTTGTAATGAGATTGATAATAACTATGTTTTTCAAAGTAGAAAACATTTGTGATAGGACAAATACATTCATCAGAAACAAATCTATGCTATAGATATTCCCTTACTTCTAAGATAAAACTATAGAGTGTGTTAATTTCCAGACCTTCTTGGGTATAAAAATCTAGAAATTTCTTGTCTTATGCCTAGACTACTACACATGTGGGGGGTTTGGGGAAAAAATGTGTTCTATTTTATTTAATGTGTTTTTTAAAAATGTAATTGTTAGGCTTCCCAGCTGGCTCAGTGGTAAAGAATCCGCCTGCCAGTGCCGGAGTCACAGGTTTCACCCCTGGGTCGGGAAGATCCCCCTGGAGGAGGAAATGGCAGCCCACTCCAGCATTCTTGCCTGGGAATCCCATGGACAGAGGCGCCTGGTGGGCCACACTCCGTGGGGCTGCAGAAGAGTTGGACACAACTTAGCATGTGTGCACACAAACAATACAAATATGAAAGGCATTGTGTGCGCTAATATGATTATTAGTTCACTGATTCTAAGATGAATGCATTTCACCAACGTTTAATGCCTCTGAAACGAGCATGTGTCATAAATGCAAGGAGGTCGTATTTTAAAAGCCAGCAGCGTTTCTTTCTGTCTCCTCCTTGGTGGCACATTCTGAAACCGAGGGTGTCTGAGACTTGCTGAAATTCCATAGGTGCTACCTGTCAGGTATCTTCCAGGTGCTTGATTTATATTTAACATTTTCATAATAAATGTAAATGAATTGAAGCTCCATAAACACCCTATAAAGTTCGTACTAATATGCACCTCCTTTTACAAATGGTCAAACATAACCTGCCTGGGGTGACAGGGCAGTCAGCACAGCTGGGCTTTGAATCCAGCCAGTCTGGCTCTGGCAGCCGGGCTTGCCTGGTGCTGTATTTCTTCATTAGCCGTGACTGCTGCAGGCTTATTAATTCAAGCATGCAGACTGGCCCCAGGACCTTCCATCAAGAGTTGGCAAGTTCTTGGAATTTAATAAAGTAAACACATTTTTATGGGTTACACTTTGTAATACAATCCAGCTCAGAATGCTTGGGGAATGAAATAGCATATTGGGAAACCAGACTGAAGAGGGGTAAAGGCAATGGCTCTCCAGCCATTCGTGTTTGCAGGAAAGCTCTTGATCTTCTTATAGGCTGATCATAATTACTGTCGAATTGTGCAGATTATAACATCATGTCGCGGTGCTTATGACACCATCTACCTATAGTGCATGCTCCCCTGGCTCTCATCTGATTCCCCGCCTGGGTTTGCCCAGACCTCTTCCTGCCTGGACCTCCTTCTCAGGCATTTCTGACACAAATTCCCCTAATGCTTCTCATTGTAGCTTGATGTCGCTCTGTATCTCTTGACTGCACATGTTGTAACTTGAAACATAATTAGCATTTTCCTGCTTCAGTGTACTCATAACTGCTATTGAAATATTAAACAATAAGTCATAAATAATTCACAGAGACATGTACTTTGAAAGCAGCAGAATATCAACCATCATTCTAAACACCACAGTGATCATACGCAACATTATTACAAACAATTCTGTGGTCTCTTGCATTCTGTTACCTGGAAATTTGTTTGTCCTTTCCAAAGGCAGAATATATGTCAGCTTTTCTTCACTTTGGGCTGTTAATTTGGCATCGGGGATGTGGTGTTTAACAATCGATGTTACACTGTCTGGATCACACGTCTCATTCAGATGCAAACTGGTGTTGAAAAACAGTAAGTTAAGGCTGTTCTTATCCAACACCACCTATACAAAGAATCCTAGCATGTGTTTGTCGCTTCATTAATATTTATGAGACAAAACAGTACAGTCTAATAGAGGAAGCAAGACTTAAAAATATCAGTGTAGCCCAAGCTGTATCATCTGCACAACATGCAGAGGGAGAAACATTAAGGGATGCTTCCCTGGAGGCTCAGAGGGTAAAGAGTCTGCCTGCAGCGCAGGAGACCCGGGTTCGATCCCTGGGTTGGGAAGATCCCCTGGAGAAGGAAATAGCAACCCACCCCAATATCCTTGCCTGGACAATCTCATGGACAGAGGAGCCTGGTGGGCTGCAGTCCATGGGGTCGCAAAGAGTTGGGCACAACTAAGTGACTAACACTCACAACACTTAAGGATAGGTAAGGAGACTCAAGGTTTGTTATTTGGGAGAAAGATATCCGGCTCCATCCTGACTGGGGTCAGGTAGGGGAATGGCGATTTTGCCTCCAACTGTTCAAAATCTCAACTTTTGAATTCTCTCTTTGCAGTAAAGTATGAGTTCTACAAAACAGAGTGGAGGCAGCAGAAAGAAAGAGTGTTAATTTGCTGCAGTCGTTAAGAACACAGTTCTCGTGTCCTGCTGGTCCATGTTCCAGATTTAGGCCTCTGAGCATCTATTTTCTGCTCTGTGATGGGAAATAACACTCAGGTCTCCAAGAATTTTGGAAGACATAGCAAAACACAGTATGTATGGAATCATATAGGTCCTGGCAACGTGTAAACCTCAAAATATGTTAGCTAATTTTATCTTTTCAGGGGGGCAAAATTTATTCAAGTCAAAGTTGGTCCATCTTCTTGATGAGGACATATAAAGTTCTGTATGGAATCATTAGATTTAAAAAACCCTATTATTAGTCACATCCACTGACATTTACTGAGGCTGGACTTGCCTGGTGATCCAGTGGCTAGGACTCCATGCTCCCTCCCAATGTGGGGGGCCCAGGTTCCATCCACGGTCAGGGACTAGACCCCAGGTGCTGCAACTAAGACCCGGGGCAGCCAAGTAAATAAATATTAAAATTTAAATAAAAAGTCAGAGACTTTATCTGACACTAAAAAGAAAAAGAAACTTACTGAGGTTGTACAATGACAAGGGTGTCGTAATGGACTTTGGTGAGACAAATCTAAAAAAATCAACTGTAGCTAAAAGCATTCTGAGTTTATAAGACCCTGTGAGACTCGCTCTTCAGGACACCAAACAGGGAGAATGTCGTGCCTTCCCTAAAGGAGCTGGGACATGGCAGAGAGATGAGGCAGCGCGTAACAGGAGGAAGGGGGAGGGAAGCTGAGCTCAACTAGCTGAGCAGCTGGTTCCTCGTCAGGTATTCATTTCAATATTTTTAGCCTTCACTGCAAAGTAGGTATTATTGTTTTGCTTTTTAAACCGAGGATCAAAGAAGTTAATTAAGATGCCTCAGGCAACAATTCAAAATAGTGCTTTCAAAGTTGTGGTAAAGAGGGTGCTTATTGTTCAAGAGAAGACGTTCAGAGAAGACCTTCAAGAGCGGATGAGATTTGAACACGGTTAAAATGCGGTGGAGGAAGAATCAGCACACAGGCGTCCCACCTTAAGCAGAGTCAGGACAGTACAGTGTGGAGGTCCCCAGAGGACGGCCCATGTTGATTTTAGCTGAGGCATTTACTCAACCAGGTCATGCCCCGAAATCATGGTGGATCATAAATTAGATCAAGATAAACACTTGAGAGTGAATGATGTGAGATCCATTTAACCACTATATAGTGGTTAACGACTATCCAGTCAAAGCTATGGTTTCTCCAATAGTCATGTACTGATGTGAAATTTGAATTGATGCTTTTGAACTGTGGTGTTGGAGAAGACTTGAGAGTCCCTTGGACTGTAAGGAGATCCAACCAGTCCATCCTAAAGGAAATCAGTCCTGAATATTCATTGGAAGGACTGACGCTGAAGCTGAAGCTCCAATATTTTGGTCACCTGTTGTAAAGAGCCGACTCATTGGATAAGACCCTGAAGGCAGGAGAAGTGGGTGACAGAGGATGAAGTGCTTGGATGGCATCACCAACTCAATGGCCATGAGCTTGAGTCAATCCGGGAGACAGTGAAGGACCGGGAAGCCTGGTGTGCTTGGGGTCATGGGGTCACACAGAGTCGGTCACGACTCAGTGACTGAGTAACCACAAAACACTTGGAGGGAACGATGTGGGGTCCACTTAGCCCCTGGGGATGGAATGGCTTGGATCACTTTTTGAGAAATATTACACTTTACTGCGAAGTGTAGGGAGTAATTTACATCACATCTATAATCTCGGTCCAAATTGCAATGCAGGAGACTGGGTTTGCTCCCTGGGTGGGGAAGATCCCCTGGGGGAGGGCACGGCAGCCCACTCCAGTGTTCCTGTCTGGAGAACCCCTTGGACAGAGGAGCTTGGTCCTCTGGGTCCAAGGGTCACAAAGAGTTGGACACGACTGAGCGACTAAGCACAGTGTAAATGACGTGAGAGTGGGTAGATTATTAAAATTCTTTGACTTGTCAAAGAAGCATAGTAATACCATCTTCCTAAAGTCATCTGGGGAATTAAGTATGATTATATAAGTATTCTACATGTAAATATCTTAGGACATATCTAAAATTTAGTCCACGCTTAGTAAGTGATAGACATTACTTAATAGTGCTAAAAGGAGACAGAAACAATTGACAGGGAAAATGAAGTCAGGGGGAACAGAGAGGAAGCTATTGAAATTGCTACGACTGGCAAAAATAAACATCAGAGACAGGATAAGAGAGAGGCTGGAGTGTCAGTAAGTTTCTCTTAGCAAACACTGGGCTGTGAACATATTTTCTGGATACTGTTTAAATCTCACTGGTGGTTGTTGTTTAGTCGCCGAGTCACGTCCGACTCTTTGTGACCCCGTGGACCGTGGCCCACCAGGCTCCTCTGTCCGTGGGATTCTCCAGGCAAGAACACTGGGGTGGGTTGCCGTGCCCTCCTCCAGGGGACCTTCCCGACCCAGGGATCCAATCCGCGTCTCCTGCATTGGAGGCAGGGTCTTTAGCACTGAGCCATCAGGGAAACCACAGACGTGGTGTAATCAGCGTACATTCTCAATGTCTACAATCCCATAAATCACTCATTCTAGCTAAAAAGAGGAGAGCAGTTGTGGTGTTGTTCTAACACAGCTCTCTCAAAATGATCTTACTAATGGAGCAACCTATGTGAACAGGCTCACAGTGATGACCCTGACACTTCCAGCACATTCTAACATACAGTAAGGGCTGTACCTTAGATGGTAGCCGATGCCCCATTTCCTCTTCAGGAACAGAGAAGAGCCGGAACACTTCAGCCTTCCGTTGGACATAAACACTTTCCTGTCTAAGTTGGAAGAAAGAAATAAATTGTATTCAGAGATTATTTTTTCACTATTTATTAAAAAAAGAACAAATTCATGAACAGTGTATTTTAGGAGAACCACTCACTAATACAGGCACATCCTAATTCTGGCCACAAGTCAGCCACGTTCTTCAACATCTGATAAATCAAGTGATGTGTTAGTTTATTCCTGAGTATATTTAGAAAAACTGTCATACACTAAAAGGATGTTTCAAGCCAACTGATATTCCGAATATACTGAATGTGTGCATGCGTCCTCAGTCGTGTCCAACTCTTTGGGACCCCATGGACGGCAGCCCGCCAGGCTCCTCTGTCCGTGGGGATTGTCCGGTCAAGAATACTGGAGTGGGTTGCCTTTTCCTCCTCCAGGGGATCTTCCCGACCCAGGGACTGAACCCACACCTCTTGCGTCTCTACAGTGCAGGCGGACTCTACCACCGAGCCACGTGGGGAGCGCCCTTCATACTGGGCAAATCAGAACACATCGTGGGGAGTATGCTTTGTATTTTACAACAGGTGAGATGCTTTGCAGTAGGGTCAGAATCCTTGCTGGGACAATGCCCTCGGGGATGAAGACACTCGGATCGGCCAGAGGACCGTCCCCCCGCCTGGCTCGAGGGAGCCACATGCTCGGCAGCTGCACTGGAGCCTCGCTGCACACGGTCCCCCCGGGGCCCCAAGTCGTCACGGAGATACACGAAGGAAACGCGAGGCTCACCAGCCAGGACGTCAGCCTCGTCCATGAACGGCGTGCTGAAGAGGACCACGTGGTCTGACTTCCTCTCCCGCAGGAGGTTCCACACCCGGTGTCTCCAAAGAGGATCTGAGCCCGCAGTCGGCTCGTCCAGCAGCAAAACCTGCATGGCAGGAAAGGCCCTGAAATCGCTTTCCCCGTTTCTGCGGGATTCTTGCGAAAAGCGATGTGCAGTGAGTCAGGAGACGAGGATGGAGCTGTGTAGGCGCTGGGTGTGAGATGGGCCGCGGGCGGGAAGCTGCTGCGGGAGCAGGGAGCTCCGCTGGGCTCCGCGATGACCTGGAGGGCCGGGCTGGGCGGGGAGGGAGCCCCCGGGGAGGGCGTGTGCGCAGGGCTGACGGACACCGGCGCACAGCAGAGACGAACGCGGCGTCGGACAGCAGCGGGGTCTCCATAAATAAGAGCACCCCAAATCAGCTAATAGAAAAGAAAGCGAACAAAAAACGGAGAGCGGCGTACGGCGAACTGGTGAGCGGCGCGGCTTCGCGCCGCGCGGGCCTGCGTGTTCGCGGGTGGTTGTCACTGCGCACCGCACTGCAGACAGTTCCAGGCTGGAGGCGTTAGCACCCAAAATCAGCTAATAGAAAAAACGGAAAGCGGCGTACGGCGAACGGGTGAGCGGCGCGGCTTCGCGCCGCGCGGGCCTGCGTGTTCGCGGATGGTTGTCACTGCGCGCCGCAGTGCACACAGTCCCAGCTGGAGGCGTTTGCAGGGGCGGGACCGTGTGTGCAGACGGCTGTCCCCGGGCGCTACTAGGATTTCCCGCTGTGCGGAGGGCTGCCCACCCCCGCCCCGAACCCTGCGCTGTTCAAGACTCATCTGTACTTGTAAAATTATTTAGGAGAAACGTTTTAGCACTTAACTCTTCACTGGAACAGTTCTCTGACATTCATCAGTTGCAAATTAAATGTGATCGCACACCACAGTTTCACAACTCTCCACCAGATTTCACTAGTAATTTCAGGTCGACCTACCTGGGGATCTCCTAAAATGGCAATCCCAAATGTCAGTTTCCTCTTCTGTCCACCGCTTAAATTTTGAGCAAGAACGTCTTGAATGCTTCCCATGTCCAGATCCTGTAAAACCTGTTGGACCTAACAAAGGATATTGAGTCCAAAGTTAGACTGTTTATCTTAAGGACACCATCACTCTGCTGCTCATTGCAGAGGGCCTCTTGGACCTTTTGACGATGAACTTATAGAAATAACAGAAACACGTTTAGGATTTTCTAGGTAAGCGGTTCCATCTTGTGGCTGTGACTGCTAACGTAGGCATCTACCTGTTGCTCCACTTCATGTGGCTGAATCCCTTTTATCTTAGCAAAGAGCCTGAGGTTTTCTCTCACGGTGAGGAAGCCAAATTGCACGTTGGCTTGTGGGCAGACTCCAGTGAGCTTGCTGATGTGTTCTAGGTCAGCCGTTTCTGAAAGTGAGTGATTGTAGATGGTGACGGACCCTGGAAGGGAAACGGTCAGCCTCAGGATAAAGATCCAGGTCTCACGTGAGAGATTTTAAAACTGAAAACAACAGGAGTCAATACTAAAGTCCTCTAAACATTATAACAAAATCATTACAATAATGTGCTCAGATAAAAACAATGTGTTCAAATACAGGCAAGGCATAATATCTGGAATATTTGTTCTTAATAGCGACTGTGACAGTGTATCAGTGAGGCACCCATTGCTAAATCACATCACTAGGTTACATATGAGGCTATTTCATTACCTTTCAAAGCTTCTATTTTCTCATACTTTCTTTATCCATTTTCCTTTTACCTAAGGGGAGTACTGTACACTCTTGATGAATTAACACTTGATGTTCACTGTACATCCAAGCCCATTGGATAATAAATAAATAATAACTTGAAGAACCTTCTAAAGATCCTCTCTTAAGTACCTGGGTGTGGCTATTAGTTGATGAAACTGCTTACAGGAGTTTGAGAATGAAACTAGTGAACAGATGAAACGCACAGTGCGTTCACTTGCCCGCGCTTGTGTCACGGCATTGACCGTCTTCTCACCTGACGTTGGGGCTGACAGTCCGCTGAGTATATTTAACAGCGTGGTTTTCCCAGCTCCGCTGTGACCGAGGATGCCCGTAATCTGGCCTTCGTATACGTCAAATACCAGGCCTGGCATGATTCCAAGAAGATGACACTCAGAGCCTACGTGGTAACTTTACAGTCTCTGAAATTTTTATAAGTTCTCACAGCCTCTGCATATTTGGCTAGCAATACTCAAAATTAAATACGCCCCCAAATTCATTCCTTTAAAATAGCATCTTCCGGGACTTCCCTGGCAGTTCAGTGGTTAACTCTCCCTTCCAATGTGGGAGGCGTGGGTTCAATCCCAGGTCAGGGAGCTAGGTCCCCACATGACTCCCAGCCAAAAAACCAAAATGTAAAACAGAAGCAATATGTAACAAACTCAAAAAAGGCTTTAAAAATGGTCCACATCAAAAAAAAAATCTTTAAAAAAATAAAGCTGCACATTCTATGAGACACCTTGTATACATGCAGTATTGTCATGATATATATTATTATCTGATAAACAATTTTTTTCAATAAAAGCAATCTTGTCATTAAAGATAGGCTGACTATAATAAAGACAGCTTTAAGGTTAATACCATGAGTTGAAAATAAACAGTATCATGCTATCCTGTATCCTTCAAACCCATAAGATATCAGTGGTGCATCCAACTTCTTAAAATTAGTATAAGATTTTGAAGTTTACTTGGAAGAAACCATAACGTGTGCAAAGACAATTCATGGCATCTGGAATATCTGTTCTTAATCGTGACTGGGACAGTGTAACAGTGATGCACCGTCACTGAATCACATCACTAGGTTACGTGTGAGGTTATTTCATTACCTTTCAAAGCTTCTACTTTTTCGTGCTTGCCTTTTCCATATGCCTTTTTAAGATTTCTTATTCTGAAAAGAGAGGAAGATGTTTTGAGCAAATGGTAGAGGTGGACAGAGAATTCATGAATCAAGCCGCCGAGGCTGTCAGGAAGGCTGGAGGTCCTTTTCCTTCACGCAGGTCCGCAGATGAACAGAAACATCTCGGCATCTCATCCGAGCCTGCCTCCGTCCTCGTCACACGCTGAGCAGCTCACAGTCTGCAGGCAGTGTGAGTCCGTGGAAACAGAATGCCGTGGGGATGGTGAGAAGTGACTGGACCAGGGGAAAGTGGGCAATGAGATGGTGTGAGGAGGACCCCCACTCCAGTGGAGGACAGAAGCAAGTGTGCCCACAAAGAGACACGCCAGCTTTGGGGGTCAGACCGCCCTGGGTCAAGTCCCAGACTCATGAGCCACGCACACCATCCATGGACTCGAAGCTCACCGAGTTCAGCAGTAAAATGGGAATGACATTCGCTCTCTCATAGGGTTGATTTGTAGAGTGAATAAGATCCTATGTGCAGAGAAGAAAAATGCCCAGGAGACAAGACACTTCCCAAGAAGATGGGAGAAGAGGAAAAAGATAAGGAAACAGAGTACAGAGAAAAAAAATTCTAAGCACAGTGAAGGTCCGTTCTAAGCCGGGTCCTGTGGATTTCATCTGCGTGACCTTTTTTTCACCAGGGCTTCCCTAGCGGCACAGTGCAGGAGATGCAGGTTTGATCCCTGGGTCAGGAAGATCCCTTGGAGGAGGGCATGGCAACCCAGTCCTGTATTCCTGCTTGGAGAATCCCATGGACAGAGGAGCCTGGCCGGCTACAGTCCACAGGGTCGCAAAGAGTCAGACACAGCTGAGCGACTAACTCTCACACACACGCGCACACACACACACACACACACACAACCTGTTGCTTGCAGCACAGAGCATAACCACGAAGCAAGACCTGTAGCCCAGGGTTGCCAGTTCATAGCTCAAACTCCTAAACTATCTCATGATCAAATACGTGGGATTGCCTGCCCCCAAGGCCTCTGTTCATTCTGGGGGTGTTTTTCCCACAGCACAGAGCTGCTATGGCTAACTATAACTCACAAATCATCCACACCCTGCTCCCCGCCCACTGGGGAAGACAAAATGCCTCCTGCGCATTTAGGACTTTCTACGCCTCCTCTGATGGCCCCTGATTCTGGCCCAGCCGTCAGAAGGGACGTGAAAATTCCAGCTTGCAGGGAGGTCGCGATTCTCGGTGACACAGCCCTGACACCCCAGGAGTGAGGGAACGCCGCTCTTGGTGTCTGTTCATACTGGACCCTTGTTTTCAATAGTTACTGTTTAGAGACTACGTATCATACGTGTTCAGAGTTAAAATAGCCTAGTGGAGGGGGCGAACCAGAAAGGCTTCATTCAGGTGTGAGACAAAGGCAGCAGCTGTATGATGGGCAAATTCTGAGCGGAGAGCCAGGGAGGTTAGGCGCTGCTCATGGTTTGGAAATGGAGCCATCGGCATGGGCTGCAGCACACACTTCATCTCAGAGGGAAGATAGGCGTGCCAGGGCGCCCCTTCCCATCTCCCCTTGTCTGTACCTCTTTCTTCTTCCTTCTGGTCTTATTAATCAGGAAGCAAAAGAAGGGAGATAAAGTGAACTGCAGAGAAAAGGGGGGTCAGAATAACAAAGATGAGGACTGTGTCTAAAGGGAAAGGACCGAGAAAAGAAGGCAAAATAAAAGGGAGGTGATGAGGAAAACGGAAACATGAAGCTTATCACTTCGCTGATGGATGTCGTTCTGTCCTAAGATATTAGTAAAAGCAAACGCAGACAAGATGAGAAGACCAAGTGTGGTTAAGAACGAGGCTAACCTTGGGAATTCCAGGTAGTCAGTGGTAGTCAGTGGTTAGGACTTGGAACTTTCACTGCCGAGTTCCCCTGCTCATTGAGGAACTGAGGTCCTGTAAGCTGCATAGCGGTGTGGGCCCCCCAAAACGAGTGGAGCCTTTCACGAGTGCAGCATCTTGGAGTGGTGGGTACTCAGAGGCACTGAGAGAAACCTCTGTCCCCTCCGAGTTTGCCTGATAGAGCTCTGCTCTCAGACCTGCTCTCCATTTCAGCCCCACGTGATATTTGCATTACCTGATGGCTTCTTTCCCATGGAATTCTGGAGACACTGGTTCAAAACAGTCATTGGATGGAAAATCTGGATCAATGTCATCCTCAAGGGCTGCACGATCAGCCCTTCGGCGTTGGAACCAAGAAGAGGACTTCAGGAAAAACCAGGGAGGCTGCTGCTGTCCGTATTCAGCTACATGAACAGGCGGTAAAGAAGCACTGGGTCAGTCACCACCTTGAGCACCAGAGCTGCCAGAAGACAATGCAAGCCGTCTGGGAAGGTTTAGAGATTCCTCAGGTCCAGCATCAGGAACTAAGGTTCTTTGGCCAGTTCTGAGACAAGCACTAACTGTGTAGTTATCCTGGGTCTACTATCCTTAATCTATAAATTATCCTTAATCTATTACAAGTGCCTTTTTCTTAAAGAAACCATCTAAAATGTTATGGTAGAACAAGATCTTAGAAAGCGATATTAAATGCAGAATACCGCTACAGCTAATTTTAGAAACTTTGGTGGGAGAGGGGATGCTTGATAACTTATATCTAATATGTTGTAGACAGTTATTTTAAAGAAATAGAAATGAATGAAACTGTGTTGAATCGCAATCATGTTACCACTTACTGGGCAAAATTTTGTCCAAGTACAATGTCAATACCAAATAGAGAAGAGCATCAAAAAGCAACATGAAGATAGTAGCTATTATGAGGTACTGGTCGTTTGGAGAATCCGAATGGATGTTAGAATTCACGTCATAGTCCAAATGGATAAGCTGGAAAAAAAAAAAAGATATATGTGTGGAATTGAAAAAGGATAAACAGAGCATTAAAAATTATTATTGTCTTATTTCTGCTAGACATTGGGATTGAAAAGATAAATGAAACATGATTTTGTTTTCATAGAGCTCTAATCTGTTGGAAGATATGGGAAGAAAATCATCTAACCGCAAAGCAATTTAGGGAGTTAGTGAAAGTGGTACTCAGGGTTTGGAAGGCGAAGTCTCAACAGGGATGTCCTCCAGGCAGAGGTGAAAACCAGGACGCTGATACTGGAGCTGGGCTGCCTGGGGACTTCACCAGGCTGACCGTGGAGGAGATGCAGGAGTTCTAGAGGAAGGACGCTATTTGAGAGTGAAAGGGAGAGGGCTGGAGTACTTTTGCAGTCGGGCAGAAGACAGAAGAATAATTTCTTAGTAGCGGTGTTTGTGACCCCATGGACTGTAGCCTGCCAGGCTCCTCTGTCCGTGGAATCCTCCAGGCCAGAACACTGGAGTGGGTAGCGGTTCCCTTCTCCAGGGGATCTTCCCAACTCAGGGATCGAAGCCAGGTCTCCCGCATTGCAGGCAGATTCTTTACCATCTGAGCCGTCAGGGAAGCGACTCAGCACAAGTTATGGTGTTGTAACTAGAATTAAATTTTCTGAGAGGAGGTCAGTCTCGTATAGAACCGGCCAATCAAAAAATAAAAATGTGTTCTAGGATATCGCTGGTGGTCCAGTGGTTAAGAATCCGCCTGCCAACGCAGGGGACACGGGTTCGATCCCTGGTCTGGGAAGGTCCCACCTGCCGCAGAGCAACTAAGCCCGGGAACCACACCTACTGAGCTTGTGTGCAGAGCCAGCGCTCAGCAGCGTGAGAACCACCGTGGAGAGAGACCAGCGCGGCCGTGAAGAGCAGACCCCGCTCTTGCCGCGACCGGAAAAGGCTGCCCACAGCAACGAAGGCCCAGCACGGCCAAGAATAAATACATACATACGTGAATAAGTGAGTCTTAAAAATGTCTCTAGGGAATTACTGGTTTTCGAACACTGGAGATAATGAAGGGTCATGCTTCCTGAGCATTTAATGAAATAAATGTTCTTTGGGGGACAGTCCTATAAAAGTAGAAGCTGACCACACCAGTAATGGGGTATCAGTCTATGTTAATCAGATCTAAAAGAAAACAGATAATGCTGAGAGAGTGAAAGAAAAACCTTTCCTGTCTTTTCAATGTGCACCTTTACAAAAGCAAATGGGAATTTTAACCTTTAGTATGTGTTGCATAAATTATCCAGGGGGACTCTAAAAACCTTCCCAGGTGGCACAGTGACATAGGAGACACAAGAGACGTGGGTTTGATTCCTGGGTCGGGAAGATCCCCTGGAGGAGGAAATGGCAACCCCCTCTAGTATTCTTGCCTGGAGAATCCCACGGACAGAGGGGCCTGGTGGGCTACAGTCCGTGGGGCTGAAAAGGTCGGACACGACTGAGCGCACACAGTAAGTGAACTCGTTTCAGGAGGTCTCACCTGGGCCATTCCAGCGGTGAAAGCAAAGGGGCTGAGGAGGCAGAAGGTCCACTCCAAAGCCGCGGGGAGCTGTCTGTACAGAGCTGCGAACCCCAGGCTCCCCCAGAGGACAGTGAGGAGGAGGACCAGCAGCCCCGTCAGGAGGGGCTTCTTCACCAGCACGCTCACAAGGAAAGCCAGCGTCGTCTGAAAGGAGAGGAGGGCTCCAGGTGGTCCACAGTCCGCCGGGATCATCGGCGGCGCAATGGAAAAGAATTTCATCATGGAGAAGTATGTTTCGTCACTGCCCCCAACCTCTAGATACTGCCTCACGCAAAGACTCAAATATTGCGAACGGAACAGAGGATATGTGAGCAGAATCGGTGAGACATGACTGGTAGTCTTCTCTGAGCAAGAGTTCAGAGAGAGAGAGAGAAAAAATTCACCAACTCACCAAAGACAGGCCGTAGAGGAGAAAGAGGGTGAAGACCACCGTGAAGCCAGTCAGGACGACCACTGGGGCATATGTCACTATAAGGGCCATCAGAGCGGCCGTGATAGAGATGAAGCCAGTGTACATCAAACCCCAGGACAGCCTGGCATAGAAAGAAAACATCAGTTCAAAGTGCTGCTGTTCCATCCCTTGATTCATTCATTTTTCAGCAGCTGTCTTGTGAAGCCTGCCGTATGCCAGGAGTAAAGGGAACACAGTATCTTGTAAGTCGGGAAACTTCTCTGCCCCTGAGTTTCATCTTCTACTGGAGAAGATCGCAATAAAACAAGTTAATGGGTAAAAAAAGGTAGCTAGTTTCAAAATAAGACAAATAAACTGGAGATCAAACCAGTCCATGCCAAAGGAAATCAACCCTGAATATTCATGGGAAGGACTGATGCTGAAGCTGAAGCTCCAATAGTTTGGCCACCTGATGCAAAAAGCCAACTCAGTGGAAAAGACCCTGATGCTGGGAAAGATGGAGGGCAGGAAGAGAAGGGGGCGACAGAGGGTGAGATGGTTGGATGGCACCACCGACTCAATGGACAAGACTTTGAGCAAACTCTGGGAGAGACTGGAGGGCAGAGGAGCCTGGCGTGCTGCAGTCCATGGGGTCTCAAAGGTCGGACACGCCTGAGCAGCTGAACGGCAATAAAGCCGGGTATCGTGATGAGAGTAAATGGAGAGGTTTCCAGGGAAGACATTTATGATGATTGGTTTGTCAGTTCTGGACCTCCTCTTTCAGTAATTCCATAAACATCATGGAACAAAAACCAAAACAAACAAAATAGATGATGAAGCAGGGATCAGCAAACTTTTTCTCTGAAGAGCCAGACAGTAAATATTTTAGGCTTTTCAGACCGTAGTCTCTGTGGCTACTACTCGGCACCGACTTCGTAACACAGAAGCGGTCACAGACAACATGAACAGTTTGACCATGGCTGTGTTCCACTACAAATGTATTTGTAGATGCTGAACTTTGAATTTCATATAAAAAGTTGGTGCCTTTGAAACCCGGGTAAAAGCCTTTCCTAGTTTTTGTTGTTGCTGGTCAGTGGCTAAGTTATGACGGACTCTCTGTGACCCCCTGGACAGAAACATGCCAGGCTTCCCTCTGCTTCACCATCTCCTGGGGTTTGCTCAGATTCACATCCACTGAGTCGGGGATGCCATCCAACCATCTCATCCTCTGCTCCCCTCTTTTCCTTTTGCCTCCAATTATTCCTAGTTTTGTAAAAAGAAATGGGCCACTCAGTTCGCCAACCCCTGACACAGATGACTAGATAAAGACTGGATGTAGACACATTTATACACATAGACACTGGATATAGATAGAGACACATATTTAGATGGAAACGAAGATAAGTTTTGTCTTTTTTTTTTTTTTTTGCGATTGATTTCAAAGAATCAGGAAGAAAGCTTCTTTATAAGGAAAGAATAAACTTTCCCCTTCTATGAAGCTGGTTTAAGCTTTCTCTGCTATACTGTACCTATGTGACCCTGAAGGTAGTTACTTATTCTGTTTAAACTTCCTTATCCTCTACTGAAAAATAATAAGATAATTAAATGAAGTGCTGTATTTTATGCGTTTAACCTGGCCACCGGTTGTAATGGAACCTACAGGTCCATTCACTCCATTCCTACACAAGGCACTAGTTTATGACAGTATCAGGTTTAAATATGATGCTTTCCAGGTCTAGGGGGTCCAACCAGCTAACTCGTTCTCTCTCTGTTGCAGGATGGATCGTAGCCGTGGGGTTTACCAGAAGGCTGACTCTCGGAGTCCCATCACTGTCATCACTGGCTTCAGGAACCGTCTTTCTTGTGTAACACTGACTGATACATAGTATATGAAGGCAGAAAAAGAAATAACGCAGAAGAAAATGAAAAAATCAGTCATAACTCCTGCTTGGGCAACAAAAGGTAGTATCTTCATATTTATACCGGTCACTGACATCAGTTTTTCCATCACTGAATGATTTGTTGTGATCTAAAGAAAGACATCAATGAACACAATGTTAGCATTAAGCTAATTATAGCCTCATGCATTTTGTCTCCATTATAGAAGTTACGTGCATTCACTCCACGTTTAATCTATTTGTATGTCCATCATGATTTGTCCCCTTGTAAATCCTGTAATATGCTAGATTTTGTCTCGATTCCTTAGAATATCCTTACTTAGCATCTCCAGTGGATAAAATTCTACACACAGGTGAAGTCACTTCTGAAGTGTCACTTTGGTTAGTAAGTCTTCTTTGATACATCTCACCAGAGAATCCTCTGTCTGTGGCCTGCCTCACCATCACTTCCATCCCATGACAGAGCCGGAACTCTCACCACAACTGTTTATTCACATTTCTATGCCCCATGATCCAGGATCCCTGGAGAAAAGGGCCTGTGTTCCACTTTCTTAATCCTCAGTGCTTGGTGTAAGGTTTAGGTAGAGTGATTATTCAGCGTGTTGTTCCATATTAGGTGACTAAATTAATTCAATGACAGAGCCATTCGATCACCCTCTATGAAAACCAGATTTTCAAAGCAGTTAGTTTCCTTGAACTCAATACTCACTTCTATGATGGCAGCATTAATAGCAGCTTGAAAAGCTACAAAGCCTTTCTCCCAGAACAAAGAACCTTCACATATGACAGTTTCATCCACTATTTGACAATGAGCTTTAGGGGGAAAAAAAAGAAAAAAAGAAAACACCTATTATGATGATATGGGACAGTCTGGGATACAGGGAAAATCAGAATTTCAAAAGTTCCAAAATACACTCCTGGTCCACAATAATATAATGGATGGTAGGGGTTCTCAGGGGGGTTCACCCAAGGACAATATACCAGACATGCTTTATCAATGTTCTTAAGACCCTCTCTCAACAACTTTTCATTAAATCTTATCATCCATTCTCTCCATTAGTTGAGAATGTTTTGTTGAGTTTTGTTCTTCTGTTGCTTGTGCCAATAAAGCACTGCTTTTTTTAATGATCGGAAATCATTGAGCAAGAGCCTTTTCTTGAGGCTTTATTTAGGAGTAACATAGGAATGATAGCAATATAATTTCTTAAAAAAATACACTTAAGATCATAGGCTTTATTTAATAAGAATGAATCTCACGTATGTTCAGAAATTAAACTTTATGTTGTGTATGTTTGTAGATAGTAGACATCTACTATCACATAGGCCTCCTTGTGGCTAATGACAATATAGCAAAAAATAGATTTTTTTTTCCAATAGGAAGGTTACCTGAATGGTCTCTGTGCTCCTTCATTGTGGGGATTCTATGTCCCCACAAAAATTTCAAATGGTATGAGAAGGTGTTGTTAAAGATGACTCTCACGGCATCTGTAGAATAGTTTAGCTCCAGCTTACCCATGCTCTGTTCATCAGGCCAGCCCGAGATGGTTCTTCCTGCCGAGGGAGAGGCGGGCACACCGGTGAGATTTCTGTGCGGCCCAGAGGCAGCGCTGCGGCTGGGCTTTGGGACAGCCCCGCTGTCCCAGGCTCGGCCTCGCTGTCCCAGGCTCGGCCCCTCCGCTCCGCAGCGGCCGCTGCTTTCCTCTGACAGGGTCCTTGCTCTCTCCTCGGGTCCGGCAGGGCCCCTATCCCCACCCCTGACCTTCTGAGGTCGCAGGAGGCGCCTTCTCACCTAGTTTTGTTGGGCGTGTTGCCCTTGGTTTTGAGGCAGGAGGTGGATGGGCCCCCGCTGGAGCAGCGGAGCCCATCCCCTTCGGACAGACGCTCTAAAGCAGCAGGAGGGAGGACAAGCGGAGTCGGGTCTTTGTAAGAGATAAGAGACCACAGGTTCCTCACTCCTGAGGTCAGGGAGACCCTCCTGACTACACATGTGTGGGTAGGCTCCTGGGAGGTCAAAAGGAAGTGATGTCAGCCTCCTCACAGGCCTCATCCCTAGACCCCATTGTGGCTAAGAGAGGCGGGCACGTGGGCGCGCCAGAGCAAGCCAGACCCAGACTCGGGCTCCTGCTGAGGCGTGACCTCGTGGGCTGTGGCCGCAGGCTCCTCTGTCCCTGGGGTTCTCCAGGCAAGAACACTGAGTGGGTTGCCATGCCTCCTCCAGGGGGTCTTCCCCACCCAGGGATCTAGCCCCTGTCTCCTGGGCTTCCTGCATTGCAGGCAGATCTTTAACCACCGAGCCATGGGGGGAGCCGAATACAGACTCAGAACCAAGCAAAGCAAGGTGATCGGCCAGAGAAAAAACCAAAGAAGTATTTGAAGAGATTAAAAGGCCACACTGTCACCACCTACCAATCTTCCCAGAGTCCTCTCACAAACACACGTCTGAATGGTCCTGGACTCTTTCATTTTGATAAGGACCACAATGAGGATCACCCTTTTAATATAAAATTTCTTCAATAGAAGACTAGTAAACAGTAAGAAAATCTCCTTGATACTCAAGAGGGATATGAATTAATGTTAACGAAATCTAAATACTTGAACGCTGAACACAGTTTATCAAAGAAATTGCAAATGAATTTGTGTATTTTGCAAACAAGGAAATGACCACGAACTGCCTAAAACATACCTTTTATGAAAGGGGCAGAAGCCAACTTGTTCATTATCTCCTGGGTGGTCTTGGATTCAGGAGCAAATGCAATAACGTAATCAGAATCATTAAAATTATCTACACGTCCCAAGTCCACAGCAGGCAGTTGAGGGAAGTCATTAACTTGGTGTAAATTAGAGGAAAGCAGGTGAGCAAACAGCACTAGAAGGCTTGAGAAGAGCCATTCCTACAGACAGTGAGGGAAAAAGGAAGCAAGTCAACAGATGTTCTACCACGGACTGATCAGAGACAATTTAAAAACTCTTCATTCTCTTGGCGCTTGGACATTTCTTTCTCCTCTCTTCCAGTTTTTAAGCGTTTAAGTGTTTTGACTTTCTTTGGTCCTTTAATCCGTGTATTTTGAAATATGCACATCATCCATCAAGACAGAGTTGTAGTGTCAATTCCAATTATAATTAATAATTTAAGTTTATTTACTTCAATGCAAGTGTTAAAGGCTGGAGATGATTGTACTTTAACTCATATGTCAGTTTGTTTTTACACCTATATCTGTTTAGATAAATAAATTGACAGTTATAATCCTTATACTAAAAGAGATAAAAAGACATAAAACATCTCTATAGTGTAGACTCCAGCTTTTACACGTATATAACCCTTCCTCCACACGGGGGTCTCTGTACACTTCAATCACTGCCGATTTAAGCGCTCAGTGCACATTTGTTGAAAGAACATATGCACGCTCACAATGTTCAGAAAGTGAAATGTTAATATATCCACTCTTGAAATATGGGTATTTTACAAGTGATTTTAAATTAGATTTTTCTGAATTTACTAAAGTTCCTACATGAATAGTATGAGATCATCCTTAGGAAGCTTACTACAAGCAAGAGTTCAAATGCCGTTTTCCTTTCCTGTTTTTCTGCTCATGATTTCTTTCAAACCGACATGATCTCTGTCCCTAGTACAGTGGTGTGCAAATGATACAATTTGTCCTTGGAGTTTTTTTTTTTTAATTTTGTATTACTTTCTGGATTAAGTAAGTTTCTTTTACTTTCCTGCTGAATTTCTGTACTTATTCCTTTATGAGATTCAAATGGATTCAGATATAATTGCTACCTCAGTAGGATAAATTTTCAGGCTTTATTTTTAACGGGAGTTTGTTTTCATAGCTTTATTTTTCACGGAGTTTTTGAGTACAAATTCTTTACAAATTGCTTTCAATAAGATGTGTCATAATGAAATTTCATATTTGAAAGGAATCTCACTTGAAATAATAGCAAAGCTCAGAATTTGAAAAAAAAAAATCCAACCTGCTAATTAGAAATAGAATATCTATGAAAGAGTAAAGAAAACAGATAAAGTGTTTGTGCACAAGAAAGTACTCTGTCCTCTTTTAAATACGAGATGACATAGACTCTGAGCCATACCGACAAGGTCTCTCTTTTCATCCTCCATTTCCTAAGAAAATTCTTGCCAAGAAGCGCCCTCGTTTGCTGGCCCACACTGAAGTGCCTCTTGCTCATCCTGACCTGTTTATTTTAAAAGGAGAAAGTAAACGGGGAAAATGTGAGGGTTGGAAATAGAAAACATTGTGCAACCCAACCAAAGAGAAACATCACAACAGCTGTTCCCAATCCTTGAGTAGCAAAGGGAGCCAAAAAGCTGGAAAACACGTGAAGGGATGACGGAGCTCGGGATGAAAAGAAAGAAAACTCCAAACAAGTGTGCGCACACGTACTGTATGTGATTCCTCATTAGACTGAGGAAACAGAGAATTCAGCAGAGTCGTGTTCAGTTCTTTAATGGGATAAAGGAACGCTAGGTGCTGCCGGCAGGAGAAGACCGCCCAGCCATTCTCGGGGTTCATCACCAGCTCCTCACTGCTTCGCAAACATCACGCCGTCCGTCACTGCTCCTGCTGTGTACGCCAAGGAAATTCCCACACACGTCCACGCGGGGCCTGTACCAGGATGCTCTTCACAATGGGGAGCAGATGTGAATGGATCCAGTTCATGGAGTACCGGGTAGGATTCAGAGGCAGTAAATCAGTACCCGCTGAGCCACGTGAAGAGATTTTAAAGCACAGTGCCCATTTAGAAAATGGAAAAGAAGTTTGAAAGTGATACCACTGCGTCATTTATATTCATCAATGCAGGCACGCTCAGCTGCTCCGTTCTGTCTGACTCTTTTGCGCCCCCGTGGACTATAGCTCTCCAGGCTCTTCTGGCCTTGGGATTTCCCAGGAATACTGGAGTCGGTCGCCATTCCCTTCTCTAGGGGATTTTCCCAACCCAGAAATTGAACCTGCGTCTCCTGCATTGGCAGGTAGGTTCTTTACCACTGAGCCACCTGGGAAGTCTGTATTAATTAATAGTGCGAGCAATAAAGAATATCCAGGACAATGAAAAGGTGACCAACAGCCATTCATCATATATAACCAGCACCTACAACTCAACCCCCCCAAAACTAACAACCCTATTGAAAGCGGGCAGAAGAGCTGAACAGACATTTTTCCAAAGAGGAAAGGCAGAGGCGCAAGAAAAGATGGTCAGTATCGTATCTGTGATCGTCGGGGAGGTGCAAACCCAGACCGCAACGAGATGTCACCTCACAACGCTCAGAATGCCATTATGAGAAACACCACAAGTCACGAATGTCGGTGAGGATGTGGAGACAGGGAGACTTCGAGCGCTGTGGGTGGGAACGTCAGTGGGTGCAGCCGCTGTGGACAGCCACGCTAAGGTTTCTTGCAGAACTAAAAACAGGACTGCCATGTGGCTGAGCAGTGCCACGCCTGCGCAATGTCTGAAAGTAACAAAACACTCATTTTCAAAGATGCTTGCACCCCAGTGTTCGGGCTCCGTCTGTGGCTCAGCTGCTGAGGAGTCCACTTGGAATGTGGGAGACCTGGGTTGCGAAGATCCCTCGAAGAAGGGAAAGGCTACCCGCTCCAGCATTCTGGCCTGGAGGATTCCACAGACTGTGCAGTCCTTGGGGCCGCCAAGAGTCAGACACGACTGAGGGACTTCCACTGTCACTTCCCCAATGTTCATCGTAGCGTTATTTACAATCACCAGGGTGTGGACGCAACCCAGTGTCCACCAGCAGAGAATGGCTAAAGAAGATGGAATATTACTCAGCTATAAAGAATGAAACATTTCCATTTGCAACAACAAGGATGGACCTGGAGAGCATTACGCTAAGTAGAATAAGACAGGGAGAGAAAGGCAAGTACTGTATGGCACCACGTGTATGTGGAATCTAAAAAATATTACAAACTAGTGAACAAAACAAAGAAGACACAGACTCTCAAATACAGAGAACACACCAGTGGTTGTCAGTGGGGGCGGGGAGGGAGACACAGGGGTGTGTAGGGGAAGGGTGGTCATGGGCTTATACGAATTCACGTGTGTGAAACTTTTGAAAACTGTAAAGTACCTGATGCAAAGAGCCGACTCACTGGAAAAGACTCTGACGCTGGGGAAAATGAGGGCGGGAGGAGAAGGGGACAACAGAGGATGAGATGGTGGGATGGCATCACCAACTCAATGGACACGAGTCTGAGCAAGCTCCAGGAGATGGTGAAGGACAGGGAAGCCTGGCATGCTGCAGTCCATGGGGTTGCAAAGAGTCAGACACAACTGAGCACCTGAACAACAACAACAATTGAGTTTAAAGAACCTTTCATCCAATTAGAAAAAAATAAAAGGCAACCAGTGGGGATGGGAGTAGAGGTGGCATGTGAAACAGGAGTTTTAAACTCAGGAAGATAAATGATCAAAACAGACAGGGGCTTTGCTTGAACCAATCATTCAATCATTCAGCTGAAACAATGAGAGAGTGGAAGGAGTTTGAACATAAGAGATTGGAAAGGAAATAAAACTAAATATATTCAATGATGCTTTTTTATGTTCCAGCTCTACGTGTTTTATTAAAATCGGTTTAACCCTCCCAATAAACCTCTGGGATGTTATTCTCCCCATTGCACAGATGCGGAAACTGCAGCACAAACAGGTCCACGAGGCCAGGAGGGATTTAACCCCGGTTGCCAAGCTCTGGAGACCTCGCCACGAAGCGATGCCCCCAGGGCCCGGGAGAGTAAAATCAGCAGCCTGTCCTGAGGTTGGTGACCAACTGCCTTCAAACCAGGGAGGTGAGCTCGGATTCTCAGGGCAGACCCAGCGCCATCACAAGGGTCCTCAGACATGCAGAAGGAGGACTCTGGCCTTCTGCAGGAGGTCAGCATGAAGAGGAGGTCAGAGTGGCAGATGCAGCGTCATCACAAGGGTCCTCAGACATGCAGAAGGAGGACTCTGGCCTTTTGCAGGAGGTCAGCGTGAAGAGGAGGTCAGAGTGGCAGACCCAGCGTCATCACAAGGGTCCTCAAACATGCAGAAGGAGGACTCTGGCCTTCTGCAGGAGGTCAGTGTGAAGAGGAGGTCAGAGCGGAGCGATGCAGTGTGTGCTTAGCCACTCTGTCGTGTCTGACTCTTTGCAAACCCATAGACTGTAGCTGCCAGGCTCCTCTGACCATGGATTTCCCAGGCAAGGATACTGGAGTGGGTTGCCATTTCCTCCTCCAGGGGATCTTCCCCACCCAGGGATCAAACCCGCATCTCTTGAGTCTCCTGCATTGGCAGGCGGGTTCTTTACCACGGCGCCAGCTGCAAAGCCCCTACAGTGCTGTTTCAAGGACTCAACCTGTTGTTTGCATCCAGGATGAAGAAAGAAGGGCATGAGCCAGGGACGCAGATGCGTCTAGAAGCCAAGAAAAGAAGAAAACAGAATTGTCTCCTACATCCTCCAGGAAGGAGCACAGCCTTGCCCACACCTTGATTTTGGTCCAGTGACCCTCAGGCCCCACTTCTTACCTCCTGAGCGGTACAGTGACGCCTGTCTTTAGGGCATGGATTCAGGTCTAGAACCTGTCCAGGAGTGAAGGAGGGGTTTAGAAGCTATGCGGGTGAGTTCCTGATAATAACGTCATCAGAGAAGACTGTGGTAGCTGGAGACTGACTGAAACCAAACCAAAATATTTCCAGGGCTTCTCTGGTGCCCCAGTTGTTACGGATCTGCTTTGCAGTTCGAGGGACACTGGTTCACACCCTGGTCTGGGAAGACAGTGCTTGTGCAGAGCCACTAAGCCCGTGAGTCTGAGCCTGTGTCTGGCGTCTGAGGGCCTGGGAGCCCGTGACCTGCGACAGGAGACGCCAGCACGGTGAGAAGCCCCCGGCCGCAGCTCGACAGAAGCCCACACGGCAGTGAGGACCCGGTGCAGCCAGAAACAAACAGACAAACAAAATATACAAGTACATGAAACATTTCCAGGTAGGAAACCAGTGCTGCAGTAGACCGTGGTGTCTGGAAGGGTTAACACACTGCTGGGGTCTCCTCTACTTTCTTGCTGTGGATGAATGCGTGTGCTGCAGAATATTTTAAAGAATAATGAACGTGATCTAGTCATGATTGTGGTGTTTCTAACTGTTAAGGCTGATTCTTTTTTCCACAGCATGTCCTGGTCAGAAATAAAAATACTATTCACTGTAATTGCACAAAACATCTATTTAGCTTAAATTGCTCTGAATAGGAGCCCGTAGTGATCTAGAAATAATAACTTGGCTATAAAAGCCAGTCATTTCCTATTCAGACAGGATTCCCAGTATTCAGAGAATAAATATGTTACACAACAAAGTTTACAAAAATTTAGGATGATAAACAAGGTCAATAAAAATATAGCCAGTTAAATCATTTAAATGCTCAGACCCTTAGCTTGCTGGTTAAAAAAAAATTAATACTCAGAAACTCATGTATCCCCCAATGCGTATAAAGCCTCTGGCAGCAAAATTGGAAATAAACAAAAAAGAATAAGCAATTTCTACAGTTTGAGAAATATAGCTTATCCTAGGAAAGAGGCAACATAAAGTCACATTCCTTTCAGCTTATCCAATAGTCTCTTAGATAAAACATGCTATTTGTCCAAATATGCTTTAGTCATGGGGTAAAAATTTAAATAAACCTTGGTTCTCCAAATGGTTATTTAGCCATACAACATGAAATACTCAGATGATTTGAAAAATCAAAATGACTTGCTAACAACATCCTGCATCTAATAGTTTTCATCCAAGTGTTTGGCATTCCCTGTTTGAAGTCACAAGCTATATTTTCATATACAAAAGCACGGTTTCAGAGGTTAACTTACTCTCAGGAAAGCTGGAGCGGGACTCCAGCAATAGTTCATCCACGGGTCTCCGCGGGTCCTGGAGAACAATTCACATTCCTTTTGGGTCACTACTACATCACGCTTTTAATTTCATGTTTATTGTGAATAGTTCCGTGTAGAATGATTTCCGTAAAGGATTATGGTCTTAATTCAGCCAGACTGCCAAAAACTCTGCTCACGTGACATGGAGACTTCATTATGTCTTTCCATTTGTCTCCCCGCCAGCTCCTCAGCAGGGAGTTCGCAGCTGCAGATGGCTGGCTGGACACAGCAAGCATGAAGTACTATCAAATCAAAAAGGAGCTAGTCTTTTCCAATTGGCTTTTTCATACAAGGCCCTCATGGGAGAGCTGACTCCCAACACAGGCTTTTAAAGAAACATAAGTAAAGAAACAGTTCAGAACAGAGCAGAGACAAGTAAAAAAGAAAAAAAAATGACATGGAGAAGGGAACGGCAACCCACTCGAATATTCTTGGGAGAATCCCATGGACAGAGAAGCCTGGTGGGCTACTGTCCCTGGGCTCGCAAAGAGTTGGACATGGCTGAGCAGCTAACACACACACACACACTCTGTCCTGAGCCCAGGGGATACCTGTGAGAAGCGCTCATGCACCCATTTGAAAAAAAAAAAATACAAATACAGAAACAGGCCAGAAAGGAACTCAAAAGTTTCCGTTGAAATTTAGTTCTTAAAATCTGGATATGGAAATATAGCGATGTAGAATGTAATTTTTTTAAGGGAACAAAATGAACTGAGTTTTCATCTTCATCTGAGTTGTGTTGCGTGCAAGCAAGCTGCAGCATCTTTCTTGCAGTGGGGAGTAGGAGAATCCTTAGAGCAACGTCACCTCAAAGCGCCTGCCCTCCCAAGATCTACTAGCTCGTTGCTTCTGTAAACGCGCCAGCAGGCAGACCGCTTTCTCTGTAAGCAGCCGCTCGTTTTCAGTATGTCTTGTTTTCCATATTATTGAAGAAACATTTTGAACAGGTAAGAGCTGCCGTTCTATCTTTTTTTGAACATTTCAGGTAAAGACGAGGCAATTCTAAAAAAAAGTGAAAAAGTTGCTCGTGAAATTGCATGAAATTGTAATTTCATGGAAGTGTAATCGTGGAGAACGTTGAGTAGGGGCCAGCGTCTCTCTGCCCACTGCGTGGGTCTGTTAGCTCCCCTGCCTGTAACTACGTCCTGAAAATGCCCCCCTGAGGGTATGGTGTTCGGGTAACCCTCACACCAAGCAGACTCGTCTGTTCCCTATGTGCCGTGATAACCACGTGAGGTCTTCCTCATTTACCTCCCATTCTCTCATATTTATTCTCTGGCTAATTGTATGAGTCCAGAAATTGCTAGGCCAGCAAAATAGAGGCAGATTGAACTCATTAATGCCTACGACTGTCAAACAAACGGACTCTGATTGTTCCTATATGCGTCTGCTGTCTTCTGCAGAAGATACAAAATTATCACACTTAATAATACCTGCCAGAGAATATGATGCGCACATTTTGTTTGCAGAAGAACTTTGTATCTAGGAGAGAGATTGTCTTCTGACCCCAGTTGGCTTCTGGACTGGATTCTTTTCTTTCAACATGCTGGCCTCTTCCTTGACTTTATAAATGTTGTAACACAGCAAGCATACCCTCATTAATCTTCTTTTTCAACATTTTCTTCTGCACTCTTCTAAATAAGCTTTAGTTTCAGCTTCCCAATTAAAAAAAATTATCCAGTTGGGATTTCAAAAGTGGAATAGCAGTAATTTTGTAGCATAATGTCCTTATGAAGCAACCACATATGGTATTTATTATGTGCAAGGCACAGTGAAAAACTGCCATACTGAATGAACATTAGAACCTCATGAGGTGGGCATCACCATGCATGTGTACATGCCTGCCCAGTTGTGTCTGACTCTTCTGAGACGCTGTGGATTGTAAGCCACCAGGCTCCTCTGCCATGCGATTCTCCAGGCAAGAACCCTGGAGAGGTTGCCATGCCCCCCTCCAGGAGATCTTCCTGACCCAGGGATGGAACCCAGGGCTGTGTCTCCCGCACTGGCAGGCGGATTCTTTACCTCTGAGCCACCTGGATCTAAGGACCAGCCCAACAACGAACCAACCCGAGGGAGCGGTGCTGCAGAAGGATAAAGAAAAAGAAGACTCAGAAACACAGTGGGGGTCAGGGGGCCGACGCCACTTGCAGGCAAAAGCCCAGATCCTACTCCTTGCATGCCCTTTACGGTTAACTTCCACTCCCTGTTCCGGCTCTAGCGGTATCAGTTCTTAGCAGTCTCAGATGGGGGATAAAGATGTACAATGCACGGTACTCAGTGTCAAACCTTCAGGTCTTTCTGGACTTTGTTTAGCTTTTTGGCTAGTGACGCCATTTCTCAGCAACTCCCTCAAGGCTCTGGTTATGGGAACCGTCACTGATGGTTTTCCATCAGTCACAGCAGTACCTCAGCATCTTGTTTTCAAGGTGTCTTTCCATGATGTACTTTTTACTGCTCCCAGCCCTTCGCCTGGAGGTGACGAGAAAGTCATTCTTATTTTTCAAAGAGGCCCCATTAATTATAGTACAGGGCGATACATAGCATATCCCCTTCACTGGAAAGCCCAGGCCTTCCTGTAATCACTCCCGTTTTACAGATGAGTAGACTGAGTCCCTGAGCTTAAATAACTTGCACAAAATCGAACAGCTGGAGAGTAACAGAACCGGGGGTAAAGCCCGCCTTCAGCCTGGGAGCTCAGATGACAACTGCTGTGTTGTCTGCTCTCTGCGTGTCTCTTTCCCTCCACGAGTCTCACGGGAGGTGCAAACGTTTTACAGTTCTTGACTCTTGCCTCCCGTGTTTTGCAACAGTATCCTCCAGGGCCGGAAGTCAGATGCTGTCCTTTGCGTGGAGCTAAAGCATCTTCCTGGACTCTCTCCTGGCGATTTGTATGGGGTACCTGGGGCCTTGGGACTTGTGTGCAGCCCTCTAAACTGCATCAGGTCAAAGTGTAAGGACCTGATCTGCCAAGAGAGCATGCAGCAGCCCAGAAGCCTGATAGAGAGAGGCAGGGAACGCTGCTCTTTTCCAGAATCTTCTCTGCTCTTGCCCTTCACCCTTTCTGACCAAGCTGCACTGCCTGCATTTGGGTTTTGGTAGATACTCTCCCCAGATTTCCTTGTTTCTTAAAATTATAATAAGGATATTTTACTTGGTCCTGCTTTATGAACTTTTTTTGTGTGTCACTTCCTTTGTATGACATGTCTTCCAATCTTATTTGCAGTTGCATTTCTTGGGTATCTTTTAGCCTCTCTCTATGATCTGCCTGGGCTTCGCAGGTGACTCAGAGGTAAAGAACCTGCCTGCCAATTCAAGAGACACAGGAGACGTGGGTTAATCCCCTGGGTTGGGAAGATCCCCTGGAGAAAGGAATGGCTACCCACTCCAGTATTCTTGCTTAGACAATCCCATGGACAGAGGAGGGCTACAGTCCACGGGGTTGCACAAGAGTCAGACATGACTTAGCGACTAAACAACACCATCTGCCTCTGGGATGTCTCATGGAGCAGAATAATCTTATTTTCCTTTCACCTCTCCTGCACATCTTTTACTTCCCACAAGGAATGTAAATCGTAGGATCGACAGTGCATCCCATCCGGCCGCTTGATGGGATCGTGTCTAAACTAAGCTTGCCTGTGCTTTTCCACTTCTCCATCCTACACAGATTGTGTTTTTCCTCCGTTCCTCTCCTTGCCCTTTTGTCCTCTTCTCATCTGGAAAGTTCTGAGTGAGAGCCTCCCGGCATGTTGTTCTACTGCTGCTCACCTTGAAAGGCTGGCCAGTGTATCTGAACCTAGGCTCCTTGGGAGATATGAACACTCACTATCTCCACCCATCTTCCCTCCACGGCCTGATCTGGACACACGTGCTCCCTTCCCAGCCCCAAGGACGTCCTTCAGCACATGTGACCTTGAAGCCTTAGCCCTGCTCCTGACGGGCTGTGCAGTGCTGGCGAGTGATGTTCTCTGGAAACTTCCCTTTCCTCACCTGTAAGTGACAAAGAACACTTCGGCATCCAACGGGGTCATATCGAATTTTAAAACTTAGGGTTTGTTGGGCAGGATAGCAGAGGATGAATATGTGATCACTTATGTGTGAAATCTAAAAAATAAATGACTGAATATAACAAATCAGAAATAGCCTCACAGATACAGAGAGCAAACTAGCGGGTGCCAGTGGGGTTAGGGGAGCAGGGAAGGAAAAGGCAGTCACGAGGTACAAACCACTGTGTGTAAATAAATAAGCCGCAAGGGCACGCTCTACGGCACAGGGAAAGAGCCAGTGTCTTGCATTAACTTTAAATGAAGTATAATCTGTAGAACTTTTGAATCACCACATTGTATACATGACACTAATATTATATATCAGCTCTAAGGAAGTGAGAGTCGCTCAGGCGTGTCTGACTCTTTGCGACCCCATGAACTATACAGTCCATGGAATTCTCCAGGCCAGAATACTGGAGTGGGTAACCTTTCCCTTCTCCAGGGGATCTTCCCAACCCAGGGATTGAACTCAGGTCTCCCGTATTGCAGGTAGGTTTTTCAACAGCTGAGTCACAAGGGAAGCCCCAAAGAGGGGGACACAAGAGAGAGACCTTTTATACTGGGTAGGAGGTTATATTTGAGCACTGGTCTGTGCTGGGCACAGGTGTGTGTGGTGTGTGTGTGTGTGTGTGTGTGTGTGTGTGTGTGTAAAGGACCTCCAAAGAAGTCCAGGTATAGTTTCTACAAGGATCTCATGGTCTGACAATCTTAGCAGCTGAGAGAAACTTGGGGCACATGACTCAGGGAAGTGTTCTCTTTTCTAAGTAAAAGAACAACTCAGTTATTCCTTGTATGAAATGGTCTCTAGACACCTCTCCATTAGGGCTTAGTAGGAGTAGGGGGAGTGAAGGAAAGACAAGTTTGCTTCAAAGCAGTGCCTTAACTGAAGGCCAGCCAGGGCCTCCAGCCTTCTGAGGAGGAGCTGGAAGGTCAAGAAAGCTTCCTGGAGGAGGCAGCCTTTGAACCTGGCCTTTCAGACAGGGGGAAGGGGACTTCCCTGATGGTCCACTGGCTACGACTTTGTTTGCCANAAAAAAAAAAATAGACTGGTAGTAGATGCTTACAATTTATTTATTACCAACCATCTTTTCAAAGTCATCTGAAATAAAAGTGCCAGTAATGAATATGAATGGAACACAGAACTGAATGAGCAAATGCTTGGTGAAAGAATGAAATAGTGAAAAGTCAAAGTATCAGTATAAATACATATTAAACTCATCTTGATATTAGAATTTTATCAGATCACTTACTGATAATATGGTTTATTACTCGGTTGGCCACAAAGTTCCTTTGTAACATCTTATGGAAAAACTCAAAGGAACTTCATAGCCAACTATTACTTAGTATGTGTATCTTGGGGAGACAGCTGAGTTCCTTGAGGGACTGAGGAACTCACCGATACATTCTCACACATGAGGAAGGTTGCAATTCCTTCGCATTCCCTTTAAAAAGACCTCAAGGTCCTGCGTATCTGTGCTACAGCCAGTTTCTCTGCAGTCCCCTCTCTACCGGGCTTCCCCACCAGGAAGTCTGCCATCAGATGCGCTCCATACACACTCACGGGTCCACAGTTCACCGTCTACGCACAGGATCCTCGGCGCACGAGCCACCCCTGGGTTCCGGGGATGGAGCAGCAGAGATCGGGCAAAGCCTAAACCCCTGCCTTCATGCCGTCTGCATTCTAAAGAAGCACTTACATGTGTAATAAAGTAACTAATAGTACTACTCTGGAGAAAAGAAATATCTAGGAAATATGTTGGTGCTCTTTTTCCAGGATGATTTTAAGGAAGGCCACAGTAACAAGCTGATAACTGAGCATAAACCTAAAAGAAGTGAGGAACAGCCTGGATATTTAAGAAGCAGAATTCCAGGAAGAAGGATTAGAGTGTGAAGCCCTGGCGCAGGAGTAGGCAGGTGTGTCTGTACATTTAGGAAGAGCAAGAAAGCAAACCAGATTTCTTTCGTCTCAAACATGAGGAGTCGGGCACCGCTCTAGGCTCTTCCAGATGAACCTGCTCAGTCCTCCTAGTAATCCAGACAAGTGGCCACTGATACTACCTTTCACTTAGAGACGAGCCACCTAGAGACACAGGGGTTACGTGGCTTTACCCAATGTCTCTTAGCTTGCAACTTGTTCTAAAAATGGAACTCCTGTGTGATCTAGAAATCCCACTCCTGGATGCATAGCTAAAGAAAATGAAAACACCAATTCAAGAAGATTCATACACTCCAGTGTTCAAAAACAGCATTGTCTACAATAGCTAAGATATGGAAGCAAACTAAGTGTCCATCAACAGATGAATGGATAAAGGAGGTGTGCTGTATAAATGTGTATCTCACGTAAAATAAAAAACTGCAAGGACATATTGTTTAGCACAGGGGATGCAGCCAGTATTTTATAATAATTTTAAACAGAGTATAATCTACAAAAACTCTGAACCACTGTTTTGTATGCCTGGAACAAATGTAATAGTGTAAATCTTCTGTACATCAATTGAAAAATGAACATAATTAAGGTAAGAACTAATTCTTCAAAAGTTTTATTTAAAAATGGCCATTCTTACCTGTCTCTAACTTGTGAAAGGCCTGAGAGAGAGGATGGACGTCCTGCACAGGCAGTCTGTAAGCCAAGAAGGAGGAGTACCTGGAGACAGAAAAAGTGTCACACTTCATCTTGAGTTTCAAGGGGGAAAATGACCATCAAAATAAAAGTTGATATTAAAAGTTAGTAAGTAAATTTTATTATTTTTAAAAATTTTATTAATAAATAAAATGAGTGCAAATTAACATCTGGCTTCAATATGAAACAACAGGATAAATTTCAACAGATGCTTCTTGCAGCAGCTTTGTTGGCTGGCAGTTGGAGATAATTCTCCTGGAAATGATCCAGTATAATTACATTTATGCTCCAATATTTCGGCCACCTGATGCCAAGAGCTGACTCATTGGAAAAGATCGTGATGCTGGGAAAGGTGGAGGGCAGGAGAAGAGGGAGACAGAAGATGAGATGGTTGGATGGCGTCACTGACTCGATGGACATGAGCTTGAGCACATTCCAGGAGACGGTGAAGGACAGGGGCGTCTGGCGTGCTGCCGCCCGTGGGGTCGCAAGGAGTCAGACACCATTTAGCAGCTGAACAACAACAATGCTCAGTGAAGTTTATTCAAACCTTTTCCTTGTGGAACATAGACCTTCTGAATGAATCTCTTTGCCGAGCTTGAATAATTTACAGCTAATCCCAATATTTCACCCTTGTAACCAGAAAGCGAAGGCAAGAGACACGTGGTTGAGAGGGAGGGCCACAGTAGCGAGGGGACTGAGATGGCTCTACACTTAAAAAAGCACAACACGAGAGCTGTGAGTTGAGTCTGATTTGGGGCGAAGTGAGGACTGTAGCCTGAGAGACGGCGCCTGCGATCGCTCTGAGACGCTGCTCGGAAGAGGCAGCGGGGCAAGGTCACTGTGGAGGGGATTCTGCTGGACGGGGGGTACATGCACTCAGGCACGTGTTTTTTGCAGAGGATTCTGTTGGTCTCGTGACAGTTGCTGCTGACCATGAGGAGCCGTTGTCGCCACGAAGGCGGTTAGTGCTTTTCTAGATGTGGGGAGGTGCAAGAGTTGGGCTCGTAAAATGGGCTCCTGAGGACATCTAACTATCTGAGGACCGGTCCTGTTTCCCCGGAGCACAGACGCGGCATGCCTGCCCCCTGCCCGGAACTCTCTAGGGGGCACTGGAGGCCCGCAGCTGCAGCAGCGCCCGGTTTGATCCTCGTAGAGGGAGGCAGGCCGACGGCTTGTGCCGATCTGCAGTTGACCCAGCTCGAAGGGGAGGGAGTGCCAGGGTTGACTTCTGCCCCCGTCCCCTCCTCCCAGCTCTGCTGAGACCTCAGGCCCCACGCGCGGCTCGTTCCCAACAGACTGTGAAGCCCCCGGCCGCCCCAGAGCTGCTCAGACCCCGGTCTTCGCCCAGCCCTGCTCCCCTGCCTGTCTCCATCAAAGCCGTGGCTTGCAGGTCCGGGAATGGGACCGAGTCCCGCGTCCCCGCACCCCCCTTGGATGATTCCGTTGCTCTGTTCTGGGTGTTACACCCTGCTTCTTCCGTGGCTTCTCCCCCCGAGGAATTTCAAACTCAGCTCCTGCTCCAGCTCCCTGCCCCCCACCCTGAGAAACCACACCCCTGTGTCTCTGTGCTCACATACACACTCCCTTCTGTTCTTCATTGTGAGGCAGGAAAACGCCACTAAAGGGACACGCTTTGATGATCCCAATTGCTGTTTCTGATGGGGCTGATTCACCCTAAATAGTTGTATCTTTAAAACAGTAAATATTTATATCTTTTAAATATTTATGGGGAAGCCCCGGGAAGGTGCCCCAGGCTGGCTGCACTTCTGTGCAGATTCAAGTCATCAGAACTTCTCCTGTTTTTCCAAGTCCCACTCCAGACCTGGGGACCAGCCTTGGGTGGCCGCGGAGGCCCAGGCCAGTGTCCCCAGGCCTCCCCGGGGGGACACATCTTTCTGGGGACGCTCACAAATCTCCTCTAATCGGGAAGACGTAAATCTGTTTCTGAGGTCCCTCCCTTGCTGCTGAGGTCTAACTGCCCTGAAGTGCTCACAGAGCAAAGAAGGAACCACGGATGGAAGAAGCCAGCCTGCTCCTCACAGCCAAGAGCTCCTTCACCTTTCCTGCTGGGCGGCCCGCGGGAAAAGCCTCAGGACCTCCGTGTGGACCGGCGCCCCCTGGGAAGCCTCCTTCAGTTTTAGTTCCAGAATGTAATCCTTGCCGAGGCTGTTTTTCAGGTGTTGGATGGAGCCGATGCATCTGTGAACAAGAAGAAAGGCACACTGGGAAAATCTCGTCCCTGGGATTTTTTCCTGTTATTCTTAAATTTCAGGTGTAGGGAAAGGGGTCCCGGCGGGAGGGGGAAGAGTTTCGCTGGTTACAGTGGTTTTGCCCTTTTCATATTGTTGTGTTAGGTGCTAAGCCGTGTCCAGGTCTTTGTAACCCCATGGACTGTAGCCCACCAGGCTCCTCTGTCCGTGGGATCCTCCAGGCAAGAATACTGGAGTGGGTTGCCATTTCCTTCTCCAGGGTGTCGTCCAGAACCAAGGATCGAACCTGCATGTTGGATTCTTTACCTCTGAGCCACTGGGCAAGCCTGGCCCTTTCACAGCAAGTCTCGTTTAGAAATTGAGGGCAGGCTTGGCCGGCACCCACCTCAGCCTCCCGGACACCATGATGGCCACACGATCGCACACGGCCTCCGCCTCGGCCATGGAGTGGGTGGTCAGCAGGGCGCCCCTCGCCGTGTTTCTAACCGCTGTCTGGATTGTCTGCCTGAATGAGCCCCAGCAGTAATGCCGTATTTTATAAGGATGAGAAAAAAGAGAGACGGAAGGGAAATTTTTTGGCTAAAATACAATTCATGAATCATATTTAAATTCTAAATTAAAAAAGAACAGGAAAATGTGATTACATAGAAGGTTTTGATAATAGTTTTTAGGTGTGTTAATGGCATTCTGGTTAAGTTGAAAAAAAAGAAAATTTCACTTCTTTTGCAGAAGCTAACTGAAATGTTTACAAATGAAGGATACACTGCCTAGTATTTGCTTCAAAATAATTGGAAAGCAGCAAAAGGAAGTGGGTGGAGGCAAAGATGAAGAAAGATTGACCTTACACAGAGAGCATTTGGCTTAACAGAGTCACACGTGATTCTCTTTCCATTTGTATAAAATTTCCATAACAAAGTTCTTTTAAAAAGTTGGGAAAATACTGGGCACACACAAATATGAAAGTGGATTGGAGAATTTTATAACTGCAAATATAAAGTCCTCGATAGGAACATAAGAAGAATTTAAAAACTATTAAAAGAAAGTCTAGATCAACAAATTTAACAGGTTAGCTAAAGGCAGGGGGGGAGAAAGCAAAGGAGGAAAACGTATTCACAAGCTAATACTTTCTAAGGAAAAAATTACAGACATCTCAATAATTGGCAAAATTAATCTACATTCCAAATCGCAAGACCTAAAATTCCAGCGAGACACTGAGAGGTTTTCTAATCCCATGTGAATGCCACTTGAAGGTGGTGCACTCTTTAGTGAATGCGCTGTTTAGTCGCTCAGTCGTGTCCGACTCATTGCGACCCCATGGACTGTAGCCCGCCAGGCCCCTCTGTCCATGGGCTTCTCCAGGCAAGAGCACTGGAGCGGGCGGCCATGCCCTCCTCCAGGGGATCTTCCCCATGCAGGGACTGAACTCCCGCCTCCTACATCAGCAGGTGGGTTCTTTACTGCTCAGCCACCAGGGAAGCCCCTGAGAGGATCTACTTGTTAAATCCTGGTTTCCCTAGGACGGTGAGTTGTCTCCGCTCAGCTAGGGACCAGTGGGTCTGCTTTTCCAAGGTCAGCTTAAAAACGCTCCTTTCACAGAAGGCCCCACCTCCTGGCCCCGCGGTCGCTGCTCACCACAGCTGCTTCTGCTCGGCGGGGTCCAAGCCTGTGGACGGCTCATCCAGAAGCAGGACGGGCGGGTCTCCCAGCAGGCTCAGCACAGAACACAGCTGCAAGGCAGAGACACGGGGCTGTTCCTGCCGCCGCCCGTCACCCTCCAGGCAGCCCGCGGGACACACGCACCTTTCTGGCGGCCCCTCCCGGTAACTTCTGCGCGGGAACGTTCAGCTGTTCGTGCAGCTTGAAGGCGTCCACCAGTCTGGTGTGAAACAGGGTGAGATCAGGAGAGGATGTGGGGAGAAGGTTAACCCCACACCGGGGTTATGGCCCTGGGTCCCCTCCTTGGCTCCATCACTCTCAGAACTAACCATCAACGCAACATTGTAAAGCAATTCTGCCCCAGTTTAAAAAAAAATTAAAAATCTAACCATCAGAGAATAAAGTTTATTCCGAACAGGAAAGATTTACATCTCGTAAAAAAATTGTAAAACTAACTTGAATTCTAATGAAATAGACAATTATTCATTCATTCAACATTTTTTCAATTCATTTTGTTGAAGTGTAGCTGATTTACAACGTTGCATTAATTTCTGCAGTACAGCAAACTGAATCAGCTATACGTATGCACGTTCTTTTCCATATTCTTTTCCCTTAGGGTCTAACCCAGGATACTGAATAGAGTTCCCTGGGCTGTATGGTAGGACTCTGTTATTTATCCACTCTGTGTGTGAGAGCTTGCACCCGCCAAGCCCAGGCTCTCTCTCCATCCCCCCGTATCCCAGGTTCCCCGGGGCAACCGCAAGTCTGTTCTCTGTGAGTCTGTTCCTGTTTCTTCGATAAGTTCATTTGTGTCACAGTTTAGATCCCACGTGTAAGTGACACCCTGTGTATCACTGAACACTATTATTCTACGCCGTTTACTTTTTAAGGGTCCCCCAGCCAGGGATGCAGGGTTTGGCCCCTGGCCTCCATCCCCTCTGCACCCCTGCTGCTCCCCGAAGATGGAGCTGTCCCCCCTACTCCCCACTCTGAATCAGGACGGCACAGAGGAGCCTCATGGGCGCGCAGTACCGTGAGATGGCCACGCGGGCGTCCGCTCGCCGCAGCCCTTTCACAGCGGCGAACACCTCCAGATGCTCGAGCGTGGTCAGGCTGGGCCACAGCACATTCTCCTGGGGACAGTAGCCCAGGAACCGGATGCTGGCGTCCCCCTCCTGATCCAGATCCGAACCGTGCCCCGTCAACTCCACCTGAGAAAGGGCGCTGGTTTCAGAAATGTGCAGGCTCGTCTTCAGCCACACGATTCCTCGAGAAACTGACTTGTGGCTAATGAACATCGAAGAAATACTATAGAAGTCACCCCCTATGTTTATTGCAGAAAACTATTTACTCACAGTACAGGCTCACAAGGACATCACCTCTATCTATTATAGCACGTCTATTTGGGGAACGGAAACCACATCTTCATTGGCACTACCTCTCCAGCTGTTGGCGTCATCATCCCAGATATCATTCTAACAGACGAACTTTTACCAGCACCGTTAGGTCCCAGCAATCCCAAAATTTCTCCTGAAAGACAGGCACCCACCTGAATCAGTATTGGAAGTAAAACAATAACATAAATCTTGCTTCTTCAGCAACTATCTGAGATACATGTTCATCTCCATTGCCATTTGGAATTTTTTTATCATATATGTAATCCATGTCACCAAAACATGTTCTTTAAACCCTATAATTATATAAAACATTTTGAAAAAAAGCTTAGAGACTGACATTTGCTGTCCATACATGGGTCTTTTTCCAGATTACTTTTCCAGTGAAAAATGTGCACATAATTTTTTATATGGCAGATGGCTGACCTGCTGAGTACATAAGTAATTCCTAAACCTGGGGAGTCAGGCACCTTTTCTCCATCTCAAACTCTACCACCTGAGTCTGAGTCGTTATCATCTTTTATCTGAGATGATACAATGATATGAAAGCCTCTTAGCTTGTCCACCACCCAAATTCATGGACAAATAATAGCCAGGGTGAAACATTTTTCAAAGTATCAATTAAATGGTGACAAAAACCCTCTAGCGGCTTTCTGTTCAACTGGCCTAATATCTAAACTCTGCTGTTTTTCACGCTGGACCCCGCAGACCCTGCTCACCTCTGAGAGCATTCCTTCAGTTCACAGAGCATCTGCTGGCCTCTCTGAGCGCCTTACCCACTCCAAAGGCAGGCCTGCGTCTGAGCCCTCGCTGCTTCCTCCGTCTGGGATGCTCTTGTCTTTGCATGCTAACATCGCTGGCACCTTCTTATCACCTAGTGCTGAGCTGTGCTAAGTCGCTTCAGTTGTGTCTGACTCTTTTGTGACCCCATAGACTGTAGCCCACCAGGCTCCTCTGTCCATGGGATTCTCCAGGCAAGAATACTGGAGAGGGTTGCCATGCCCTCCTCCAGGGGATCTTCCTGGCCCAGGGATTGAACCCGGGTCTCTTGTATTTCCTGTATTAGCAGGTGGGTTCTTTACCACTACACCAGCCTGAAGCCTGTTATCACCTGGATCTTGGCTTAAATGTCTCTGCTCGAGAAAAGCCTTCCCTACCCTAAGCTCCCCTGTGGCTCAGATGGTAAAGAATCCACCTGCAGCGCAGGAGACCTGGGTTCAATCCCTGGGTTGGGAGGATCCCCTGGAGAAGGGAGTGGCAACCCACTCCAGTATTCTTGCCTGGAGAATCCCATGGACAGAGGAGCCTGGTGGGTCACAGTCAATGGGGTCGCAAAGAGTTGGACATGACTGAGCAACTGAGGCTTTCAGATTTCAACCCTAAGTGAATGTGGCCCCGAGTCACTCAGGTCATTTCACAGATTTGAATGTTCCCCATAGAACCTGCCAGTGTGACATCTGAAACTTCTTTTGATAAGTCATTTTTGTTTACTGACTCCTCTGGGGATGTAAAAGCTATGCTATCACGCATTTGTCTCTTTATTTCATAATTATATTTCCAGATTCTTAAACAGCCCCTGGTGCACTCAAAAAAACATGTGTTGAATGAGTGAATAAATGTTTCAGCAAGTACAACAGTGTCGATAACCTCAGTGTTCAGTGGGTATTTCTAAAAACAATGGCGAATTTAAACACTGACTGTTCCAAACCTTTTTTAACACAGAAGGAGATGTTTCTCACTGCTGTCTTCTTCCTCCTTCTTGAAAAGCACCTTTTCTTCTGGCCGGCATATTCTTTGTGCAGACAGCTAGCAATTATGACCGGTTTCTGGAATACAGACAGAGTGATTTCCTCTTAGGCAGCAGTCACTTTTCATTTCTAGCTCTGCCTCCTGGAACCTCTCTTGCCCTCTGTCATGGACCAAACCATATTTGTGTTGAGGGCAATCCACATTGCTTGTCTCAAGTGTAACATGCATTCGTGGATGTTGACCATACTTCTTGCTAAAAACAGATGAATGAATAAAGAATATGTATATATGTATATATACATATATATATTACTCAGTCATAAAAAGAATGAAATCATGTCATTTGCAGCAACCTGGATGGACCTAGAGATGATGTAAGTGATATAAGTGAAGTGAGTCAGCAAGATAACAGACAAATATCGCATGAAGTCACTTATACGTGGAATCTAAACTAGAACACAAACAAAAAATCAGTGGACTGAGTAAACAGCACCATTTCAGGCTGGCTTCTTGCCTTCCAGTAACAGAAGTATCTAAACTCGTGTGAACAGCTCCCATATCAAAATCAAAGAGTAATCCTTAAAATCTTAATCTCTACCAGGCATTTATAACAAATCTTACATTAATTCTTTGACTCATGAAACTGGGGGTTTGAAATTGCAGCTCTACATATCCAAGTCCATTTTTCTCAAAAAACAAAAAAGATGAAACCAGTATGATTTGCATTCTTCTTTGAACATCACGGACTTCGAAAGACGTGCCCGCATATTTAGGAATTACATAACAGCATGGCCTCCCAGGTGGTAAAGAACCCGCCCGCAGCGCAGAAGGCGCAAGTCACACAGGCTCAGGCCCCAGTCGGGAGGATCCCCTGGAGGGTAAAATGGTGACCCGCTCCAGTGTTCTTGCCTGGAGACTCCCGTGGACAGGGGGGCCTGGCGGGCTGCAGTCCGTGGGGTCACAGAGTCAGACACCACTGAGCGCACACACACCCCGAACTCTAAACTCTCTAAGCGAACCCCAGCACATCAGCCTCTGCTCCTGAGCTCCTGAACACTCCATTGACTCATTTTGCCACTGTGTCCCTACCTCCTCTATTGACGTGTTCAGGGCGGTGGCTGTTCTTATTCTTTCTGCTTGAACATCTTCGTCTTCATCTGCATGTTCTTCCGCATTTGAACGAGCATCTCTGCTTTTTGGGGAAATTCTACAGAAAAGATGAAATATACAGCACATGATTTTTTGCTAGGTATCAAAGATGTGTCAAAAATCAGCTTCTCTAACTATCCCTTCCACTCCCCCCACCATGGACTATATTTAAAATGGCTATATTTTAAATGGATAACCAACAAGCTCCTACTGTAAGCACAAGCAACTCATGGTTATCTGGCAGCCTGGGTGGGTGGGAAGTTTGAGGCAGAATGGATACAGGTATACGTAGGGCTGAGGCAGTTTGCTGCTCATCTGAAACTATCGCATTGTGATTGGCTATACCATTATACAAAATAAAAAGTTAAAAAAAAATCAGCTTCTCTGTGATTTCACTGTGGTGCTTTCAACAAACTGGTGATGATGCTGACTATGAATATCATGTCTTCTTCTGCCAGGAGCGTCCACCCCTGCAACCGAATCCCCCTCTTGGTGTTGCTGCGGTTCTCCTAATGAGTGTCTCTGACCCTTTCGAATTTCTCAGCAAGTGCTGCCGCTGCTTTGAAACCAGGCCCCCTGCGTTCTTCTCTGCTGACTCTGAGCCCACGTGACCCACACGCAGTATCTGCCTGGCATCCTTTACTGTCTGGGGCTTCCCTGTAGCTCACACTCTGCCCACAGTGCAGGAGGCCTGGGTTCCACCCCTGGGTTGGGAAGATCCCTGGAGAAGGAGATGGCGACCCGCCCACTCCAGGACTCCAGTATTCAGGGGAGGCTGGCATCTCTCCCCTGCTAAAACACTCTGAGCTGTGCTGCTGAGCCAACCCCGTCCTATCGCTCTGGTCAGGCATGTGTGATCCTCTTGAGTGGGAAAAGGGCATATCTGAGTTCTCATTAAAATGCTTCTCTTAATATATACATTTTATTGAAGTAGAGCTGACTTACAGTGTTTTCTGTGTGCAGCAAGGTGATTCAGTTGCACGTACACACATTGATTATTTTTCAGATTATTCTCCATTGTTAGTTATTATAAGATATTGACCACAGGTCCCTGTGCTATACAGTAAACCCTTCTTGCTTACAGAATATCTTTTTTTTTTTTCAGTTAGAAATCTAGCATTCTATTCATACTAAGTCAAACAAGTATTTGAATTCTCATTAAATTTTTGAGAGCTTGAAAGCTCCCTTCAGCTGACTGATGGCAGAACTCTGCCTGGTGGGGGTGATTTAGTCACTCATGTGAGGCTGCCAGGGCTAACACTATGACAGGCGGCCTGGACCTAAGTTTCGGTTTCCCCTGAAATGGTAAGATTCCCTACCCCCATCAGGCCGCCTGGAGCCAGCCAGTCAGCAGGCGCCCAAAAGAGAACAAAGGGAACATATCAAGGGAAAGCTGAAAAGCCCGCGAACGCCTAAGTTTGAACAAAAGCCTGCGAAAGTTTGGACCAATAAAATTGCTTTGCAAACATGTAACCAATCCACTTAAGCCAGCTACCAACTGCCTATGTTCACCCTATAAATTGGTGTAACAGCTGGGGCTCAGGGCTCTCTGACCCTGCACCACTGCGATGGATGCGGCAGGAGCCCTGGCTCGAGTCAGTAATAAACTTCCCTTTTTGCGAGTTGCATTGTCTTGGTAGCCTTCTCTCTTCCCGCTCGGGGATTCGGACATCGGGCATAACGACTCAGTCGTGTCCGACTCTTGCTACCCCACTGACTGTAGCCCGCCAGGCTCCTCTGTCCTTGGGATTCTCCAGGCAAGAACACTGGAGTGGGTTGCCATTTCTTTCTCCAGGAATTTTTTCTGATGCAGGGATCGAACCCAGGTAGCCTGCACTGCAGGAAGATTCTTTTACCAACTGAGCTACAAGGGATGCCTCTGCCTAGGTGTCCTGTTTCCTGGCAGTTCAGCCAGAAATCCACTGACCATGCTGAAAATCATCACGCTATTTATACTGTCAATATAAATCAGCATTAAGAGGCTGAGGGTGCAGCCACTCCCCAGGAATATTAAAATGCAATATTAAGTATGAAATTAACTTTTATCCCAACCTGAAAACAGGATCCTTTTGCATTATTTTCTTTCCACACTTTGCTTCTAGGCATCGCAGGACAAACATGAAGAGCAAAGCCTGAAAGTAAGGCTAGGAGCAAAGAAACAGTTACACTGAGGGATGAGTTCACATCAGAAACATCTGAATCATAGTTTGGGTCTCTTGTCATCAGATAAAACAGGTCTGAAGCATTTGTACAGACCAGTTCTACAGTAACAATCCAGCTTGGGGAACCCGCCTCCTTTCTTTCTCCCTGATGTACAACCTACATCCGGTCTGTCAGCACCTGTGACCTGTTTCTCCTTTCAAAGTTACCCAGAACTCAGGGCTGCCCCCACCCTAGCCGGACAGTAATCGCTGACAGTAACACCGCAGCCCCTGGCTGTGGGTCTCTCTTCTTCCCTTGCCCCAAACATCTACTCTCAACACAGCAACGGGAACCATATTTTAGAGCAGAGATCAGGTCACAGCACTTCCTGAAAACTCCGCTGGCTCCTTGCTCTCACAAAGTAAGATCAAAGTCCTGGACGTGACCCAGGATCTCGCAGTCACCCCTCCGTTCATCCACCCTCGGCCTGGTCACCTCTGTGACCTTCACTCTCCCTGTGACTAGCCTGCCGCCTGCCTGACCCTGGGTCAAGTCAGGGCCACTCTCCCGCCTCCTCCGGGAATATTCCTCCCTGTGACGTCCCCAAGGCTCGCTTCATGCCATCCATCTCACACCCCATGTTATTTATTTAGTTTATTATCTGCCTCCTTCTGTCAGAATTTAAGCCCCATGAGGGCAAGGGCTACTATTTTTGATCTATGCCTAGAAAAGTACTGCCACATATGCAAAGACACTAATTTCCTTCAGCCCATATACACCAGTATAATCATTTTCCCTTTTCATTGTTTTTTTTTTTTTACTTTTGTTTTGTTTATCTCTAATTGCAAAGGAATTAAGTTGTATTGCATAGATTTCTTTACAAACTCTCAAATTTGGAGGAGGCAGCAGACAGGATAAATAAGAAAATCTAATTTTATACTGCATTCTGGATTTACACAGTCCATTCATGCATATAAGAAATAACTAGAACGTAGAATTGTATCTGAATGTAATTGCTTTGTCTAAGACTATATTAAAAACACTTTCAAAGTTGGCACACTTCAGACAAGATCAAAGAGTTACTACAGTAAATGATAAGCCCCGCTCCCCCCAGAAAAGCAGGCAGTGAGGTAGAAAAGCTGTCTTACTATTAGGCACACTAGAAGGTCAGCTGCACTCAGGTCAAAATTTGCGTCTTGATGTTTCATCCTGTATGAATGCATTCTCTGCAAAGACCAAAAAAAAAAAAGGCTCAATGGAAATTGATCAGCTTTCTTATTCACATTTAATTAACAGGGAATTTTACATATTGGAGCTTTCCCTCATTAAGTTTGATTTCCCCTTTGTGCCCTGGTGACAAGAAATTCCCCACAGAGAAAAGGGAGGACCCCTACCCAGCCCTGCCTGCCTCTCCAAGGAGGTGACCCAAGTCTTTCCGTCTCTTCCTTCTATTTTTCCTTGATATTTTGGTTTAATGTTTGCTGACCATCTACTCAAGTGTAACAGACAGAGGGGTCTACACCATGAATGATTCTAGGGCTCCACCTTCTTTGCCCTAAATGCCCCCAGGAGTCATCCTGGATCCCAGGGGTGACTGTTTCCACCGCAATAATTAGCCCATCCTGGGATTCTTTCTTCATCAGTGGTGCGTTCAGAAAGTCACTCATTCCTCCCCAACCATGTGTGACACACGTGGGTTGGTGTATTTCACTTCACAGGACGACTTACATCTTAGGAGAGAAAGGCTTTGCGTGAAGGAATGAGTTTGTAGTCGGTTAATTCCAGGCAGTGCCAGCGAAGGGAAGGGACACTTTGCAGCTGACTTTCCGGGTCCCTGGGAGCACACGGGGTCAGGGGAGCCCTCACGGCTCCCTTTAAGCCACGACCTTCTGGAAGATGGCGTGCTCCTGGCTGAGCTCTCCTGCTCGCCGCGCCATCTGGCTCTTCCTGTGTGAAGCGCTTTTGCCTCTTCAGTGCCCCGAGCACTCTCTCCTGCATCCCTGCCTCGGCCATTCTGCCGCCCGCCGCCCCCGCCACCCCCGCCGCCGGCCGCCTGCCGCTTGTCAGGACCCAGAGTAAACCGGCCCCGCCATGGACTGCAGCACGCCAGACCTCCCTGTCCATCACCAACTCCCGGAGTTTACTGAAACTCATGTCCACTGAGTTGGTGATGCCATCCAGCCATCTCATCCTCTGTTGTCCCCTTCTCCTCCATCCTTCAATCTTTCCCAGCATCGGGGTCATTTCCAAAAAGTGGAAATGACCACCTTCGCATCAGGTGGCCAAAGTATTGGCGCTTCAGCATCAGTTTACTTCTATTTCTCAGTGAGTAAGTGTTATTGTATGTGAGTATACACTCACACTGGATAATGAATCAGGCAACGTTTTTCCGTCTAGCATTCGTTTTAAATACATTTGACAGTGTTTACGTTTCATAAAGTGCATGTGGCAGAAGCTTTTATTTTTATTTTCGGCTGTCCAGTATGCCTTTCGGTATCTTAGTTCTCCGACCAGGGACTGAACCTGGGCCCTCCACCACAAGAGTGCTGAGTCCTCACTGCTGACCCCCAGAGAATTCCTGGCAAAGCTTTCAGAATGGCTTTATTGTGGTTAAATCCTCATGCCATAAAATTCATTCATCTTAAATGTACAATTCAAAGATTTTTAGTAAATTAGCAGAGCTGCAAGAGCATCACCACAATTCAACTTAGGAACGTTTCTACCACCCCAAAGAGATACCCACTCCGTTCCCACCTCAGCTCCCAGGAAAACACCAGCCCGCTGTCTGCTTTCATAGATTTAGGCAAAGTGCTCTAATATGCTGCACATTCAAAATTAATGGCACATTTGATAACATTTCTTACCTCTTGCAAAAAAGTTATAAATCCACTCAAGGTTGCTGAGGGAGCTAAAGCCATGCAAGCTATCAGGACAGGGACGTCTGGCCCAAATAGCATAGTGATGCCAAATGTGATGACTGTGATCTGCAAGGCAAGGGGAGACATGTTAGCCCCACACATACTCAGCACTGATATTTGAGGAAATGCTTAAGATGCAGGTGTTCTGATCAAATACATGGGAATTTTCCCTTGTGCGGACACACTCCTTTCAAAGGGAGAAGGGAAGGGGGGAGAGTTTGTTATGAGAAAGTGTATGACCTTCAGCTCCCAACAGAAAATTCTTAAAGGGAAAATCTGGAGATGAAGGTGAGAGCTAAATCGTTCAAACAGACTCACTGAGATCTCAGTTTTATTCCAAGTCTGCCACTAATTTTTGTATGACTTTAATTAGGTTACTTGACTAGCAGATCCAAACGATTGTGTACGGGACGGATAAACAAGGTCCCACTATACAGAACAGGGAACTGCATTCAGTGTCCTGTGATAAACCCTAATGGAAAAGAATGTGTGTATGTAACAGTCCCTTTGCTGAACAGCAGAAATTAAACTCAACATTGCAAATGAGCTACACTTCAATAAAAAAGTTTAAAAAAAAGAAATTATAAAGGATTAAAGCATCAAAGGAAAAAAAAAATCCAAAAACAGAATACTTAATTTTTTCCCTCCATAAAATGAGGAGAATTATACTAGATAATCTTCATTATTTTTCAAATCTGATATTTCAACGTTCCATAAATATGTGGTTACTTTTCAGTTGTATAAAAAATGAAACAGACAAATGCAAAGAAAAAAGAAAATAATCAGAAAGTATATAAACAAGTGTGACACTGTAACACTATGGTGTACTTTTTATATTGTGAACAAAGAAAGTTTTAGTTTGCAAAACTTACTTTGTTTTTGCAATACTGCTTTGTCTTATTTTAATCCATAATAAGTTTAAAATTAATTGGCAATAAAGGGAAAAAAGATCTCCAATCATTTGAAGATATATTTCGATTTGAAAAATGCAGTTTTTTGGTGTCAAAAGCTCAGTTCTCGGCTGTGATTCTTTATTTGCTAAAGCTTGCTTATTCGCACGATAGTGAGAAGGTCTTAGTCATCATACTAATCCACAAACCTAACAGAAAAGGCCTTGGTATTATCATGATTCTCCTTAGAAACAACAAAGCCAAATTCCCTTGTTTGTTCGTTTATTCACTTGCCGCTGAGGAATTCTGCAGGAGGAACTCACGATAAGACAGTGCAGACTCAGGTCTACTTCTCCCAGGCACTGGAGGAAGTCTGCCTCACCAGCCCTTCGTGCCTTACTGTGTACAGAATTGGAGAGGGGAGGGGAGACGGGGGATGGTCTCTGCTCTCTCAGTGAGCAGACACGGAAGCTCCGCTCTGGCAGAGTCTGACGTTTCGAGTTCTGGAAGCACTGTCCTATGCTGTTGGAGTTAACACACTTTGAAATCTGCTGAGAAAATTCTTTCTCATTTTTCCCAACCGAAAGCATCACTGCAGAGGCTACATCCGTGAGGAGAGCCCCTGCCCTGGCCTGCTTCTGCAGTGAAAGCTGAGGGGAAGGCACGGTTCTACCGGAGATGCTGAGTGAGTCCTCATCTGAGAGGCTGTCGGATCTGTGCAGACAGGGTGAGTGGTGAGTGCCTGGTAACCCAGCGGCTGCCTCCTCCCTCGACACACTGCAGCAGGCGTTCGTCTAGATGTGCATTTACTAAATCTCAGCCTGGAGTGGTTTCTGCTCAACGAGAGCCAGCCGAGCGAGTGAGCAAAGACATAAAGAAAAAGGAAGCACGACTCCGGGCTGCTGACTCAGGACCAGTCAGCTCAAAGAGCGTCTCCGAGGCTGCTCCCGCTGGGATAGTGGAGTCCTCACTCACTCTGACAGGAGCAGACCTGTCAGATCCCCTATTGGCCAATAACCCTGAGGCTGCTCGAACACCAGCCCCGAAAGAGACTTTGTTCAGAGCCGAAACGACAAGAAGACACAAAGTGTGCACACGAATTTTCTGTCCACCTTTTCCAGACGTACGCAAACCAAGAATGTGGGCTGAAAAGAAATCAACTGTCAGTCAGACTGACATCTGTTCCGCTTACCCAGCTTCTGGGTTTATATTGTGCAGTTTTATTAGGTCTGTTGGCTGGGGAAAAAAAAAAGAGAGTTCCCACAGCAAAGTATGAATGGAAAGACTTTGGTGCACCAAATGTTCACGACTGTCTCAAAATCAGTCTTCTAAATAAAGTATCTCTACAGACACTACCAGCGGAATACCGAGAAATACTGGGTTGGCCAAAAAGTTTTGCTTGGGTGTTTCCACAACATCTTAACTTTTTGGCCAACCCAATACTATCTAGAGATGCCAAATCAGAACGCTGTCCGCTGAGAAAAGGTGAGTCAACAGCTAGCTGCTGACCAGGACAATCCGCTGCCAACTCCTTACAGAAATCAGTGGATGACATCATATGCATTTTCTTAGCAGGTGGACTTTGGTTGGGTTTCTCTCATGATTTCAAGACTCCTACCCCAAGAACTGAGAGCTGTGTATGCAAGACAGACATTCCCCCAGCAGCTGAGGAGTTCAGCGAAAAGGCACCTGAAATGCTGAGATTAGGCAACCCGAGTTTAGACTAACATTTCCATCCAAGTTTTCAGTGATCTTAAGTGCTCAGTCGCTTTATTCATGTCCCACTCTTCTGCGACCCCAGGGACTTCCCAGGTGGCGCTACTAAAGAATCCACATGCCAATGCAGATGTAAGAGAGACCGTTTCGATCCCTGGGTCGGGAAGAAGGAAATGGCAACCCAGTCCAGTGTTCTTGCCTGGAGAATCCCATGGACAGAGGAGCCTGGCGGCCTACAGTCCATGGGGTCGCAAAGAGTCGGATAGAAAGTAGCAACTTAGCAGGCATAGCACACGAATCTTCTCTGTAAATTCAAGTAGAGTTCGTACATGAATTCTCCAGGAACATCCATCATTGACTCCGTAACATGTTACGCCCACTCCCCTTTCTAGGGTATGATTTTAAGGTGTTGATTGTCCCCATTGCTCAAGGCAAACGTGACTATGTTTAATGTTACACTGAAAGTTTAAAAAAGAACGGTTTGTGGAAGTACTTACTACATAGAAGCAAAATGACCAAAGGCCACTATTTTTTCTCCTCTTACGAAAAATAAATGCTATCACGTATGTCAGGAAGACAAGTGAAGCTGCATAACCAAGCGTCATGACAACCTGAAGATAATACAAAGAAATACCAAAGTTAAAAAAATGAAATATTAACTGAAGAAGAGGTTACAAGGGTTGCTTATGTTTCTGATCACACATGCACTCTGCATGGTTTCTGTCTGGGTTTGTGACAAACAAAAAGTGGAAACTTCATGATTATATGAAACTATATCAGTGAGAACGTTTACTATGAATTGCTGTATAAGATATTGCCTGTGCCATTGCTACTTACCAAAGCAAATAAAACTCGACTTGTGAGATAAATGTACACCATGTCTGCTAGGTAGAAAATCAGATACATGGAAAGGAGAATGAGACTGTAGAGGCTGACGTCCACCAGTGCCTGCCCACACCAGTACGCAGAGGGGAGGAGGCCAGAGAGCCACAGCTGGGCCTTGGTTCTCTTCTGATGGAAAACCACAGCAGATACATGGATTCAGTTGGAATTCAAATCCAAAACAAACACACCAGGTGATTTTTCAGAGGCAAATATAATCTAATATTCTAATAAATTAAAAAAATTTAAGTGTCTTGAAGTGGACCATTTTTCGAAGACCTTATTGAATTTGTTACGATACTGCTTCTGTTTTACATTTTGTTTTTTGGCTGTCAGGCACACGGGATCTTAGCTTCCTGACCAGGTATCGAACCTCAACCCATGCATTGGGAGGTGAAGTCTTAACCACTTGGACCACTAGGGAAGTCCCTAAAATTTTTAAAAATCTAATATTTTAAAAATTAAATATTTTAATCTGCTTCCCTGATAGCTCAGTTGGTAAAGAATCTGCCTGCAATGCAGGAGACTCTGATTAAATTCCTGGGTTGGGAAGATCTGAAGGAGAAGGGATAGGTTACCCACTCCAGTGTTCTTGGGCTTTCCTCGTGGCTCAGTTGGTAAAGAATCCACCTGCAACGCAGGAGACCTGGGTTTGATCCCTGGGTTGGGAAGATCCCCTGGAGAAGGGAAAGGCTTCCCACTCCAGTATTCTGGCCTGGAGAATTCCATGGAGTCCATGGGGTCGCAAAGAGTCAGACACAACCGAGCGACTTTCACTTTCACTTTTTCAATATCTTAATAACGTGTACACCGTTTTTAGGAAGCTGATGACAAAACAGCCAGTTGCATCCAGATGGACGTTTAAACATGAGAATTGTTTTATCTGGTAGGTTTGAAGAATAATGGAACAGTAGCCTCCTAATGATCAAAGCCTGAATCAGTCTCCTTCAAAAGAAATGCTATCTTGTCATCCGAAGAACAGTAAATTCTCCATTATCTAAATATACTCCTGGATAATTACTGACTCAGATGGTAAGATATTACTTCTTTAAATCTAATATGACTGTCTTGCCTTGATAATGACGTGACCCAACATAAATACAACCAAAAAACTGTATTCTGCACAATGGCAGGTGGATTAAAGTCCTGACTGTGGTCTTCAATTTCAATATCAATGATTTCTTCCCTGTGGTTAGGAAATGATGTGGTTGAAAGTTTTATCATATTCCCCTTTGAAGGTTTAGATTAATTCGAGTTCCCACCAGACTGTCACCCTTTTCTTGTCCTTCTGAAGTAACAAGCACTTTGTGCTTTTAGAAGTAACTTTTCTGACTTGATAGAAAAAATATTGAACTGCATTATCTGAGTTGAACATGTTACAGTGTTTTCCTGTGAGAAAACCCATAGCATTTAACACATAATGACTGAGGCTCCAGCGTTTTTCTTCCCTCCTCCCCCTTCTTACTTTGTAATCGCTGACACTGTTCATGGCGATGTAAGGAGACAGGCTGCACATGACAATAAACAAGAAGAACGACCCTTCGGGGAGCCCCGTCCAGAGCAGCGTGTAGCCCTGCAAACAAGACGCGCTTGGTGGGGCCCGGAGCGGCAGCGCAGCGTCACACCAGAAAACCTTGACGTGACGGCGTAAGCTGACGCCACCTTACCAAACCAAGTCATTAACGGTATCCATATAGTCAGGTGCTTAAAACCAGGGAGCATTTGTAAAAAAGGAACGAAATGCCGAGCATCACAAAAGCACGTGCTTCTGGAAATACTGAAAAGTCAAACGTGCATATCTAGTTCATCAATCTCCACCCACAGAAACTGAACACTTCCCAAGTGTTCCCTTAAAAATGCCTAGATGAAATGATAGCCAGCGGAATCTGCTGTGTGCCTCAGGGAGCTCCAACAGAGGAGACAGCCTCGAGGGTGGGGAGGGTGAGAGACGGGGGGCAGTCTCAGGAGGGAGGGGTCTATGTGCGCCGGTGGCTGCTTCGTGTTGACACCAGCTCTGTCCCGTAAAGCAATTATCCTTCAATCAGAAATAAAGACATTTTAAGACATGACTAGATGGCAAGTTTTTGTGTTATGGGGCTTTTTTTTTTTAAACCACAATACAAAAAATAATAATTAAGGAACCACGAGAGAAGTAGATAATTCAGGCCTGAGCAACCGTCTTCCTCAGCAAACCTAGTGATGAAGAGGTGAGGATACTGGTAGCTGAGTGGGAGCTTCTGAAGCACAGGCTTAAAAGGAAAACTCGCTGCAATAAGCCCACTGTCAAAGAGAGGAACTTGAACTCACTTCCCCCAGATCAGTGTCTGAGTCCGGCCTTAGGCTCACGGCTGGGGCTTCCCGGGTGGCACCAGTGGTAAAGAACCCGCCTGCCAGTGCAGGAGACGAAAGAGGTGTGGGTTTGGTCCCTGGGTCGGGAAGATCCCCTGGAGGAGGGCATAGCAGCCCACTCCAGTCTTCTAGCCTGGAGAATCCCATGGACAGAGGAGCCTGGCGGGCTACAGTCCACGGGGTCACAAAGAGTCAGACACGGCTGAGTGACTCAGCACACACAGGTACGAGGCTGCCTCCGGGATTAATTACAGGAGGCCAGGGCAGTAGCCTGTCTCAAGATCATTCTCAAACTTCCCTCCAGGCTTTGGAAGCTACATCTACAAATTCTAATGTTTCAGCAGGTGGGAGAGCACTTCACTGTCTTTCTGAGAATGGCTGAAAGGAGAAAAGTATGCACCTCTGGGGATGTCTAAGAGAATAACCGTGGGGCCTTGGTCCATTTTGATCCTGAACAAACAAGCAATAAAATGAGGAAACTCAACGACCCAGAGGGGCTGCAGCCCCCTCAGTCCACCCAGCGGACCCCTGTCTGCAGGGTCCCTTCAGACCCGCTGGTCCGGCCGCTGCCCCGCTCTCAGGCCAGCGGTAGCTCTGGGTCAGCNAGGGGCTGCAGCCCCCTCAGTCCACCCAGCGGACCCCTGTCTGCAGGGTCCCTTCAGACCCGCTGGTCCGGCCGCTGCCCCGCTCTCAGGCCAGCGGTAGCTCTGGGTCAGCGCCGCGTGCCCCGTGTTCACCCGGAACCACCAAGGCCGTGAAGTCCCAGACTGAGTGCAGCCCTCTGTCACAGGCCGGGCGGCCTGCTTCTGACAGCGCAGTGCGTGCTCTCCCAACCTCCTGGTTTGGGACAGTCAGGGTCCGCTTCGGGAGGTCCCTCTAGGGCACCAGTCAGGGTCTAACCAGAAAGTCTTCACCACCCTCAGTACTTAAAACAGAGGGAAGTCAATCACGCAAGGGTTACGCGGGTGGGAAGAGTGGAGGAAGCCGTTGTCCGTTCCAGGTTAGAAGGCGAAGGGGAGGGGATGTGATCGGACCTCACGGTGTGCAACCTTTCTGCCCTCCTGGTTGTGATCCCTGCTTCCTGCTGTCTAAATCCAGGCTAAAGCCGGCTGACAAAGACCCCTGAGAACGTGGCTCTGGGTATCAGACACCCTCGCGATGCAGAGCAATGATGGGTGAGTGAAGGGACGGATCCGAAGGAAGATGGCCCAAGAGCCGGCAGATTCTCCTTCATTGCAGTCAATCCACTACCCGCAGAGTCAATGAAGGGTCCACCACCGAGTGATACTGGCTTTACAAGACTGTAAAGCTGGGTTACCAGGGCTCCCGACTTTCAACCCGTTGTACACACACACACACACACACACACACACTCACTCTCTGTCTCCAAGACACTTCTGCAGTCAAGCTTGTATTTTTTCAAAAGATTCCCTAGGAGACTATGACAGAATACTTAAAAATATCCCCTCATGCAAATTCTTTAGTAGTAACTTAGGAAAAAAAATCATACGTTGCTATAGTGTAACCTGATTGAAAAAGTAAGACGGAATGGTTTTTATGACTGATGATCCAGAGGACCCAGAGCACTCACTCAACAGCCGAAGAAGGTAAGCAAGCAAACCCAGCACTTACCAAAGGGTATGCGCTTCTCTCGGTGCGAATACGCTGTGTCTGACCGAACATCCGGAGCAGCCCGCTGCTGACAACACTCACCAGGACAGGAAGACAGTGCAGCCTCTTGGTGTTGCACACGACCGAGAACCGATAGTCCTGCCGATCAAAGAAACACAAACAACGTGAGGCTGACTCTGCGCCACTGAAGAAGGAGAAACAGGCTCTGCCCCTAAGAGCTTAGCAGCGGCGCATCTAGCGGTGTGACCGTCTCTGAGTGAACTGGCCTTTTTGAGTGCTGCCCTCCTCTTTTATTGGGGCGGACAGTGAACGGGCTGGGATACGGCTTAAATGAGATCATGTGCATTAGGTTCTGGTGGAGCGGACAGCACAGCTAGCAGTATGCATTTTTATCAGTATTACTGATTTGAAATCATTCGTCCTCGTTTTGCTTACGAGGGAGTTTTAGCAACCAGGATTTCAGAGGCCCTGACAAGGGGACAGTAAGCTTACAGAGAGCAAGCAAAGGAAACCTGATCTTCTGCGTAGGAGTTAAGCACGGGATTACACTGCCAACGAAGCGCTTTCACACTTTCTGAGACCACCTTTATGTTCTTCATGTTTGTAAAGATGCTCATGCAGGCTTCTCTGGGGGCTCAGTGGGTTCTTTAGAATCTGCCCGCCTGTGCAGGAGGCAGGTTCGATCTCTGGTCCGAGAAGATCCCACATTCCACGGAACAGCTAAGCCCGCTACTATTGCGCCCTTGCTGCGGAGCCCGGCAGCCACAGCTACTGAGCTCACGCGCCTGGAGCCCGTGGTCCCGGCAAGAGAACAGACTCTGGAGAGGAAGCCCCCTCGCTGCACCTAGAGAAAAACCCACGCACAGCCACGAAGACCCAGCACAGCCAAGGACACACAAAATTCTGAAACTGTTCACGCGTCGTTCAATATCACCAACCGTTCACACAGTAAATGCCTGAGATCAGGAACAAATAAAGCAACCGACAAGCAACAGTTTCCACGAGCTGGCACCGAGATTACATATCCTACCAAGCGCCTACTGTAGGCAGATTCAGGGACACGAATCAGTGCCTTTTGCTCTGTCTTTATTCCCCTTGTAGCAAGAAAGATACAGGTAGCTTCACTGAATCTGGCCCCAGCTTTCCACTGGGATGTAAACTCTGTGTTTTACTTAAGATTGGGATGTATTTTCAACAGTCTTACTCCTGTGAAAGGATCTTTATTACTTGCACTCTTTTATCCAAATTGAAACATATTAAATAATAAACTGAGAGCACTTTCCTCCCATAGATTTCATGTGATTATTATAGTATTTAATGTATTTTCTCAACATATAAAAATATCACTTGGGTAGTTCATCATTAAATGGGGTTTCTTAAATTCATAGTTATAGGGGTAGGTACTCAGAAGGTCTAATATTTTATTGAGTCTGAATAATGCTATGACATCTAGGTACCTTCAAACGTAAAAATTCTTCTAATTCAAAATTTAAGATAAAAATGTTTTACAATTTATTTAAACATCACGGTTAATTCAATAATAACCCCACGTGTTTTTGAGTCGTCACTATATACTTGGTTGACTTTTCACAGTGTTTAAATCAGTTAAAATGTAGCATTTTAATTTTTTTCATAAAAGCAAACACAAGAGGCAAGTGGCAAGCATACCTTTCGTTTACCAGAAACGATGATGGCCCCATTGTAAGAGGGATCTTCAGTGCCATTTCTATTTTCAAAGTCATCTACCTCCAAAAGTATATTTTGATGCTTCAGTGACTGTATAAAATCTTCAATATCTGATTCTAGCATGAAATCCAGAAAAGAAGGCCATAGAAAGTAAGAACATGTGTGACAATTTTTAAAAATAAACCAGACACACAATTTAAAATCAAGATTTGTAGAATACCATGTAAAGGCATGTCTCTGTGGGCATCAAAATAATAACAATACTGGCCCATAAAAGAGAAGCCTTTCCACTATCTTCTGTTATCAAATCTTATACTTTACCACTGAGCCACCGAAGAAGCCTGAAATAAGCAGTTAGGCAAAACCAATCGCCCATCATTTAGGGTAACAAGATCATGGGTTCTAATCGGTCATAAAGAATCTTCCTAGATTTTGTTGGAGGGGCACAGGGTATAAAGATGCCGTCTTCACATTATCAAGCGGCGTGTATAACGTTTATGGTGTTGGTTAGGCTGCTGTGACGCAGAGACTGAGAACAGAGTGGTTCTGTGAGTGCAGAAGTCCATCTCCATCTCACAGAAGAGCTGAGGATCATCAGGTGGGCAGCTGACGGGTCAGATGGGTTACACGGGGACTCAGGCTCCTTCCAGCTGTTCCAGCAGCTCCAAAGTCACACAGACATGCATCACTCCCTCACAGGCTCATTTCCATAAGTGAGGTTTAAAATACACATTTCACTTTCTCGTAATTTGCTTCCCCTTATCTGTGCTATTTAACAATAAAAATCACTTTTTTTCTGGATTTAAATTTTGTTTCTCTGTTTACCCGTGTTGTTGATGATCAGTAGGCTGGTACGGGGGTCCTGGGGAAGCCGTCCCGGAGAGAGGAAATACAACTCAGGCGTAAACTCCCAGTCAGAGGTTTCATTCACCACCGCGTAGAGTATGCTTTCCACAATCAAAGGGAACGTAGCAATTCCAAACACGAACAGTCTATCAATAAAGAAATATTACCACATGAATGCCACTGTGACAGAACAGTGTTATTTATTCAGCCAGATGTTTCACAAGTATTTGTTGAGTGCCATCTATAATTGGTGCTAAAATTTTGAAAGTCACACCTTCACATGCCATGCGTGGGCGCATGCTCAGTCCTAAGTCGTATCTGACTCTCTGCGACCCCATGGACTGTAGCCCACCAGACTCCTCTGTCCATGGGATTCTCCAGGCAAGAGTACTGGAGTGGGTTGCCATGCCTTCCTCCAGGGGATCTTCCTAACCCAGGGACTGCCCGTGTCTGTTGCATTGGCAGGTGGGTTCTTAACTGTTGAACCCCCAGGGAAGCCTGGCACTGCAATATAAACCCAGGCTAAACTATGAAAATTAAACAGACATGTGGAGAAGGCTGCTCAAGCCCTAACATTCGGTGTTCCCACTGTTGGTACAATCAAACGCTACATTTATTCCTCCTCTGGCAGCAATGCTGCTGGGGGTGTGGGGGGACTGTGTTCCAGGTTTTTTGTTTGCTTGTCCGCTTTTGTCTTTTTTAGATCCACAATAACAATGTTTGTTCTTTTAAAAGTCCTTTTCCAATACAGGTCATTACAGAGTGGGGCCTGGGCCGCACAGGAGTCCTCACTAGTTCCTACTTTCTATGCAGCAGTGTGTGCTCCCCCCAAGCTCCCGTTTACCCGCTGCCCCCAGCCTTCCTGCTTTGCCAACTGGAAGCCTGTTTCCTACTTCTGCGACTCTGCTTCTGCTTTGTAAGTAAGTCCATTTATACCTTTTTAGAAGATTCCACATGTACACAATATGGTATATTTGTCTTTCACTTTCTTCCCCCACTACAACAATCCCTAGGTTCATCTGTTGCTGTAAATGGCATTATTTAGTTTTTTATGGCTGAGTAGTATATCACTGTATTCTAGTTTCAGATTCACTCCAGTTTAACCTGCTCATGACACTCACTGTCTAAGAAGCCGCATGCCCTGATACTCACAGGGTCAGAAGCCCTTTCTTTCCTCGTCTTAACTGTAAGAAGCGGAGCCGTGCCATCGCCCAGAACTGCAGCCTCCAGAGGCCCGCGACACTCACAGCCTTCTGCATCTCAGGGGGAGAAGGGCAAGGTGGGTCCATTTCATGTAGCTGTCCCGTGTCCCTGCTCAACTCTGCTTGTTCAAAATCTACACACACGCACACACACAGAATACACACACATTACCCACAGCATCATGGGCATCACAGCTTTCTCTTTGTAACAATATTAAACATTGTTTTAGAATGTTAGTGGTTACAAAGCAAAGAAGGTCGGAAACAAATCATGTGCGTGATGCCCGCATTCAATAAACTCAGTGGGGGAAAATATGGTGAATTCATACCAAACATGGAACTCAGGAAAGATGATCACAGTATGCCCTGTCTTTGAAAAGACAGAGAAGGGCCCGTATGTGACAATATTCTGAGGGATTTCAAGAAAGTTCTTCCACAGGAACACCCAATCATGGATGCCTAGATGTCTACTTAAAAATTCTATGTGGAAAAATTGTCAGATCTGAAACCACCAGATCTGTACCTGATCCCCAGATACATGCCGTACAAGCAGCATGATTTGGGACAAATCATTTAACTGCTGTTCGGCCTGGTTTTCTCAGGTGTAGAAGTGTGCCCATGGTGTTTGTTACAAAGGTTATTTTGTTGTTTGTTAGTCGCTCAGTCGTGTCTGACTCTTTGCAACCCCGCGGACTGTAGCCCGCCAGGCTCCTCTGTCCATGGGATTTCCCAGGCAAGAATACTGGAGCGGGTTGCCAGTCTCTTCTCCAGGGGATCTTCCCAACCAGGACTGAACCCACACATCCCGCATTGCAGGAGGATTCTTTACCACTGAGCCACCTGGAAAGCCCATAAAGGTTATCATAGGAAGGTGACTGCAATACAGCCACACGTCGATCAAAGTGTCTGCCATAAAGGTTGCAAAATGACAGCTTTTTAAAATCACATCCATTGAAACACATGCTGGGCTTCCCTGGTGGCTCAGTGGTAGGGAATCTGTCTGTCAATGTGAGAGATCCATTGATTGAACCCAGGCTTCAATCCCTGGGTTGGGAAGATCCCCTGGAGAAGGAAATGACAACCCACTCCAGTATTCTTGCCTGGGAAACCCCATGGACAGAGGAGCCTGGAGGGCTACATAAAGTCCATGGGGTCACAAAGAGTCGGACATGACTTAGTGACTAAACCAACACCACCAAAACACACCTTAGGAGATTACTGAATCCTTTTCCCCATTAAGGGCTAAGTCTGCATATGAGCAAGGTAAAGGCAATCTTGACAAGAAACATCTACTCAGACTTCATGACCCTGATGGAGAGCCTCTGACACAGTCAGAGCATCCAGCAAGCAGGGATTCTTTGGGAGAGGAGACAGCAGCTAAAAGAGGAAGCGAATTGCTTCTGAAGGGAAGTCTGAGATGCGTCAAGAAGGGACTTGGGTTTAGTCCTAGTGACGACGTGAGGAAAAGGCTGACCGCCCTTCCCAAACAGCACTATCAGATCTGGAATGTGTCTCGTTCCTTGCTGAGAGCCACACAAAAGACAATCTAGACTCTAAGCTGACACATGACCGTTTGGAAATTGGTCTTCCGTGATATATACGAATGGATGTACCTTGCTCAGCCGTCGAGTTCCCTTCCAGTTTCATGAAGACTTCATTCAGAGTCGACGTGGAAACCTCGTAACTCATCACACCCGGGCCGCAACCCTCATCAAGGTCACCGAAAAGGTCTAAGGCAACAGGAGGGGACAGAGACATCTGAAATACCACACTGACAACTAAGCCTAGTGAATGGACACCTATCTGAACGATGATGCTGAATGTTGTGTAGGTCACGTCTTTGGAGGCAAAATTTCACCTGGGTGCACTCCCTCTGTGACCTGAAGAGGGAGGCCTCCCCCCAGTGCACAAACCCTCTGCATCCATCGTCTGCCTACAGCTCACGATGCGCCTGCAAACTTCTTTGAGGAAAGATGAGCAGAGAGAGCACCACCTTTTACCATTGCCCCACAAATCACCATTGCCCCACAAATCATCCATCGCCCCACAAATCACCATTGCCCCACAAATCATCATTGCCCCACAATCTTGACAAGAAACATCTACTCAGACTTCATGACCCTGATGGAGAGCCTCTGACACAGTCAGAGCATCCAGCAAGCAGGGATTCTTTGGGAGAGGAGACAGCAGCTAAAAGAGGAAGCGAATCGCTTCTGAAGGGAAGTCTGAGATGCGTCAAGAAGGGACTTGGGTTTAGTCCTAGTGACGACGTGAGGAAAAGGCTGACCACCCTTCCCAAACAGCACTATCAGATCTGGAATGTGTCTCGTTCCTTGCTGAGAGCCACACAAAAGACAATCTAGACTCTAAGCTGACACATGACCATTTGGAAATTGGTCTTCCGTGATATATACGAATGGATGTACCTTGCTCAGCCGTCGAGTTCCCTTCCAGTTTCATGAAGACTTCATTCAGAGTCGACGTGGAAACCTCGTAACTCATCACACCCGGGCCGCAACCCTCATCAAGGTCACCGAAAAGGTCTAAGGCAACAGGAGGGGACAGAGACATCTGAAATACCACACTGACAACTAAGCCTAGTGAATGGACACCTATCTGAACGATGATGCCGAATGTTGTGTAGGTCACGTCTTTGGAGGCAAAATTTCACCTGGGTGCACTCCCTCTGTGACCTGAAGAGGGAGGCCTCCCCCCAGTGCACAAACCCTCTGCATCCATCGTCTGCCTACAGCTCACAATGCGCCTGCAAACTTCTTTGAGAAAAGATGAGCAGAGAGAGCACCACCTTTTACCATTGCCCCACAAATCACCATTGCCCCACAAATCATCCATCGCCCCACAAATCACCATTGCCCCACAAATCATCATTGCCCCACAAATCATCATTGCCCCACATATCACTGTCACCCCACAAATCAGCATCATCCGTCACCCCTCAAATCAGCATCATCCCACAAATCACCATCATCCCACAAATCAGCATCACCCCACAAATCACCATCATCCCACAAATCACCATCATCCCACAAATCACCGTCGCCCCACAAATCACCGTCGCCCCACAGATCACCATCACCCCACAAATCAGCATCATCCCACAAATCACCATTGCCCCACATATCAGCATCACCCCACAAATCAGCATCACCCCACAGATCACCGTCACCCCACAGATCACCGTGTGCTTCTACCTCCATTCCTGACTCTCCTTCTGGGTGGTCTGCAGCACCTCCCGCCCAAGATCGCCTCTTTGATTTGGGCCTGAACTCCTTCCCCTTCGGGACTCTCGAGGACCTCCCAGATTTACCTCCTCCTTTTCTCTCCTGCATCAACTTCTGCAAGTACCGGGTCACCCCAAATCACAGGCCAAAATGCTGTAAGGTCACCCACTGAACAAAGGCGTGTGTGTGTGCACGCGACGAGCAACAGCAAAGCAAAGGAAAGCTCTCCTCCTCCCGCACAAACGCATCGCTACTCCAAAGGTTGTCTCTTCTGCTCTTTCATTAGTCACATACTATTCACACAGAACATGCACAAACCCAAATGCTACCCTTATACCCCCGCCGCCGCCCGCCCAGAAGCTACTGTTTTCAAGCACCAGTGATTCCAATTTTCTTCTTAATTCAATGAATACATTTTCTTGGGGGGGGGGAGTTGTTTGTTTTTATTCTTTTAACTTGGTCTCTCTCCTTTTAAAATTTAGTGACAGTCAAAGCCGCTGACTACACCCTCCTTCTAGAAACATTTTCTCCCTTGAGCTAATGAGAACAGACTCTCTTGTTTCTCCTTCAACTGCCCCAGGGGCTCCTGATTTCCACCGCCCTCTGACCCGTCCTCCACTCTCTCCTGAGGGTTCAGTGCTATGTCACCTTCTCATTAATCCAATCCCTTGCATTAAATCCATCTAATACCCAGGTTCAATTGATTCAACCTGAATCACTGAATCAGTGATTCCCAGATTCAGCTCTCACTCTGCTCTCTGAATTCCTGTATCCCATAACCAACTATACACTTAGCCGTTAGCCGTTGGACAGCTCCACTTGGAAGTTCTCATCTCAGCTTCAGCTCCTTAAGAAACCCGACCCCAAACGAAATCCAAACCCACCACATATGAAAGCTGTAATAACGGTGTGAACGCTTGTTCCCAAGCTCATCCCCTCGTACTTATACTTAAATTACCTGAAAATTTATTTGTCCTTTCCGCAGGCAATGTATACACAAGCTTTTCTTTGCTTTCCATTTTCAATTTAGCATCAGGGATGTGGTGATTGATTAAGGATGTTATTTTCTCTGGATCACACATTTCACTTCTGCACAAACTAACATGTAAAGGGAAAGACAGTTCATTTGTGTCTTCTCTGCTGCTGCCGCAAAAACAGCTCTTATCGGATTTCTAGCTCTTGTGTATTACTTTACTTGGCTTTAGGGAGCAAACAAATGAGGAAATAATAAAAATAATAACCATGTCATCAGTTTGGAAAATCTTAGGATCTGTACAGAGAAGATGTATCAGCTCAAAACAACTGCAAGTACACAAAAATAAATAATGCAATTAAAATGATATATCAAGTATGAAGAAAAACAGAGGCAGGCAAGATCATTAGGCAGAAGAGATTTCTTAGGGAAAATATTACCAGAATGTGCAGATGTTAGAAAATTAGTGTCTAATAGGGAAATCTGCCTTTCACCCATGTTTTGTTTGATCATCAAGGTTTTTTCCAAAAAGTATTGGTTTGGCCTGAACACACTTGATAGTTAGACACAGTCCTCCACTCCTTGTCTCCAGACTTACTCCCTGTTGATGGTAGCTTCTGGAAGGACTTGACTTCCTGTCCTGTGAAAGGATGGCCATCTACCGGAGTAGTGCATGGGTCAGCTGAGGAGATTCAGGGCAGGAAAAGCGCGAGGCCTGTCAGACCACCCAAGGCCTCAGCCTGGATAGGGGTCCATGAGCNAACACACTTGATAGTTAGACACAGTCCTCCACTCCTTGTCTCCAGACTTACTCCCTGTTGATGGTAGCTTCTGGAAGGACTTGACTTCCTGTCCTGTGAAAGGATGGCCATCTACCGGAGTAGTGCATGGGTCAGCTGAGGAGATTCAGGGCAGGAAAAGCGCGAGGCCTGTCAGACCACCCAAGGCCTCAGCCTGGATAGGGGTCCATGAGCTCAGACCAAACACGGCCTCAGCCTGGACGCGGGTCCATGAGGTCAGACCACACACGGCCTCAGCCTGGACAGGGGTCCATGAGGTCAGACCACACACGGCCTCAGCCTGGACGGTGGCCCATGAACTCAGACCACACACAGCCTCAGCCTGGATGGGGGTCTGTGAGGTCAGACCACACATGGCCTCAGCCTGGATGGGGGTCTGTGAGGTCAGACCACACACGGCCTCAGCCTGGACAGGGGTCCATGAGGTCAGACCACACATGGCCTCAGCCTGGACGGGGTCCAGGAGGTCAGACCACACACGGCCTCAGCCTGGACGTGGGTCCATGAACTCAGACCACACACGACCTCGGCCTGGATGGGGGTCTGTGAGGTCAGACCACCCATGGCCTCAGCCTGGATGGGGGTCCGGGAGGCGGTCATTAGTCCGCCGGGGCTTCTCACTGTGAAATCTGCCCTGTCCTCCGCGCTGGTGAGGATGCAGGAGACAAGGATACAGAGGAGCACGTGGCAGACGCAGACCATCCCAGCTGAGCGAGCTGAAGCGTGAGACCCCAGTCTCTCTCGGCGCGGCCTACCTTTCAGATGGCCGTCACTGACAATGCGTCTACAGAGCCAGGCCACCCCTGAGTCCTTTACCTTAGGTGATAGCCGAGACCCCATCTTCGCTTCAAAAAGATAGAGGAGCCCACACATTTCAGCTTCCCGTTGGACAGGATCACTTTCCTATCTGAGCAGAAAGGAGTGAGAGAGGGAAGATGGGGTCGTCATTGCTTCAATGTGTGAAAACATGGCGGGGGGGTGGTGCCAGGACTCAGATTTCCAAAGAAGTGTCCTGTGGGGGCCTAACTCCATCTCATGGGCTTTTAAAAACATGAAACATGTACTAAAATGGATGCATTTAAAATGAGCTTCTGACAGCCTGGAAGGGAGTGGGGTCTGGGGGAGAAAGGATACATGGATACCTGTGGCTGAGACCCTTTGCTATTCACATGAAACTATCGCAACATTGTTAATCGACTATACCCCAACACAAAATGATTTCAATGTTTAAAAAAATTTTAAAGTGTCATTGTGTATAAAATAAAGTTAAAAGTAAATAAAATGAGCTTCTGCATGGGAGAATGGATAAATGTGTATGTTTTGAACTGTGGCGTTGGAGAAGACTCTTGAGAGTCCCTTGGACTGCAGGGAGATCCAACCAGTCCATCCTAAAGGAGATCAGTCCTGGGTGTTCATTGGAAGGACTGATGTTGAAGCTGAAACTCCAATACTTTGGCCACCTGATGCGAAGAGCTGACTCATTGGAAAAGACCCTGATGCTGGAAAGATTGAGGACAGGAGGAGAAGGGGATGACAGAGGATGAGATGGCTGGATGGCATCACCGACTCGATGGACATGAGTCTGAGTAAGCTCCAGGAGTTGGTGATGGGCAGGGAGGCCTGGCGTGCTGCGGTCCACAGGGTCGCACAGAGTCGGACACGACTGAGCGGCTGACAGGGTCGCACAGAGTCGGACACGACTGAGCGCCTGGACTGACTGTTTCGCTGAATTTCTCTGCTGTGCAACTGCAACTATTACAAAGCTGCTCATCAACTGTGCTCCAATAGAAGATAAAAAGTTAAAAAATTAAACTTAAAAAAATGAGCTTCTGCATTTCACTTCTGCATTCAGTGGCTTCTGATACTTCTTGAAAAAAATAAATAAATAAACTCCATCAGCATATTTTCTATTCTGGATGATAAAAAATGAGTGGACATTTTTCAACCAAATAGACATGAAAGAAGATTGGGATGCTGAAATTAATTGAGAGCTGATCTGCAAAGCTGCCAGCATGGTTTTTCATTAGGGCTCACAGTCCAGCACATGCAGAGCTGGTGAGGAATTCTACAGTGGGACTGGATGGCCGTCATCCCCTGGATTCCTGTGCAATCACTGAGGGAAAGAGAGCAGGAATCTTGCCCTGGGAATCAATGTCTCCCAAATTCTTCACCGTCAAACTGAGATAAAAGTGACAGTTACCAGCCAGGATGTCCGCTTCATCCGTCAGGTTGGTACTCAAGACGATCACGTGGTCTGCTTTGCGCTCCCGGAGGAAGTTCCATATTCTTTGTCTTGAGAAAGGATCCAGTCCCGCAGTTGGCTCATCTAATAGCAAAACCTGCAGTGGATGAAGATATATACTCCGTTTCTCTCATCCTTGTTAACTGTCTCCACAGTAGAGCAGGGGAATCAATAAAAACCGTGCCAAATAATGACTGTCCACCACTTGTATCCAGCAGACTAACACTCATGGTTACACAGAGTATGCTCTCTCTGGATACGTTATAATGAAAACTCGACCACTTTCAGGGGTGAAAGAAGAGCTCGTTCTGTGACATTGGTCTTAGCGGTATTTTTTTGGTTATGTCTCCTCAGGCAAGGGAAGCAAAAGCAAAAGTACATGAATGGGACTACATCAAGCTCAAAAGCTTTTGCAGGGACTTCCCCGGCAGTCCAGTGGTTAAGTCTTCACGTTTCCAATGCAGGGCCACAGGTTTGATCCCTGGTTGGGAACCAAGCTCCCACAGGCCATGTGCTGTGGCCAAAAAATTAAAAAGTAAATAAGAATAAATTCTAATATAAGATAGATAACGGAAATAACTATAAAAACAAAATAAAAAGTTTTTGCAGAGGGAAGGAAACTATCAACAAACTCAAAAGGCTGCCTACCAAGTGGGAGGAGATACTTGTAAATGATTTGACCAATAAGGAGTTAACATCCAAAATATACAAAGGACTCACATGATTCTACATTAAAAAAATAACCTGATTACAAAATAGTCAAGGGATCTGAACAGACATTTTTCAAAGAAGACATATTTATACCCAACAGACACATGAGCTACTCAACATCACGAACCATCAGGGAAAAAAAGGCACATGAAAACCACAGGGCACTCACACCTGTCCGAATGGCTATTACCCAAAAGACAGTGAATAACAAATATTGGTAAGGATGTGGGAAAAATAGGACCCTTGTGCACTGTTACTGGGAATGTATGTACATTGGTGCAGTCACTATGGAAAACAGTATGGGGTTTCCTTAAAAGCTGAAATTAAAAATAGAATTACCATACAATCCAGAAATTTTACTCCTGTATTAAGAAAAAACCCAAAACACTAATTCAAAAAGACACATGTATCCTTATGTTCACTGCAGTGTTATTTATAGTAGCCAAGATATGAAAGCCACTTAAATGTCCATAAATAGATGAATGGATAAAGAAGATGTGGGATATATATATATAGTGGACTATTACCCAGCCAAACGTAGAATGAACGCTTGCATCTGTGACAGCAGAGATAGACCTAGAGGGTATTATGCTAAGCAGAAGTCAGAGAGAGAAAGACAAATGCTGCATGATCTCATTTACCTGCGGACTCTAAAAATCAAAGCAAACTAGCCAACAGAACAAAACAGAAACAAACTCACAGGTAGAGAGAAGAAACAGGTGGTTGCCAGAAGGGAGCGGGGTGGGAGGATGAGTGAAATAGGCTAGGGAGATTAAGAGGCAGCAACCTCCAGTTACAAAGTAAATAAGCCCCATCAAAGTGTGTGGCATGGGGAATAGAGCCAATAATACTTCAATTACTTTGCACAGTGACAGACGGTAGCTAGATGTATCATGGTGGTCCTTTTGTCATGCATAGAAATGTTAAATCACTACGCTGTGCAGCTGGAAGTCACACAGTGTTGCAGGTCAGTTACATTCCAAGGAGGACAAGAGGAAGAAGAGGAAAGAGGAAGAGGAATCATCTGTGTGTACAGTAAGATGTTTTTATCACACACACAAGCTGGACCTTGTCCTGACGCTCACTCTGCAATCCTCCTCCTGTATGATTTCACTTACTTGAGGATCTCCTAAAAGGGCAATCCCAATGGTCAGCTTTCTTTTCTGACCTTCACTTAAAAGTGTAGCAAGATTATCCTGAATGTTCTGTATGTCCAATTCCAGTAAAACTCTTTGTACCTAGACAAGAAATATACAAAGCTTTAAATCCAACATGATTCATATTATGGCATTTTGACCATCCATTAGTGCAGTATATGGAATCGGTAGCCATTCCTTTCTCCAGGGGATCTTCCCAACCCAGGGATCAAACCCAGGTCTCCCACGTTGCAGGTGGATTCTTTACCAGCTGAGCCACCAGGGAAGCCCATATATATATAAAGGACCTCACTGCCTGCATTTCATTTACGGCAGAGCAGTGAATCACTGGTTTAAATTGGCAAATGTTCCGCAGTTCAGAGAATCTGAGCACACCCATGTACCTCTTGTTCCACGTCCTTTGGCTGAATCCCTTTTATTTTTGCAAACAGCCTGAGGTTTTCCTTCACAGTGAGCGTGTCAAACTGAACATTGAATTGAGGACAAACACCAGTTATCTTTCGGATTTCCTCCAAGTCTTGAATTTCGGAGGGATTTTTATTATAGATGGTAACTGATCCTAAGAATAGAAGTTAAAAATAATTTAACATTGGTGAGATAATACATTTTATTAATGTCTGTATATCTTATTTAGGAAAATATTGGCATATATTCAGAATTATTATCTAAAATGATGACTTTATAATTTATTAACAACCACTAACTACTCTTAGCATAAATAGATGTTGAGATTAGTGTATACACAATATCTCCCCTGAAATATCACACAGCAATGAGGACCAGGATTTTCATGAAAACTTGGGAAATAGAACATATATATAAAATCGTGTAGTTCTGGGAAACAGCTTTCGATAAACGAACATTATTTCCTCTAAGCAGTTAAATTTAAACCTGAAAACAAGTAAGGCGCACATGGCCTCATTCTGCAATCGGGCTCCTTGCCTGTGGGAAGTATCTTTTGCCCACCTTCTGTCGGAACAGACAACCCACTAAGGGTGCTCAGCAGCGCCGACTTGCCAGCCCCACTGTGACCCAGGATTGCTGTGATCTGACCTTCATAGATGTCCAAGAACAAGCCTATTTTCAGAATAAAACATCAGCATTATAAATAAGAGGGCAATAGATAGGGCCGTTTCTAAAAACAGAACAAGGCAATTTATTTTAATTGTGTATTTGAAGCGTTTCAATAGTTTAAAATACATTATATTCAGTATTTTCCTGGTTGCTAAAATAACATCTTTACTGTAGAATATTTGAGAAATAAATACAATCACTTAAGATAAAAATCAACCATAATTCCAAATAGCCACATTATAATACACTTGCATCATGTGCATATTTGCACATATGAATATGTAAATATATTTATAAACTTTGACTGTACTCTATTTTTTTATAAGCTGCCTTTTCAAATATTTAATCATAAACCTTTTTCATGCATTAATTATCTTTTAAAACACATTCACCAAAAATCTATATTTCGCCCTAACCCCATTTTTCTATTCTTTTGTTAAAAGTATTGTGTTTTCATGTCAATAGAAAAATCATTTAACTAAAAATTCTTTGAGATATTATTTTTTCTTTATTTGCTTTACCACCATGTGAAATCCAAACTTCATTACAGAAAGTTGTTGAACAGAGCAAGATGAAATTCTTAAGAATCTTGTAAAACATTATATCTAAATGATCAAGTTCTTTCAATTAAAATAAGTGACCTGCTTTCTAATAATATTGAATTTAATGACTGGACCGAAATTTCAGTTTATCTATTTTCTATCTGGATGATAGACAAAACTTTATAAGGCCAGTTTACTCAACTATTAAATATACTAGTAAAAATAATTATAAGAGAAAATTCTTCCTGTTGTAATCTAATCCATTAAACCCTCACTTGCAATTTGACTAAAAGATTCTAAAGGTCATTGGAAAAATAAACTCAAATGATTAAGAAAATCTACAGAATAGTAAGAGATCAGTCTTGGCTGCAAGATATTAAAATATATTTGAGAACCATAATAATTAAAATATTAGTAATAGTTATACCAGTGGAGAAAATATAATTAACAAAATAATATATTATTGGTCCAGAATACACTGACCGATAGAATCAGAAAGAAACCTAAAATGGACCAAAGTCAAGATAAGAAATTAAAATCAATGAAACAAGCTTTAAAATCTGTCAAAAAGATGAGTTAATTAATAAACACTATTGAGAAAACTAAAGAAGCACATTAACACATCTTATGCTTGCTGTTTTTAAAGGGGAAAGATCAGTGTTTTCAAGGATAAAAGTGATGCTAGTTATCCTGAAAATTATAAATATGATCTGAAAAAAGAAACGGAAGCCTCAGTTTTCTCACATGTAAAGTGGAAGAGAAGTGAGGATCTTATGGGTTAAAGGAAAAAGTCCAGGCTTGTCACTGAGCATTGCTCTCAGCACACACTAGGTACTCAATAAACCTTGAGTATTCATTGCTACTATTATTTTTGTTTTTCACAACTGCTTGTGGGAGTATGAATTTTTATAATCTTGGAAGGAAATGATTTGGTACATGAACCAAGAATCTTAAAATTATGAACCCATTTGAATAATTCTGTTTCTAGACATTTTTATTCAGGAAGTTATTAGTTTTACAAAGACTGAGCAAGAATGTTCACTACAGTGTTTTTAGGATAGTGAAAAACTGAAAACAAAGTGAATTCCATACACTAGTATGTGAGTGAAGTAAGCCACGGTATCCACAGAAGGGAATGCCATTTAACGATTCGGCTATTAGACTGCGGCTATCGTTCAGTCGCTAAGCCATGTCCGCCTCCTTGCGACCCCGTGAACTGCAGCACACCAGGCCTCCCTGCTTTCCCTGCAGACAACCTACTTCAAGGGCATGTTTTCAAAGGCGTTCCCAGCGGCCGCAGGAACCCGCTGCCTCCGGGGGAGAAAGACAAGAGGGACAGCTACCGTCTTTACTTCCCGAAGAGCGACTCCAGTGGCTTGTTTCATATATTTTTACACCTATGGATGTTCGCTGCTTTAAAATTTTTTAAGGTTCTGCTACTTTTAAAAATAGAACAAATCCTTGCAGAAGTTGGAACATGTAGACATATTGATGAGGGCAAAAGTGGTTCATACTGGGCTCTGAAAATTGAAATCAGATATTTAAAAATACTTGAACGTGTGTTTGGCTATAATTTAAAAAAGAAACCACATGTCTAGATGGTATTGGATAAAAATAAACTTCAACTGTCAGGAAGAAATACATGTGGGGGTCTTTCCATTTATCCATCTTAAATGCATAATATAAGGAGACATTTTTAAAAGATGCAGAAGGGAATATAAATAATAACAGTTTTCACCAACTAGGAAAAAACCCAACACGTTTACACAAGTACATTAAATTCTCAAAGGGAAGACATACTCTCAAAGGAAGAAGTAAAACTGACCTCAGTGATCTGCATTTGTTAGAAAATAAATGTACCGTAAGCAAAGTGGACCAAGAACTTGCAACCTCAGGAGGGTTGGCGGCTCTTCCGTTTCTAGCTGTTAAGGCTTCTGTCCCTTCCAAAATACATTCCTCCTAAAAATAATCATCCATAACAGCAAGCTGTCCTCTATGAAATGTCACCACTAACTTTGATGCTTGCTTAAACGTTTGTCATAGAAAACTGTATTTGTGAGAATACTCAGTTTCAAACATGTCAGTTCATTAGAAATTATAAACTACGGTTATTGTAGGATACTGACTTGTGGCTCAGATAGCAAAGAATCTGCCTGCAGTGCAGGAGACCCAGGTTCAATCCCTGAGTTGGGAAGATGCCCTGGAGAAGGGAATGGCAACCCACTCTAGTCTTCTTGCCTGGGAAATTCCATGGACAGAGGAGCCTGGTGGGATACAGTCCATGGGGTCACAAAGAGTCAGACACAACTTAGCAACCAAACAACAACAACAAAGGTGTTATTCATCTTATGCTAATCTTGCCAATACATATGAACTATGGATATTCCCTGACTAGTATAAAAATTTATCCATTTTAAGTCTAGACATTCTTTCCTTATAGTGCAAATACAATAAAATATTGCTAATAGCAAAGTCATCTTTAAAAATGAAGTGGCATTTTTCTGTGTATGCTTCCATTTTCATAGATAAGTAGATCCATGAAACATCTGGAAGGATTTTTACGTCCAGTTCTTAATCGTGGTGAATTTCTAGGTAGTGGAGGTAGGTTGTTTGTATTGTTTTCTGTTTTGCTTATCTATAATCTATAATTTTTTACACTGAACTTTTTCCATTTTTTTTAAGAAGTCAATGAAACAATGAAAGTTTTTCTTTACCTTTCAATACTTCCACTTTTCCAGTCTTTTCTTTATATACTTTTTTAACATTTCTGATTCTGAAATGAAAAAAAAATGGGTGCTTAGGTACCCAATAGAAAAGTAGAAATTGTGCAGATCACGAATGACTTGAGTTAGAGAGGCAGCCAGCTTTATCTGAAAAAAGAAGACGTAACAGTCTACTCAGGAAGACCAAGACTTATTTATGACTAAATGCTTCCCCTGAGGGGGAAAATGAAAGAGCCCCTTTAGAAAGTTACAGTTAGGGTGAGAGAGAAGCCTGGGGGGCCACAGTCCACGGGAGTGCAGAGTCAGATGCGACTTAGCGACTGAGCGTGTACTGGTGTTCCAGTGGGTAAGACTCCAGGTTCCCAATGCAGGGGGCATGAGTTGGATCCCTGGTCAGCGAACTAGATCCCACAGCCGCATCCAAGGGTTCACACACCACAGCAATAGATCGCACATGCATCAAAGAAGGTCAGAAAGATCCTGCAAGCCACAACCAAGACCCAAGGGAGCCAAATAAATGTGTGTGTGTGCTCAGTCATGTCCGATCTTTGCAGCCCCATGGACGTAGCCCACCAGGCTCCTCTGCCCATGTAATTCTCCAGGTAAGAATACTGGATGCGTTGCCATTTCCTCCTCCAGAGGACCATCCCGACCCAGGGATCAAACCCGTGTCCCTTTTATCACCGGCATTGGCAGGCGGATTCTTTAGCACTGTGGCACCTGGGATTGTTTCATCAAATAGACACACACACAGACACACACACACACACTTCTAGATCTGTGATCACCAAGCTTGAGCACACACTAAAATTTCAAAGGAGACAGATACAGGGCAAAGCAAGAATCAAGTTCAGACAGATGAGCAAAGTCAGGACCATATAAGACCACATACAATGCATCTTCGAGTTCAAAGGAAAGCTTCACCCTCCTTTCTGACCCTGAATGAGAATAAAGCGAAGGACATTCATCAACCAGGATGCTGGCGGTGGGCAGGGGAGAGCTAAGAGTCTGGAGATTTAAAAGAAAAGGCGTCAAAGCTGCTGAATACAAGAGGATCCTTTATTTCTGCCTTTCTGGGTATAGTGGGACCCCAGGGGCGAGGGACTTCAGCATTTTATTTTAATACATAAACTTCCACTTGGGAGAGGCTGGTTGTTTTTGGATTTCAAGATGACAAACCACAATGTTTGGAGCAGACATGCTGATTCCAAATTTCTTACTTCTTCCATTTGAAAGTAGAAGCCGGTCAAAAGTACAGAGAAAAGGATTCAGAGATCCTAAGACCAGCAGAAACACAGAGGCCAGGGTGGACAGAAGCCAGGGGAGACTAGACAGAGGGTGAGGCGGCCACACTGCACGGTGCTGAGCAGACGAGGCTCTCACGATCGTAGGAGACACTGTAGGTGACGATAGTGGAGAAGCTGAAAGCGACGTTTACAAACCTGCTTTTTAATATTCTGCTTCAGGTTCACCCGCTGCCATTGGTTAATATTTCATTTATTTTGGCCACTATGGAAAACAGTATGAAAAGTGAAAGTGAAGTCGCTCAGTCGTGTCTGACTCTTAGCGACCCCACGGACTGTAGCCCGCCAGGCTCCTCTGTCTGTAGGATTCTCCAGGCAAGAACACTGGGGTGGGTTGCCATTTCCTCCTCCAGAGGATCTTCCCAACCCAGGGACTGAACCCAGGTCTCCCACGTTGCGGGGCAGATGCTTTACCATCTGAGCCACCAGGGAAGCCTCAACAGTACGGAGATCCCTCAAGAAGCTACAAATAGAGTCGCCATGTGATCCAGTAATCCCATTCCTAGGCATGTATCCAGAGAAAACGCTAATCCAAAAGGACACATGCACCCCAGTGTTCAGAGCAGCACTATTTACAACAGGCCAGCCACGGAAACACCTCAGCGTGCATGGACGGCTGCGTGGGTGAAGCTGTGGTACATCACGTGGGACATTACTCGTCCCTAAGAGAGCATGGAATGCCTGCCATCTGCAGCAGCAGGGATGCAGCTAGCTATGATCAGGCTGCGTGCAGTAAGGCAGAAAGACAAACACCACATGGCGTCACTTACGTGGGGAACCTCACACACGACCCAAGTGAACAAAGCCACAAACAGGGACAGACTCACAGACAGAAGCAGACTGTGGCTGCCGAGGAGGAGGGGTGGGAAGGGCTGGGAGTCTGCGGTTAGCAGAGGCAGACTATGACAAATGGAACGGATAAACAGCAAGGCCCGACTGTGCAGAACGGGGCAATCTATTCAGGACCCTGTGATAAACCGCCGTGGGCAAGAATATATAGCTGAACCGCTTGACTGCGCAGCAGAAATCAATAGGACACTATAAGCCAGCTACACTTAATAAACTTTTTTAATAAACTCATTTCCTCGCACCCAGGTATCAGGATATGTGTGACTACCTGATGGCTTCTCTCCCGTGGAATTCTGGAGCCATGGGCTCACAGTAATCATCAGAGAGGGGCTCAGGGTCCGCGTCTATCTCGGCGACATGACTACCAGTCCTCCGGTGTTGGAAACAAGATGATGAGTTCAGGAAAAATAATAGCGAATAATGGGACTCATTTCCATCTAATTAATCAAGAGGTGATAAAACATTTGTTCAGTACCATGAAAACAATGAGCACATAAGCCTTTTTTAGAACAGTGCAGAATGTCTTGGACTTTTAAGCATCATAACTAAATTGCTTTCTAACTCCCTATTATCGAGAAGAAATCTTGAGAGTGAAGGAAACAATGAAAATTAAAAAGAAATGACATATTATTATGAAAGGTAAACAATATAATAGAACCCTTGATGAGATATAAATTAAAGACTTGAATAAAGTGCTTTCTAAAAGTTGTTTAGAATAATGATTAAATCACATATTGAGCAGGAAAAGGCTTAACATGGCACTAAAAATAATTTTAAATATGTTTGCGAACTTAAGAAATCATGTGATTCAACAGTATGATTGAGCAAAATACTGAAATCTATATGGTACATGAATAAAAAGTACATGAAGAAATTAATTTGTTCAGGATGAACATATGGTCATTCTCTAGATTTTAAAAAATGGAATAGCATTTGTTACTAAGGTCTTCAGATATTAACCAGAAGTGATAAAGAGACATACATACATACAAATAAATACACAGGAATATAAAGAACAAATATAAATCCAGTCAAAGTGGAAGAAACATTAAAAATAAAATATATAAATAGGATCATGCAAGCGAAAAAACACGCTGATTCTAGTATGTCTGTAGGAATTCTAGACTTATGTGAAATTTTTAGTTGTTTTCAAGATAAAGAAAATCTAACTGGATAATAAAGTGAAGTCGCTCAGTTGTGTCTGTCTCTTTGTGACCCCATGGACGGTAGCCTGCCAGGTTCCTCCATCCATGGGATTTTCCAGGCAAGAATACTGGAGTGGGGTGCCAATCCCTCCTCCAGGGGATCACTTCTGTAAATATGAGCAATATATGACAAAGGTTAGGAGGCACTTTCACTGTGCAATGTCCCTATGCTAAACAAAACCATCTTAAGAACTAATTTATTTTCACCTGTCGTGATACAAACCCTTAATATCATTCTTTGAAAACACTTTCAGTGATCTTTGAAAAATGTAACATTATTTAAAATATAATTATAATGTGCATTAAAATGATCATCATTTCATATTTATAATGTGTATCACTATATCACATTGAGAAGAATAATTTTTTTTAGGTAGCAATTCCTTTAGACCATTAGAGCTATGAAACAGAGAAAAAGAAATCATTCAGTCTGTGATACGAAATGCTTGTCATTCCTTATTTCTTAAAATATATAACTAAGAAAAACATCTTCATTGTGATCAGTACCAGTAGAGGTGGGAAAAAACTGCAATTACTTACAGGGTAGGATTTTGTCAAAGTATAACGCCAACACCAAGTATAAAAGGGCATCAAAAGTCAATATGGAAAAAGTTGCTATCATTATATATGAGTCTCCAGAAGTGTCAGGAAAAATGACACCATTCATAGTATAATCCAGGTGGATAATCTAAGATTCAAACAAAAATAATAATAAATACTTGAAAATAACTCAGTGTAGCAGCAAGAACTACCACTTTATTAATAAGTTTTTCTAAGAAACCCTCATAGTGAAGCTCTTAGGGAAACTTTTTATTTTATAGCAATCAAAGCAATATTAGAAGGGAACACTGATTTTTAAAAATATAATGTTTTAATAATGGAAATTTTAAGTTGTAATTCTTTTTCAAGAGAGTCTTCTCCAGGTTCTTAGAAATGATGACAATGTTAGGATTAACTCTGATCTCACCTGGTTAATTCCAGCACTGAAGGCAAAGGGGCTACAGATGCTGAAAATCCACTTCAAAGGTGAAGGAAGTCGTTGGTAAAACGCAGTGAATCCCACACCCCCCCAGAAGAGGGTGAGGAGAAACACAACCAAACTGGTGAGGATGGTTTTCTTTAGCAGCACAGTCATCAGGAAGGCCAAAGCGATCTGAAAGAGCCAAGACATTACACAGACCGACGGTCAGTGGTACCACCTCAAAATAAGGACCTTTGTACCATAACATAAATATTTATCACAGACACAGGGATGAGCAACACTAAGGGATAATTATGCTCAATGCTGCTCTCCGCCTCCTTGTAAGGAGAATCTTTATTTGCCTACTTAAATGCTGGGCTTGACAGGCTGCAGGAAGAGATGCTGTTGCTGCGTGGTAGCCAAGTCCTGCTCCGACTCTGTGTGGTCCCGTGGACCGTAGCCCGCCGGGCTTCTCTGCCCACGGGGTTCTCCAGCAAGAACACTGGAGTGGGCTGCCATGCCCTCCTCCAGGGGGTCTTCCCAACCCAGGGATGGAACCTATGTCTCCTGCACTGGCAGGCGGGTTCTTGACCACTGATCTACTTGGAAAGCCTGCAGGAAGAGCTGAGAAAAGGATAAAACTGCAGCCTTGGAAAGAGGGAAAGAAACTAAATTAATATATTAACACAGAGCATCTACTGTGTTTTGCAGAAAACCCCCTGGAAGGTGGAAGAAGTCAGAGGAGCCTGTTCAGAGAAGGAAGAGAGGGTGACATGGGTGGTCGGACCAGGGTGGGGTGTTACGAGGAGATGAGATAACAAAAGCTACCATCTGATAGGGAATCTTTGGGGGGAAAATGGTGGGTCCAGCCCTTAAGAACATTCTCATCAATCTATAAAAATCTTAGGTATTTTTTAGAGTCAAAACAATTTTCTTTCTGTTTGATGCACCATTTCATTAATTCAGACCTTTATGCAAAAAAAAAGAGTTTCAATTTTATTTAGGTTACATCATTTTCTCATACTCATAAAGACTTCTCAAGCAAACACACACACACAACATGAAAGAAGTGGCTATAGTAGCCTGCTCAGACGTTAATTCTTGTTACATATAACCAAGGCCGAAAGCAGAGACAATGGTAGCAAACGTACGAACTTACCAAGGATAAGCCATACAAGAAAAATAGAGTAAATATGACCGTGAAGCCCGTCAGGATGATAATTTCAGTAGATGTTATGATGACTGTGATGATTATGGAAGTAACGAAGATGAAGGCAGCATAGATTAAACCCCAGGAAAGCCTAAAGAAAGACAAACAATATTTCAGTTGTTTTAACTTCATTATGAAATATTTAAAACACACAAAAATACTTAGATAATAACACAATGGCTACCTCTGTACCTGTCACCGATTAGCAGATCCTTGCTCCTTGGAAGAAAAGCTATGACAAACCTAGACAGAATATTAAAGAGCAGGGGCATAACTTTTCCAACAAAGGTCTGTATAGCCAAAACTATGGTTTTTCCAGTAGTCACATATGGATGTGAGAGTTGAACCATAAAGAAAGCTGAGTGCTGAAGAATTGATGCCTTTGAACTGCGGAGTTGGCAAAGACTCTTGAGAGTCCCTTGGACAGCAAGGAGATCCAACCAGTCCATCCTAAAGAAAATTAGTCCTGAATATTCATTGGAAGGACTGATGCTAAAGCTGAAACTCCATTAATCTGGCCACCTGATGTGAAGAGCAGACTCCTTGGAAAAGACCCTGATGCTGGGAGGGTCTGGGGGCAGGAGGAGCAAGGGGTGACAGAGGATGAGATGGTTGGATAGCATCACTGGCTCAATGGACATGAGTTTGAGCAAATTCCTGGAGAGAGTGAAGGACAGAGAAGCCTGGCGTGCTGTGGTTCATACGATGGAAAAGAGTCAGACACAACTTAGCGACTGAGCAACAGTGAACTAAAATATTACCATGGCTGTGCTGGTGCCGTGCTACATACTGACTCGGTATTCATGTTGTATAACTAATATGAACAAGCATCAGTAGTGTCACCTTGCATGTGTTCTTTGGAAACTTGCCTTGATTCACAACATGTAAATATTATGCACTGGTGTATAATATTTCATTGTGTGAATGTAACTCAGTGTTCTCCTGTCCATGGCCATACAGGTTGTTTCCAGACCTTCTTTCTAAGGCAAAGTTGCTAAGAATATTCTTGCACTTGCCTTTTTGGAGCGAAGTGCACACAATTTTTCTTTAAGGTGAGATTACTGAATTCCAGGAGATAAGCATTTGGTGTTTTCAGCTTTATTGCATATTACCAAAGTGTCCTCATTATAAAATTGGAAGGAAACAACAGCTGCTGGTCCATCAATGACTGTGGTTGTACTGGAGGCCAACCGATGATGTGGTCACTCCTGAGGACCGCAGCCAGCAGCAGCCCCACCTTCCCTTGAGTAGGAAGTTGGAATCTCACAACTGCACTGAGCCCAGTGCATGCTTGCTGCTCCTGTTCAGCGTTTCTTTCTGAAAACTGATTCAGGTGATGGTGGGCTTCCCAGGAGGCTCAGTGGTAAAAAAAAAATCCCCCGGCAATGCAGGAGACATGGATTTGATCCCTGGGTCTGGAAGATCCCCTGGAGAAGGGAACAGCAACCCACTCCAGTACTCTTGCCTGGAGAATCCCACAGACAGAGGAGCCTGGTGGGCTGCAGTCCATGGGGTCACCAAGAGCTGGACACGACCGAGCATAGATTATGGTTACGCTCTTACGTGCTCACACTGCTTTGCTTTAGATGTCCTGGTGTTCACATTTTTATGAAGTGGGCATTAGAAATAGCAGTCAGTCTTAGACTTAGGAAACCTGGAGAGTGTTTTCGCCCAAGCTTCTCATTTTACAGATGAGTAAATGGCAGTTCTTCCTGGTAAAGGGTCCTACTCAAGGTCGCCACAGTAAATCAGTAACAGAACTGAGAGACAGCTGTAGGCTTTCAGTCAGTTCAGAGCTCTTCATTGTACATAAAATTACCTAATAAGAAACAGCTGGAGAAAACAGTGAAATAATTAAAATCAGGAATTTGCATGACTATGTCCCAGTAGAGCATGTTTCAGTTCACTTCAGTTCAGTCGCTCAGTCGTGTCCGACTCTTTGCAACCTCATGGACCGCAGCACACCAGTCCTCCCTGTCCATCACCAACTCCTGAAGTTTACTCAAACTCATGTCATTGAGTTGGTGATGCCACCCAATCATCTCATCCTCTGTTGTCCCCTTCTCCTCCTGCCCCCAATCCCTCCCAGCATCAGGGTCTTTTCCAATGAGTCAGCTGTTCGCATCAGGTGGCCAAAGTACTGGAGTTCCAGCTTCAGTATCAGTCTTTCCAATGAACACCCAGGACTGATCTCCTTTAGGATGGACTGGTTGGATCTCCTTGCAGTCCAAGGGACTCTCAAGAGTCTTCTCCAACACCACAGTTCAAAAGCATCAATTCTTTGGC